CTAGTGAGATTGTGGGCTTCTATTTCTGGGAGCCTTCCAACTGTCATCAGTCCAAAATGTGCAAAAGAGGGCTGGGGTGTGGCTCAGTGGTAGAGCGCCTAGCATGCACAAGGCACTGGGTTCAATCCCCGGCACCACATAAAAATATAAACAAATAAAATAAAGGTATCGTGTCCATCTACCACTTTAAAAAAATGTGCAAAAGGAAAGAACTGTTGAATTCTGTGGAAGCACGACCCATCCCAGGAAATGGGTGCAGGGCAGCCTCATCTGTTTATCACATTTGGGGCACAGCACTAGTTACCTGGCAAGCTCCATCACATTGAAATCTCACAGAGAGAGGACTTCCTTTCTCTGCGAGTCAGGCAGGTTAAATGACTTAATCACGTCACTCAGGCTAACACAAGGGTGGATCTCAGATCACAACGTCTAGGCTTCGTTTCCTAGGTTTTGCTCCCACGGAGATTGTGTTGAAGGATTGTGGAGCCCACGAATCATTTGAATGTGTGAGTTGTTTTGTTTTCAGTCATACTTGATAATAATTTCTTTTCTTTTTTTTGGGTACCGGGGTTGGGACTCAGGGGTACTCAACCACTGAGCCACACCCCCAGCCCTAGTTTGTATTTTATTTAAAGACAGGGTCTCACTGAGTTGCTTAGCGCCTCGCTTTTGCTGAGGCTGGCTTTGAACTCTCCATCCTCCTGCCTCAGCCTCCAGAGCTGCTGGGATAACAGGCATGCGCCACCGCACTGGCTGATAATTATCTCTTATAAAGCACCTATTAATTTTAATTAGTACAATTGAAAAATAACACACCCTATGAATTGCCTGCCAGAGGGGGAATTCTGTGTTCACTTGCCTGTATCTAATACCCTGCTAGTCTTCAGATAAAAATAATGAACGTGACAACCAACGTTTTGTGTCTCATGGCTCCTTACAATTTTTTTTATCATGAAAAAAAAGAATCTACAAAACGGGGAGTGTTGGCATGAAGCCCCATATGCCCATCACCCCATTTTAAGAACGGTTGGTTTCTTGTTTGTTAATTTTCCCACCTTATCTTCCTGCCATTTTCTTTTCAAAAAAACTGGAGAATTTAAAGCCCAAACCCCAAGACTCATTTCCCCCCTGAACATTTCTATAATTGGAACGGAAAGGCTTTGTGTGGCCCTGCGTTTCTTCCTTTGGATCTGCTAGTACAGGAAGCAAGGATCTAAAAATCAGCCCCAGGCGTGTGGGTTTCTGGGAGGCCGGGGATGGGGTAGGGGTGGCAGGGCGGCACTTCCTTCGGGCTGCGCTGTTTGTTTTGCTCTGGGCTGGGGACATTCCTCCACGGAACCGCCTCCAGCCTCCGCAGTTAGACTTTTCTCCAGTGCTGAGAGTCAAGTATCTGGCTTCCCCCCCGAAAGAGACATCTGGGGTGTGTTGCTTCTGAAACTATTTTTGGTGTGAGAAATGTCACTCAAGAGCTATTTGGAATTTTTTAAGCACTGAAAGCATCTGACTGGAGCCACAGGGGAGGCCAGGGGGGTGGAGCTAGTTACTCTGTGGGCCAGACATTTCCCATTCGGGTTGCCGCTTCCTCTACTCTTCTTAAGGCTTTGAGTGCTTGGGCCTAGGATGGCACTGGCATGGCAGGCTTGGAGGTGGAGTGGCCAGTGGCATGGGAGACGGGGACCCTTACTGGCTGACTGGCCTTCCTCCAACCTGCACATCTGTCCTGGGCTCTCTGTAACTGGGAGATCCACGGAGAGTGCTGGGATTGTGTGTTTGCTAGTGGGTTCTGCCAGAGAAGAGGGGAACTCTCTGACTTCTGTGTCACAGGGCACTAGGCACCAGGCTGGATCCTAAATGAGATGCTTCTCAGGATGAGCCGGAGAAAACAGCAAGTGAGAATTGTAGCTACGAAGGAAACAGAGTGGCTTCAGCAAGTGGGATGCTGGGAAGAGTGGACCAGGCTGGGGTCACGTTGGAGGCCCGTGGGAACAAGTTGGGAAGGAGAGAGTGAAGTGAAGGCTGGATATCAGGCTGCCAGTGTAAACAAGGGGAGGCTGGGGAGGCTGGCTTCACCGGACCTGCCACTCCACTGCCACCTACCTTGGGCTCAGGAAATATAGACTAACTGAAGATGGAAAAGATCCTCGGGGAGGTTGTTGATTCATGTCCTTTAGCAAGGCTGCACCCTCGGCCCCACCTCCTCCCTTGGTCCTTGAAATTTCCTTGGGATTAAGTAGGAAGAGCCGAGAGAGACAACAGTGAAAGATCTCAGGGACCTCCATCACCCTGGTCTCCTAGGACCTTCTAGATGGGCCCCTATTGGTAAACCGCCAGTCCTGGGCACCGTGAGGCAGGGGCGAGGGAAAGAGAGCAGAGGAAACCCAGTGCTGCGTTCCTGGTCTTCCAGGTGTGCCCTGGGGGACTGTATCCAGGAAATTGCACCAAGAGAAGCTGTCCTTGTCCTACAGAGAAGGGAATTCTGGTTTCTGGTCGGAATGGAAGGAGCTCAGAAGTCATCACTGTCCCAACAAGGAAAGAGCTAAACAAACGGAGAAATCAACAACTCTTCTTAGACACATCCAGAGAGAAGTGAGGTCATAGGGCACACTGCTGTCTCCAGAATCAGAGGGACAGGTGGGTTCAGAGGATCACAACTTCCTGGAGTAGAAGCCCACACCAGTGCAGGGCAGAGGTCAGGAAACATGAGCTGTGTGTAGGGTATCGCCAAAGGCTCAGTGCAGACAAGTGGGAGAGACTTGGGATCCATCATCAGGAGCGCCCCCGCATCCCTTTTGTGAGTTCTACCTCCAGGACTCTTATCAGTCGCTTACAGCGAAGATCAGAGAAATATACCCCCTGCCTATCAGCAGGGGGAGGAGAAAAATGAGCCATTTTGAAACCACCAGAGCATCTAGTCTCCTTAAGAAGAAGGCCTGGTCTCCAGGGACACTGTTTCACCAGAGCCTAATCTGCTAAGGTTTTCTAGAGCTTAATCCTACTGGGGAAAGGAAAACCACCTGAGCCTGCCCCCCATAGTCATCCTGTCCCACCTTAGGGCATAGAAAAAGAAAACTCTGAACATTGAGTTCATGGTTCAGGTTTTTTGCTAAAACCTAAGACCTAATCACAGCTATAGAACGTTTCCCCTCCCTTACACCTTGCCACTGCAGCATTTAGGCCCATTGATCACAGTTCCTTTGACCTGACATGTCATGTTGACCTTTCAACAATCAGCTACAATGCATACTAAAAGGTAAAAACATAATTTGAAGAGAGAGCAAGCATCTGTACCAGACTCAGGTACACCAGGTATGTTAGATGTCAGTCGGGGAATTAAAAAGAACTGTGATCAATATGCTGTAGGCTCAAATGCAGCAGGACAGGGACCAGATCCTGCTCCCAAACTTGTTTGCCACCTCATCATGAAGCCTCCAGTATCTCCAGCCCCTCCTGGGAGCAGCTTCCTGCTGGTCTTCTTAGAGTGTAAACACAATCCTCGCCAACAGGGGGCGTTCACACCATGTTCCATCGTGGCCAATGGGTTTTTCAATGTTGGTGTAACATTTTTTTTTTCATTGTCATTGAAACATTTTTCATTGTCACAGGAAAGAAGCCAAGATTCTCCTCAGAGACTGCAAGACTGCAAGTGGGAGGTGGGCTAGGAAGGAGTTTTTCTTTTCTTTCTTCATAGGAAAGGAGAAGCAAAGGAGAATCAAGTTGTGGGAAGTAATAAAGAATCTTAGTGTCAGCTGGAAGGGTCCTCAAAATGATCTTTCAGACGTCTCATTATATAGATGAGAAACTGAGGTCCAGAAAAAGGGAAAGTACTGTGCAAGATCACATGGCGAGTGGTTGGTGAGCGGGTGTTTGCAAGCCTAGGGGTGTTTGCCTTTAAGACCCTGATGGTTCCCCACATTCCCATCAGGTCCTGGCTGGCGCCCTCCTCTCCCCAGAAGTGTGGCCCAGAGTGTGAGCCACAGGGTCTGCTGGTTCCCACCATGCCCTGGCACATGTAGCCAGCGGGTGTAGGAGGGATTCATTTCACCCTTCAATCTGGCAGTTGTTTCAGAAATTGGAGACAGGTGTCACCTCCTGGTGATGGGAGTACAGATGATTTTTATTTTCTCCATTATAATTTCTAGGATTTTCTAAAATTTTATAACAAACATCTGTAACTTTGCAATTCCCTCCCCCTGCCGTCTTACTTTTTTAAAACAAGGAAACTGGAGGGCAGGGGCACGCCCAGGTCTGTCCTGAGATCCATCCAGCAAGGCCAACCAGTACCTGTCACACCAGGGAAGAGGCCCCTCCTGCAAGCCTGACACCCAAGGTCGTCCAAGGTCGCCGAGGCAGCCTCCCTTCTCACCTTTGCTTCCACCATGCCCACTCCTGAAGCGACCTTCTCTCTTCCCGCAGCAAAAATGGACCCATTCCAAATTTTTCAGGGTCCGATATCGATTTTGCCAATTGTGAGCATGTATTAAAAACCCTACCTGCCCCAATCAAGGTAACCATCTGTGTCCTTCCTCTGACCACTGGTGGCACTTTATTTGGACTCGTTTTCTAATCTTTACCCTCTCCTGCCTTCTCCTGGAGTCATTCGCACCCAGGTCTGTGACCTAGACAGAGACCTCCTCATGGGCGGGGCCTGTCTATCATTTGTCTTTGCCCTCCCAGTGCCATCCTCAGCCTGGCACAGGCTGGATCTCAAGTGAGTGTTTGTACTGTTTACACCTGGGATTGGTGAGTCTGTGCAGGCCAGCTGTGGTGTTAGCAGCCCACTAGCCTCTCCAGGAAACACCTCCAGTTGTGACAGCTCAAAATAGTGACATTGCCAAATGTCCCCTGCAGAGCAAAGTTGCCTCCTGTGCAGAATCACTGGCATGTGGTTTATCAGGGGTCCTCCTAAACAGTGCCGGGGAGGGGTAGGAATGCCCACTGATAGACGAGAAAGGCTCATGGAGAGTTTAGCTGAAGCCGAGTCTTGCACCTACATTTCCCATTCCCAGTCCAGCGCTCGCCCTGCCATGTTGGAGATCTCTCAAAAACCCTACTGAGACCTTTGCTTCTCCCCTTTGGTGTGTCCACACTACCCCCATCCCCATGTTCTTGGTTCCACCCTGACCCTTCCCTCTGCCCGCTCCTGTGGCCTGCGCCAGGCTGTGACCCACTGGTTGGCCCTACTGGTCCATGCAGGCTGGATCTCAGGCTGTGCCCGGAACATGCTCATCACATCTTCTTGAGCTCCTTGGGCTCGTCCCCGTGTTTGAACACGCTGATGGTGACCTGGCCTGTCTCAGAGCCGTACTTGTTCTTGACAAAGACGCCATAGCGCCCGCTGTCCTCACTGTTGACCTTCTCAATGGTGATGGTGACCTCGGTCCCCTTTACCTCCATGTGGTAGCGGTCGAGGAAGGCGACAGGCTGGTCATTCTTTAGCCAAGCGATTTCAGGAGCTGGGTCTCCTGAGATGACACAGGTCAGGCACAGGGTCTGTTCCAAGAGAGAGGAAGAGAAGAGTCTCACCTCCTTGTAACTTGAACTTGGTATTCACCTTCATGTCCCCAGAGAGCTCCTAGTACAGGTAGCTCCTTGGGATAAATTCATTGTGTGGGTTTTACTGTGACCTCTAAAGGTGAGAGACATTTTATTTTCACCCCACGTTCTCCATCATCCACCTTTCTAGGAGCGCTTACTAGTTAGAATTTCCCACTATTCCACTCTAGTAATTACCTGCCCCAGAATGGCCTGCAGTTTGTTTGATTGCTTTTTTGTCATATATGTGTCATGACTTTACCATGTAAGATTTTATTACAATAGCACAAAGATTTATTAATTGAATTGGAAAATTATCGAATAAGATCTAATGCAGAGCCCCAGAATGTAATGGTTAAACACGTAGGCTCTGGACTGGAGCTGCCTGTGTATGAATCTCAGCTCTACACCTTCAGGCTGTGTGACCTTAGATAAGTCTCTTGACTAGTCTGAGTCTCAGTTTCCTCAGCTATCAAGCGTTGCTAGTAATCATGCCCCATTTCATGTGGTTGCCTCTATGGTGAAATCAGTTAAAACCGGTCACCCACATGGAATTGAGCCTGGCACAAAGAAAGCACCGTGAGAAAATGGTAGCCAGGATTTTTGAAAACACTAGTCTTGGATAATTCCAGCCCTAGAAGGGATCGTCCAGTCAAACTCTTGTGGAAATGGAAGCCAGAGATGGCAGTCTGTGACACCAGAGAGAGATGGGAAGCCAGGTGCGGTGTGCATGCCTGTAATCCCAGCCACTTGGGAGGCTGAGGCAGGAGGATCACAAGCTCAAGGCCAAACTCAGCAACTTAGTGAGGCCCTGAGCAACACAGTGAGATCCTGTCTCAAAAAATAAAAGGAGCTGGGAATGTAGGTTACTGATAGAGTACCCCTGGGTTGAATCCTCAGTACTGTGGAAGGAGGGAAGGAAAGAAGGAAGGGAGGGAGGGAGGGAGGGAGGAAGGAAGGAAGGAAGGAAGGAAGGAAGGGCGGAAGGGCTCTCCCTGAACACACAGGGTCAGTGAGATGTGGTCACTTGGCTGACTGCTGCAGATCCAGCCTGTCTGGCTGGCCAGCTGCCCCCTGGCTCTTGATTCTACACAGGGTCACGGTCCTGGATGGCTCCCTGAGGGAACACCACTGGGACCCCTCTGTGGGCTGGAGGGTGGGTACCTTATCTTCCATGATGGTGGCCACGTCCGGCAGGCCCCTCACCACTTTGGCTCGATCTGGAAAGGAAACAAGACGGCAGTGGTGAGCCGCTTCCCAGGGCTGAGGCTTATTTTAAGGGAGGCTCCTTGTTTCTGTTTTCTTCACGTTGGATGGAAACCTTTAAAACCGTGGGATGCACTTCCTTGTCTTCACCAGTAGGAGGTGTGGGACTTGGTGTGTTTCTGCCATTGACCAGAGGAGTGGCAGCACCGCGTGCGTGCGTGAGAGAGAGAGCAGCACCCTGCCCTTAAGGCAGTGAGGCGTCTCTGAGTCGCAGGCGGTAAAATTTGCACAGTGGTGACAGCCAGCTGGGGTGTGGACTAGGAGCTGGCCGGGGGAGGTGGGATAGAAGCTTTTGGGTCACCCTCATTCTGGTCCAAGGACGGACCTGGTGGCTGTTGTGGGTGGGCAGGAAGAGAGTGGCTGTAAATGACAAAGCAGAAACAGATACGTTCCCCATGCTTCAGGGAGGCCGCGGGAAGAGAAGGGGTGTCAGCCTGGCCCTCGCCCCTGCATCAGGGAAAGGGAGCAGGACCCTCGGGCAGAAAAGGCCCGAGCGAGGGACACCACGTGGGCAGGGATCTTCAGCGCCCCCGGGTGAAATGATCCACTTCCCCAGACTGCAATGCCACAAACCCCAGCAGCCACATGTGGGTGAGTTTGACGGGCATCTATTGGGGTTCTAGTTGGGGCACTTGTCCAAGACATGGCATGCAGGATGGGAGGGAGGGTCGAGCTGGAGAAACAGGCTGGTGGCGCGAGAGTCCCCTTGGCCTGAGTGGGCCGAGGCTGGTCTCAGCGGTGCTCTCTCCCGGGAGGAGGCTGGCCCTGCGAGGCCTCACACCACAGCCACCAACGTTGCTGTGGCCCTGCTGGGCACCAGGCCCGGGCTGGACACGTCCACACCCACCGTCTCAGGAATCCTTGCGTCCCTTATCTGTGGGCGCTGCTGCCGCCCAGGTCTCCCTGTGAGACTGCAGAGCCCCACTGACCCGGCCGGGGAACTGGGACTCCAGCGCCTGCCGGGGAGGCCACCCAGACTCAGAGGCAAAACCCCCAGAAACGCCGGGGACTTACTCTTCTCGATGATGGCCAAGGCTCTGAAAAACAGAAACAGGACAAGGTGTGGGGTCAAGGGCAGCCCTGCCTGGTGGGGGAGAAGGGGTGAGGAGGGGAGGTGGAGGTGGCCCGGGGGTCCCAGGAGGGGGTCCTGAGCACAGTTCATGCCACACCCCAGAGGGGCCCACGAAGGAGACTTACTTCAGTCTCTGGTGTTCAGCCAAGGCGTCGTCAAAAGCTGCAAGAAGGACAAAGGTTGGGGGCATCAGGGCCTCTGCCAGGGACCCTGAGGGACAGGGCCTAGTCCTGACTGTCCTCCACTCTTCTCCCCATTCCAGTATCCTCTTGAGGGAGTGACAGGGTGGGGTGCACAGGCAGGAGTTCCCCCCAAAGACCGTGGAGTTTTCTCAACAGGTTTCTCAGCGGACAGACTCACCTTGCCCCGAGAGGTCCACGGAGAGCTGCCGGACTTCCTTTCCCGCGGCTATTTCCAGGCTGTATTTGCCCTTGTCCGAGTCTTTGGGGTCCAGGATGTGGAGCCAGATCTCATCCAGAGTGGTGCCCGCCCGTATCCGATCGCCAGTCTCCAGGCGCTTGTCTCTGAGTGTGACCGTAGGGAAATGGTCAAGGCTGGCTGGCCACATGGCTGTAAGCACCCCTGCCCCAAATCTTTCCTGGGTGTCGTTTTCAGGAGACGTGGACACATAGCCACTCACTGATCCTTTGCCTTCTGCATCCAGCCAACCATCATCATTCCACTGTCCACTCACTCACTCACTCATTCATCAAATCTCATGACATATCAGCTGTTGCAGGTGCTGAGTCCAAATCTGTAATAAATCCTGTAGGCTGGGACGCTGGCGAAGTGTGGCTCCAGGGTATTGACCACCACTTCTCCCATCCTCAAGAGCCAGTTCCTCTTCTCTTTGTTCTCATCTTAAACCCTCCATGAGTTTAAGGGTTTCTTCCCACAATCACTCTCCCCTAATCTTAGAAGCCATAGAAGGTTACCCTCTTTCCTTTCTTTACTTGAATTTAATTCCTGGAGACACCCGACCTGTGTTCCCAATGTTCTATGCCTAGAGAAGGAGCCCATTATTCTGTAATTCTCTCTGGCCTCAGTTTTCATTTGACAATCGTGAACCCATCAGTCTAGCCTTCCCTTCACAATGGGTGCAGTAATGTCTGCTGCACAAGGCTGAGGCACGCACATGATAAGAAGCACTGGAAAATTCTGCTCTCAAACTATCTGGGGTGACTTAGATTTTGGCTGAATCTCTGTGGCTACCATGTCAAACCCTGACCCTCAATTAGTTTTTAGCTATAGAGGACCCTCTGCCGGCACCTTTCCCCTAAGCTTGGCTGCCTGAGTCTGCTAGGCTGCAAAGATCCACAAGGGCACCGTGACCCACCTGACCATCTGATTAATTCCTTGTTCCTATATTTCTCTCTCATCCAATTCCTAGATGCTGCCTGGAGACCATGATCACTTTGTGGCCACGGATACACAGTTACTATTACTATATTTCCATTTTTCTCTGGAAAACCTACTCCTCTGACTGCTGATCCTCACCCCCAACTCCATCTGAAGACAGCAGAACTGGTATGAAACCCATGTCTCTTCCAACCCCCTAGAAGTGGGCTCTGCTGGGAGGACTGGGCAGGGGGCAGGAGGGAAGCCCTTGAGGGGCAGGTGCTGGGCCCCATGCAGCCTGGCTAGAGCTCTGCGCAAGGCCAACCTACTTGTGGAACCAGGTGGTTTTCATGTAGTCCACGTTGAAGTACTTGACCTTGCTGAAGATGCGGATCCCCTCCTCGGTTCCCTGGATTTTCAGTGGGGTCGCAGAGAGGGCTGGGGAGACAGAGGAGGAGGGTAAATCTTCCCCAGGGACCTCTGGGCAGCGTGTTTTGGGGCCAGCCTGCTTGCTCCTGCCCTGCAGGGCAGTGTGGTGGGGAACGTGTGCTGCGAGGAGGAAGCAGCTTCTCTCCCAGTCTTTGGGTTGGACACTTAACCCACTTAACCCACCCCTGGCAGCTGAGGCTGGTGGGAGGCCCCTTGGAGGCTCTGTGGCAGGCATCAGGATGGGGCTAGGCAAAGAGGTGGGCTAGCTTACCTCCGATCCTGCCCAGCTCAGTGAAGATGGCATCCAGGGCTGCGGGGAGATAGAACGGTCAGCTGTGTGAGACTCTCTAGGGATGCCCAGGATGGGGATGTCCTTGGAAAAGGCTGGTGGAGCTCATGAGCTGTTCTCTGGACACAGGGAGATCTGCAGGATGACTTGGGGGTGAAGGGCTCTAGGGACATGGGGACCTCATTCATCTTACCTCACAGATCATTTCATAGTCTCTTGCTCTCATGTGACCCCCACAGCCCTCCTGGCCCATCTCTAAGGTCACCAGCTCCTACCTTCACCTTCGAGGTCCAGCATGGTGTTATCTTCCCCTCGCTCATCAGAGACCACTGCTCTGTAAATTCCCTGGTCCTCTTTGGACAACTGGAAGGATAGGAGATGGCCGGGTCAGCAGGGGTTTGGGAGAGATGGACGGCAAGTGAGGAGGCCTGGGCTGCAGGCCTGGCCCTGACTCTGCGGGACCTCAGGCGAGACCTCCTCTCTCTGGGACCTGGTTCACTCGTCTGGGCTGGTGGTTTCTAAGTGGCTCCAGTGACCGCTGGTTCCTTGCTCAGGGCCTGCCTGAGCCTGAGGAGGGTCGGGGTGGCTGTGGTGACCCCTGCAGTTGGGTTGACAGCACAGACAGCCCTCCTTGCAGAGCTTGTCTGAGCATGGCACACCCCCTGTCAAGCTGCCCCTGGCCTGGGGGCCCCGGATGGAGGGACCATTCTGCACCTTTCAGAAGGAAGCACGGTTGTGCTTGCTTGTGCCTGGGACAAGGGGGCCTTTCTGGCACATGTCTGTCAGCCCCACACAAAATCTGAACCCACGCTCAGCAAAGCAAGAACCCGGAGCACTTTTTTTTTTTTGATGGTGCTGGGATGGAACCCAGGGCTTTCCATGCTAGGCAAGCACTCTGCCACTGAGTTCCGGCTCCAGTCCAGGGGTGGTGCTTTCCAGGCAAGATCAGTGACCTCTCATTACACAACACTTCCTTCAGGGGGGTAATATTAGCTTCAAAGGTCCCCAGCACCCAGAGCATCCCCACATAGTGGGTTTGGGGCGAAGGTCCAAGGCAGAAGCAGCCCTTAACCTGGGGTTTGAGAGATTGAACCCCAACAATTCTTTCCTACGTCCCCCTTCCTTTCCTCCATGCACTGTCAGCTCTAAAGTTCCAGTCAAACTGGGAGCAGGGACTGGGGGGATTTATGAACCACGCCCCAGCCTTGTATCCTTGAACTTGACCCCTCTGAGCCTCAGTTTTCCCTTTGGTAAAACGTGGCCAGGGCTGATATAGCATTGTCCTGCCTAGGATTTAGAAGACCCCGGGATCACTATTTCCTCTCTAGTAGGCAGCCTGTGATTTCCCCAGTCCTACGTGGCCCTCAGCAAGACCATGGGACTCAGCAGCAGGGCAGAGAAATACAGATGGGTTAAGAACAAGCCCCGTAACCAGGCACACTCCTGCAAAGACCGTGGGGAAGGACGGGTGGGACAATCAAACTCCAGGCCCACTCTGTTCTGCCCAGACCTGTCTCACATGGAGACCTCTTTCCTGGATTGTCAGAGCAGGAAGGATCATTGAGAGAGCATCCCTTCCAACCTGCTCATCTTCCTGATGAAAGCTGAGATCAGAGAAGGACAGCTGCTAGCCTGAGGATTCACAGTCAGCAGCATGGCCAGGCCTCATGCCCAAGCCAAGGAAAATCAGTAACACATGTCCTGCCCGAATTGAAAATTTGGGTAGTTTTTTTCTTCAAGGTCTTTTTTTGTTGTTGTTAATTTTGATTTTTTTAATGATATTGCATGATGAGCTGGGGATATTGTTACTTACTTTGGTGATTGAGTTTTGATGTCCCTTAAGATGTGCACCTAGGACGAGGGCTTCCCTTGCTCGCCCTGGCCCCAGCCCTGCAGGGACTCCCAGGCCGGTGCCCTCAGTGCTGCCCACTTGCAGCTGAGGGCGGGGTGAGGCTGGAGCCCAGTCGGCACCCACCTCTTCAATGAGGATACATCCTTCTCCTGTCTGAGGGTCGTACTGACCGGCTGGCGTCTCCCTTTTCTTGAAGAACCACTGGAAGCGAGTCTCCTTCTTGGTGTTGGTCACCTGGGGAGGGTGGAGCACAAGGGGACGCCATCAGCTTTCTCAAGGGAAAACTCAGCCCTTCAGAGTGGTTCCACAAACATGGCTTCCTCCCTGGGTTCCAATCCCCCCCACACTCGGTCAGATCCCAGGGCCCCTTCCTGACGCCAGGAGTCTCCTCTGCAGGACTCTGGAACCAAAGCTTTTGCTAATAGCGTTCCCTCTGCCTCTAGGTCTCTTCCCTTCTCTATTCTCCTTGTAAATTCCTAGGCTTTTTTTGTGTGTGCATGCGTGTGTGTGTGCATGTGTGTGTGCACATGCATGTGCATACTGGGGATTGAACTCAGGGCCTCACACATGATCCACAAACACTCTTCCACTGAGCTCCACCCCAACCCAACACTTCTCATAGGCTCAGTTAGATGTCGCTTCCTCCAGGAAATCTCCCTGGAAGCACCGCACACCCCCATTGTGACCAATCCATTCCCGGCTCAGGTCTGATCCAGCTCGAGGCAAACTGCTTTCCAGCCGTCCTGGACCAAGGGCTCCCAGAGGCCTGAGGGACCAAGACTGCATCCTTGTGCATCTAGTACCTTGCAGAGCACTTGGCACATAGTAGGTGCTTCAAGTTCCCGGAATGAATATGCCCCTGGAGGAGCCCCCACCCACCCCGTCCTTCTCTGGTTATTGAAGAGGCTGCAGGGTGCTGAGAAGGACCTCCGGCTTTGGAGTCAAGCAGTGTCAGTTAGAACCTGGACTCCACGGCTAACCCTGCGGTCTTGGGATATTTCCCCGAGGTTTTCTCATCTGCGAGGTGGGGATAATAATGCATATTTCACCCACGATTGTGACATGGGTGAAATAAAATAGTATGGCAATGCTTTGGGCAGAGTCAGGCTCCCTGACCTACTGGCTCCATGGGACCCTGTCTGGAGGTGCTGGGAGCGCTGGCTCCGGGCTGACCCACCTCACATGCGTCCTCCTGCCTGCACTCTCTGGGAAGATGACTTGTTTTAGGTTAAGTGGGGTCTCCCAGGGGCCACTTCCCAGGTATGGGGTCAGTCAAGCACAGGGAATGGAATGGGGGATGGTAGTGGGGTGGGGAGGGACATCCAGTGGACTTGAGGACAAGCTGCAGGTCCCTCCCCACTGGCAGGTGGGGACTTGCCTTGCACGTTAGCAGCACTTGGCAGTCCTCGGTGATCTTCCACTGCAAGGGATCCTGGAAATAGGGACCTGCCAGAGGAACAGGAGACACACCCACTCATCCACACGGGCTCGGCCGGGCGCCACCTGGTGGCCGTACGGGGGAAGGCAGCTGGGCGGAAGCAGCGGAAGACCACTGGCCCCTAAGATGCTGCCCGCACAGGGCGGGTTGGGGTGAAGCAAGAGAGAGGCCTGGGGTGCAAACTCTAAGGAGGAACTCACTCGGGCTGGGGAAGTGCTTTTTGTTCTGGTGCCGGGACAGAACTGGACTGAACCTCACTGGGCCTCTCTGGGGTGGGGATGGGGCTCCTGTTAACACCCCGTCTAGCTGGTCTCCAGCGCGGACCAGTGGCCGAGGTGGACGTCCCTCCAGCACCTCCTACCTTGTTTTCTCTTCCAGTCTCTTCTCTTAGCCTCTGCCTTCCTCAGAAGTTTGTCAAAATCTGTGGACACACAGGGAAGAACTGGCATGAGCCCAGAGAAGCGCAGGACTCCAGGGTGGACAGGCCCCAGAACTGGGAGCCCAGAGCCTGCGGGGCAGGGAGGGCCGGTGCGGGGCAGCAGGGTGCGGGGGCGGGGCTGACCGTCGTCCACCAGGGCCAGGGTGATCTGGTTCTTAGCTTTTCCGTCTTGGAGCTGAGCGGTGTACGACCCCTTATCCTCCTCCGACAGGTGAAGGATGATCACCTCCACCAGCCCCTTCTCTCGGTCGAAGTTGATTTTGCGGTTCTGGGGAGAACAACCCCCAGAGTCACTTTTCCTATCCTGGGGATTTTGCTGTGGGGCGTACCTCAGCGGGTGGTGGGACTTGGGGGTGATGAGTGCAAAGTTATCAGCCTTCAGAGACTGGGAGGGGCCCCGGGCAACCCTTTCCTGCTTGTATAGATTGGGGCTCCCCCAGCACCCAGTGCCTGGGAACACCCCTGGATGCTTGAATTAATTACAGTTTAATAATAAGTCCCTCACCCCTCCTGTGCCTCATTTTTGGATATTTTCAACTTCGTTTACAATTTACTAGAACTTTCTAGAAGTACATAAAGGATGGTATTAAAAACCACCCATTACTAGCCAGCCATAATTAACCCCTCTTTACATTTTGCCACATTCTAGCAGTTTAAAAAGTTTTATTTTCCATATTTAGGTCCTTATTCTGTTTGGCTTTATTTGCATCTAACTTTATTTTGTTTTTCTGGAGGGGGATTTGATTGTCCAGATGCTGTATGATCTGTGCTTGGGGCTTTCCAGTTGGGTTCCTCATATGCTTCTCTTGATCCTGGGGCAACTTGTCCATTGAACAGATGCAACACAGAGGCATAGAGAGGTGGAGACCTGCCCTGGTTAGGTCAGACAGCCCATGGGACTGGATGTGAGTTTTCTGACATCCACCCCTGCCTGAGCGCATTCCCTTTGGTCAGAAACCAGCATCCACTTCTCTGTAACAAACACATGCTTTGCTTCTTTCTCCCTCTTCCTTCTTTCCTCCCTCTCTCCTTCTTTCTTCCTTCCTTCTTTCCTTTCTGCTGGGGATTTAACTCAGCGTCTAGCCCAGGCTACACAGCAATTCCACCAGCCCCAATCCTTGTTTTCTGATGGCAGCTTTGCCATCTGCAGACGAAATTCACAAATAACATGAGATTGCATCATGAGCTTGAATCTTTCATGACACTGAAATTGCCGTGTTTGCAGATCAATAAGGTTGAATATCAGCAATTTATATGGCTCATTCTAACTCAGCCTATCTACCTATGAATTAAAATAAAAACAATGTAGCACTTTCACTGTAATATGAAGAAGCAATAAAAATCATTTAAAATGAACCAACGTGTATTTTGATATGTGGACGCTGAGGCACAACCTCATTCATGCTGCACTGATTTATGATGAACGAGTTTGAATTTAAGAGAAGAAAAGCAAGAAGATCAGGAGCTACTGCATAAAGAATAGGAAAATGAGTAAATGAGCACAAGTGACCAATAGAACAGAAACTCTCCACTCAGTGTGCATGAAACTTGTGCAGAAGAACTTTATATTTTTACCTAAAACAGGGTTAGGGTCTGGGCTTGGATAATTATCTGCATGAAAAGGTGTTCCACCTTCAGGAGGTCTGCTGGGACATTTGAAAGTTGTAGAGGGTCTAGAAAATTCTTTTATAGAAATGTTCCTGACACATCCTGCACATCTTTCCACCTCCCATGTACTAGAAGCCAGGTGTCCCCATCCCCACTCCATCTTGGTGACAGCCAAAGCACAGAGCCATCTCTGAAATGCCCCTTGTGGGGAAGTTCCACCCTGTGGAGAGCCAAAGCCAGAGAAGGTCAGCTGAGTTGGGGGAGCTTCATGGAGGGACGGAGGGCCAATTACCGGTGAGCTGAAGATCTCCTTCTGGTTGAAGATGAGGTGCAGCTCAGCGGCTGGGGACAGCTTTTCCACCTCCAGCCAGAGGCGCACCTCTCCCTGCTCCAGGATGTCGATGTTCCAGCCGGAGATCAGCCTGATCACTGGGGGCACAGTTGGGAAGGGTGTGGGTGGGGCGCCCTCTCCTCCCCCTCCCCACGAGCCCTGCCTGGACCCCGTTGGCATTTGAAGTGTGAGGGGTTTGGAGAGCCTGAGGCTGGACTCGGGTGGGTCTGGGCAGCTTTTCTTTCCACTCATCTTGGCTCTTCCCCTTCATGGGCTCTGGGGCCATAGTCCACACCTGGTTGGGCATGAGATCCTGGGGGATTTTCAAAGACACTAGTGTCTGGACTTCACCTCCAGAGATTCTGATTTGCCCGGGCATTGGAATTTTTTTGGGGGGAGTATCAGGGATTGAACCCAGGGGCGCTCAACCATTGAGCCACATCCCCAGCCCTATTTTGTATTTTATTTAGAGACAGGGTCTCACTGAGTTGCTCAGTGCCTCACTTTTGCTGAGGCTGGCTTTGAACTCTTAAATCCTCCTGTCTCAGCTTCCTGAGCTGCTGGGATTACAGGCGTGTGCCACTGTGCCTGGTGGCATCTGGATTTTGAAAAGCTCCTGGGGGCGATTTCAATGTGCAGCCAAGTTCATGACCCTGGCCCTAGGATGGCAATGCACTATCCCTTGCCGATGGGGAGAAGCGGAGGTTTAGGTGATCCCAAACCCAAATGACTGAAGAGCCGATAACGATTATAAGAAGGGACCATCCCATTTCCTTCCCTCGCATCAGCTGGCCAAGGTCTCTTTCAGGGACTCCCCTGGTCTCTGACCCTCCAGCGCTGTGGCTCTCCATCCTGTGATCCAGGTCCCTTCCTGGCTCTCTGGTGGACCCAGCTCTGCTCAGGGGCTGCCCTGGACCCTGGGAGCTGCGCGGGGCTGTCCCTGGGAGGCTTACCTGGGTTTCTGATCTCATGACTCAACTTCTTCAGCCTGTTCAGCTCTGGGGTAGGGAGGGGCAGGGAAGAAAACAGAGAGGGTGAACTGTCCTGGCCAGAGGAGCCCAACAGAGCCATCCTTGTGTCCCATGCCAGGTGAAGTCCTGAGAGAGGCCCTCATCCGAGGAGTAACTTGGGGTCCTGTGCTCCACAGGGGCTGAGGATGAGCACCGTGGGCTTTGGCCCAGGGGCCCGGAGGGAGCTGCTAGGGCTGCTGCTGGAGGCCCCAGGGTTTCCTGTCCTTCAGGGCCTAGACCAAGCCCCACCTCCCTAGAGGAGCACCTTCTCGTGCCAGGCTCTGCTGGACCTCAGTAGTTCTCATGCAATGCTGTGGGCTGAGCACCTCTGTCCACCTGCAGGCCTCTCCAGGCCCACAGCCTCCTGAGCCTCATTGTTAACCCACATAGCATGCCGTCCTAGTGCCTGAGGGTCTGGACCACGCAGTGAGCACTGAGATGTCTCCACAGCTGGTCTGCAGAGTGCTGGCATATTTACTGACTGCTTCTTTGTGTCAGCTTTGTCTCTAGCGCTGAGCTGAGCTCTGGACTTACATGAGTGTCTGGAACATAGTAAGTGCTCAATAAATGTGTATTGCAGGGATGAATTGGCAGGGTCAGTCACACACCGCATTTTCTCTTATAATCCCCAGGGTCTTTGGCATGATGAGTTGGGATTCTGGCAAGCAACCCATCAACAAAATAAAAACCCCATTATGGTGGATGGCTTTAGTTTGCACAGAAACATCTAATTGTATCTGCATAATGAGATCGGTCTGTGGGGCAGCAGGGGTTATAATCCCCCTTTGCTGGCGAGGAAACTGAGGTCTGAGAGGTGATATGACTTGCTCAAGGCCAAATAGTCAGCAAATTGAGGAGCTAGAATTGGAACCCAGTCCCTCTGGATCTTGTTTCTTAGCACAATTGAAGGCCTTGATGTGCAACAGCAGACAGTGGGCACGGGCTCTTCCACTTGCTCTAAAGACAGCAGCCAGCGCGTCCCATCAGCCACGAGCACTGGTTGCATTAGTTGAGTCATCAGGTGTGGCTGGGCCTTGACACATGGCTTCCACACTCTGGTTAGCCACAGGCCTTACCGCTCCCTATCGGCATCCTCACTCCACAGAACAACTACCATTTGCGGTTCATTTTCACCCTTGCAATCTTGATTTTCTTATGCTATTGAAAAAAGCAAAATGATCCTGGAACATTTGCCTTTATCAAAAGTGGGAAAATGAAAGACAAGAAGAATGTGGATTCTCTCCGGCAGGGGTTTTTGAGTTGAGGGCCTAGGACTGCACCTGCCATATGGTGGAGGCTCCATAGGTGATTATTGATTGGCTAACTGAAGAAGTGTGTGTGGGGGTGAGGGCTGCTACACTCTGGTTGTGTTTGTGTTGGACTCGATCAGGGTCTGTCTCGGGGGAGGCGGTAGGGAGCAGGGGAATTACCTTCCTCCGTCAATGTGTGGCTTGCAGAGATGTCTTCATCGGCATCAGTGACTACCACTGAGTAGGTGCCCAAATCCTCAAGGCCAGGTTCTTTCAGGATGACCTTGGACCTGGCAGACAGGAGAATAGAGACTATGGGGTGGGGTCCTTGGTCTTGTGCACTGGGGGCTGAGAGCTGGAGAATCTTGGTTCTGGTGGCCAGTGCTGCAGTGGAGACCCCGACCAATCTGGGAAGCAGGGCAGCTGCCTCTCTGCACCTTCGCAGGGGCCCCTCTGGCCTGGCACCTTTAATGGCCACATTGCCCCATCTGCCTCCAGGGCCCAAGACACCAGCTTTATCTCCTGGTGGACAGGGCCAAGGCCACGAGCAGCCGGGGGAGGAGGAGGGAGACCTGGGGCATTGACAGACACCCTGGTGGTCATCTGATCCAACCTGCATTTATCAACGAGAAAGCTGAGGCCCGAGACTCTGCCAGAGCAGGAAGCTGGCACTCAGGCTGGGAACCGGGGCCTGGGCATCTCCGTGGAGTCTCCGAGGCAGAGGCTCATGCCGTTCCTTAGTGAAGCAGAAACTCCAAGAGATCGTCACCATTCCGGCCCTTCGGGGGGCTACCCCGCCACTCCTTCCACCGACTCCCCTTCCCGTCACTTGCCTGTTGACTTCATCCTTGATCTCCACCCTCTGGGGGTCTGGTGGACCCTTGTAGTCTTTGGACCATTGAAACTCCGAGGAGTCGGGGGCCTCTGGGGCTTCGAAAGCCAAGTAGATTTGGCCCTCTTCATCCACGCCGACCTCGATCTCCCGGGCATCTGAGGTGACATCCAGTGGTGGGCACTGGGTGCTTATGGAGGGTGAATCAGGTCATGCCCCTCGCTGCTTGGGCCCTCCAGTGGCTGCCATCACACTCCACACCATAAAGAGCCCAGACTTCCTTGCTTGCCCTCCTGGCTCCGTCTGGCTCCTTCTCAGCTCAAATGTCACCTCCTCACAGAGGCCCTTCCTGACTGCCCCGGCTACTGTGGCCCCACCCACCATAGCGCCATGTTTTATTTCCTCTGTGACACTCTACACTATCCTAAATTGCCTTCCTCGTAGAGGAGTTCCCTCGTTTACCGACCCCCAGCTCCCTGAGTGCTCCTCCCCCTCCCAGAGCAGGGACCTGCTTTCTCGTGAACTTCTGGGTCCCTGGTACCATGGCAGCATCCCTAAATATTTGTTGGGTGAGTGAATAATTGAAAGCCTGGAAAGAGAATGTGGTTGATGGTCACGAGAGCCGAGGGCTTCTGGCGTTTTCTAGCTGGGTGCCCTGGTTGTCAATCTCCCTGAACTGTAACAAAGTCAGTTCTAAAGTGCAAGGACCTAGAACAGCCTTTGGCTTGTGTCACAGGAGGGACCTCAGGAACTGTGGCTGTGACAGGCAAGGGCACTCCTGGGGACTCAGATGGAGCTGGGTGTCATTTAAAAGACGTACAAGGAGTGGCAGGGGTTTATGCATGTGGCCTGTGAAAAACTGGAAGGTACGGTCAAGTTTGTGGAAAGGTCGTTCCTATCTGGGGTCCCACAGAAACAGATGGGGGAGGGGAAGGGTGAGAGGAGGGGCAAGGAAAGAAAGATCTAGAAGATGTCCCAGCGGCCAAGGGAGGAGAGGCCCAGCAGACCCTGTCCTTGTGCTGCCATCCTCATGGGACTTCCCACCCCACCAACCTCCACCCGGCCTCGGTGACAGCCCAGCCACGGAGCACCAGCACCCTCCAGCTGTCCCTACCTGGCTTGTCCTCGAGGAGAACAGGGTCAGTAGGCATTGATGGTTGCCCAAGGCCAGCTGAGTTTATGGCCTGTACTTGGAACATGTACCTCTTTCCTGGCTTCAAGTCACACACCTGGGGGTTGGGGACAAGAGCAAATACTGAGGACAGTGAAGGTGCACCTCCTGGATCACCGGCCAGGGGCGCAGAACTACTTGGCAAAATCCTCAGGAGGACGCAGGCTGCCGGGGCCAGGGGACAGGCAAGGAGCCAGTCCCTCTTCTGAGTTATTCTCCTCCTGCCAAGAAAACCCTCTTCCTTCCTATGTTCCGTGTCTCTCCATAGATGTCAACCTTCCACCCACCAGCCCAGGGACAGGCCTGGGAACATCCATGATGTCCTTTCCTAGAGCCCTTCCCATACAATCACTAAGTTCCACCCATTTTATTTTCCTAACGTTCCTTGAAGGTGGCCCGGCCACGTCTTGACTGAGGTGTCATTTCCCGTTACCTGGATTAGCCCAACAGTGCCCTAAATGGCAGCTCTGTCCCCTTTTCCCCAGTCTGTCTTTCCCTCTGCCAATCTGATCAAGCTCCAATCTTTCAGTGGCCTTCAGGGTCAAGTTCGGAATTCGCCAGGCAGGACCTAAAGGCTTGCACTCTGCTTTAGACCCCTGTCCTCTTGCTCCTGTATAGACCCCTTCACTCCAAGGCTCCCCAGGGTCCCCACAGTCATGGTGTCCTTGCTGAGTCTTCCCTCCCTCCTTCTAGATAGAGCTCAGGCTTCCCCACTGAGCTCCGGCACACGCAAAGATCCTGGGAAGCAGCAGTGAGATTCCTGCTCTGAGCTCCGGGGAGTCCTCAGATCCATCTCCGTCTCTGAGCATTCATCACTCAGTATTGGAATGGCCTGTTACCCAGCGACCGTGACTTGTTCAGGTTTTTATGTCTAGGAACTGGTCCAGGCCTGGCACGGAGTAGGTGCCAAGAAGTGGTTAGAGAATGATTGAGCGAGTGGGTGGTAGCCAAGCATCCCCACGTGGAAACTGGGCCAAGTCCCTGAGGCTGTCTGCCTTGGCCAGGGCCAACCCAGGACTGGCCAGCTCTGCTGCAGAGAACGGCCCCCGGGCAGCGAGACTGCAGAGCCTCAGAGGATCCCACTGGGCGAGGCTTGTCCTCCCTGACGCTGTCTAACATGGCCTTAATCTCATCCTTATAAAATCAAAGCATTTTTAGTGTTTCCTGATTATAAAAGAAATGCATGCCGGCTGGGAAATTTCTAAAGCAATAGAGGAGAATGTCAAGGAAGATTGAATGTCCTCCTAGCGGCCCCACCCTGGAGAGGGCCAGGGTGAACAACTTGGTAAAGTCCTTCTAGATTTCCTGGAAACCTGCAGTGGCCATGTTCTGCTTGTTGGTATCTTTTCTGTCCCACACAGTTTCGGGCCTCTGGACCCTGCTGTCTTTTCTCTGGAGGGGTAGGGAATGGTCCTGGTGACTGAACACCTGTCTGTCCTGGGGAACGGGGCCTGGAGAGAGGGGTGGGGACATGGGCTGTCCTTCCCTAAAGCTGCACATCACAGAACCTGGTCCACATCAGAGAACAGTCCTGATACATGCTCCTTTGATGGAGGAGGCCCCCCGAGACCCACGGGCTTCCCAGGATGGACATTACGGCCTGCAGAAGTAGCTGCCAGTGACCAAAGTCCACAGTTCTGGCTGAGGGTCCCAGTGACTGTGTGCGGTGGAGGCTCCCGGGGACCCCTTCGTTTCCTTGACTTTGTCGTGCCGGGAAACCACCTTGGGCTTCCCTTCCCTCCTCCACGTGTAGAAGTTAAAACAACCACAAAATGAACAAAATGAACAAAACCAAGAGTTTTGTTGGATTTCTTACTTACCCAGAGAGTTTAGAGCTTGTTTCTCACGTGAAGAAGCACATGATTATTTATGTATGTTACGTATGTGTCTATTTGTCTATCATCTATCTGTCAGTCTACCTAACATGATGGATATATTACGTGCCATCTTAGCATACAGACATCCCCTGCTAGATCCTGCTTTGCTTGTCCTGGCTGCAGCAGAGACCTGTATTTCATGTCAATGTCGCGTGCTGTCTGCTCCACTCTTTCTACTATTGTCACTCCTTACACTCCCTGTTCTTTCTACCACCTGGCACAGGACTCCACTTGAAGGACACACTCAGTGTATCTCAGCACCCCCCCTACTGATAGGTCCTTGCATCATTCTTTAGGATTCAGTCCTAGAGGCAGCATTCCTCCGTCAAGGGCTAAGCGCATCTAAATGCTGATATAACCACTGACTTTCAAGTGAGTTTTTAAGGAGGAGTCTATTCAGTGTGGAGCAGGGTGAGGCCACCAGCCCAGACCTACTACTACAAGGTCGCTTGCTGTGTGACCCCTGGTAACCCACCTTCCCGCTCTGGTCCTCTGCTGCCATTGAGTGAGGGACATGCTCTCTGATGGTTGTTCAGCCAGGAAGTCCTGTGGTTCAGGACATATCCAGGGGCAGAGAGGGCTCAGGGCTGGCTGGAAGGGGCGGGGCTGGGGGTGTGGCTCAGTGGTAGAGGCTTGCCCAGCACCCTCGAGGTCCTGGGTTCTATGAAGGGGCAGGAACTCACCCTGAAGTGGGTGCCAGGGATGGGGTCTGCAGTGACTGGTATCCATTCCTCAAAGCCTTCTTCCTGGACACTGATGCGGTAGCCTGTGACTGGCCCAGCCCCCGTGTACAGCGGGGGCTCCCACTGCAGCATGAGGCAGGAGGCCCGCACCTCAGACACCCGCACATCATACGGGGGGCCTGTGGAGAAGGGGAACAGGGCAGAGAGGTGGGGTTGGGCAGCCAGATGGGCAGTGAGCCGAGTGGCCAGTTTGTCAGTCACAACCAAGACTGGAAGGGTATAGTGGGGACCTGGGCGGCCTTGGCCTCATGCAAGATCAACCCTTCAGGAAGCTCCCTGACCTTCTCTGTCCCCATCCCAGACGGCGTGATTCTTTCTAATGTCATTGCCATTCTAATGTCCAGTACAGAGGCAAAGGCTGTGACCTCCAGAGCCACGGTGGAGACTCTGGGTGAGTGATTTAACCTCCACGTTCCTATCTCCTCATCTGTAAAATGGGGGTGATCCGTGATGGCTGTTCTCAGGCTGCAGTGTCTGGGACACAGCGAGGACCCAGGTAATTAACTGTTACCTCTAAAAGTGCTACGCATTGCAATTACCTGCCACCAGGGGAGGGTTTTGTGTAGAAAATGGATCTAAACTGAGCAGTGACAGAGGCCACGATGGTTCCTTCCTCGGGGGCCACTGGGGGGCTCATTGTGAGAAAGCTAGCGGGGGTTACGGGAGCAGTGCACAGCGTGGCCAGCTGTTCCCGTTGGTCCGGGAGGGAGGGTATTCCTGACTTTCCGTGTTTGACCGAGAAGGTCGTGGATAAACTGGGATGAGTTGGTCACCCTGCAAGTGTGGCCTTGGTCTGTGGGCAGAATTGAGCTTGGATGCTGTGCTGAATCGGGGGGTAGTATGTGCTGGGGTACAGGGCCAGTCGAGGTCCCCTAAGGCAGGTTTAATTTGGTGTGCGTCAGGGGTTTCAGGGTTCGTTTGTGTAGAGGGGGTCTGGGGTCTGGGACTGACAGCACAGGCCGGAGACCTGGGGCTGGGGAGTGGGACAACTCTCCTCAGTTGTCCCTGTGGGGAGGACAGGAGGGCAGGTGCTGGACCTCAGCCCCCCGTCTTCTCACCTGGCTGGGGCATCGTCCACTCTTTGCACTCGAACAGGCTACTGGGCGCCGACAGCTCGCCAACACCTGCCCAGTTGGCCGCCCGGCCACGGAACTCGTAGAAGTGACCTTCTCGAAGATTACTGACCTGGAGGAGCAGACACAGAGGTGAAAGGCAGGGCTGGGGAAGGGAGGAGGAGGGCGGGATCCAGAGCAGGAGGTCCGTGGGGGCTTTAAACAGGGTTGTCGGCGAGGTCTGCTCTTGAACTTGGCTGCAGTGGGGAGGCAGGGCAACTGGAGGCCTTCTTCAGATTCGGAGCCTCCAGCTTGGCCCTCCCTGCCCCGCAGAGGGATGAGGCCCACACTGCAGCCTCACCTTGCAGACCCGGCCTGGGAGGGGCTGCTGGTTGACCGGGTGCCAGTCCAGCTCCTCTGAGTCGTGCTGGTCCAGGAAGTAGCCCAGGATCTTGCCGCCTCCGCGACGCTTGGGGGGTTTCCACCCGATGACCATCTCATTCTTCCCACAACTCAGGAGGGCGAAATCATACGGGGCCGACGGGGTAGCTACAGGAGGCAGGAAGGAGAGGTGCTGCTCCTTAGGGTGCTGGATTGGGTGGTGGAGTCTGGGGGAGCTCTGAGCACCCTTGGGGGCACCCACCTGCTCCAGGGCTTGCTCCCTGAGCCCCACAGCATCTACCCCTCCTCCCCGGGGCACTGGGCCTCAGATTTCCAGACCCGGGGGCCTCCTGACCCCATAGAGATGAAGGGGCTCAGGCTTCATCCCAAGACCCCAGGCCACTGTTACTTCTCCCCAAAGGAGAGGGTGGTTAGAGGGCTCCTGTGCCCCTCACAGGGCTTCTGCTCCATTGGTGGCTGGGGTCAGACCCTCCAGGATATGACCTATACGCCCCGCTCCCAGCCAGCTCAGGCTGCCCCAGAGGCTTGTGGGCTGAACCTGCCCCTGGACTCACCCAGTGCCTGCTTCACCCTGATGGGTCCAGTGGAGGCCGAGCTCTCGCCCACGCCTGCCTCGCTGACCGACCTGATGCAGAACTCGTACTCCCTCCCCGTCCTCAGCCCGGGAACTGTAAACCTGGGCGAGAACGGTGCGGCCTTCAGGGATGGCTTAAAGGCCCCGAGGCTTTCTGAACTTTCTAGAACAACCTTGTGCAATAAATGAGTGATAGGGCTGAGGGTTCTGGGTCAGTTCTTCTCTAAAAACTATGCCCTTGATCCCAGAGTGATGCCCGAAGAGGCACCACGGAGGCTGTTGTCCTCGAGGTTGTAAAGGACTTCCCCAGGGACCTCCAAGAAGGGGCAAATACACAGAAAAAGGGACAAAGGCCAAGGCGGCATCTGACCCAGCGCTAACTGCGCATCTTCAGAACTTGGGCCTTAGCCTTGAAACAGAGCGTGTCTGTTATTGTCTGCACTGATGCTGTGATTCAAAAACAGAGTCCTCTTAAAGATCACCCCCCAAAGACCTGTCATCCAGGGACAAATAAGACCACCCAGGCTTAGAGAAAATTGTCCTTCTCATTCTGTCCCTTCTCAATAAAACCTCTTTTTGTAGACCTCTCTTTTCTTTGGCCACATTTTTCTGTAGCGAATCTTGTTCTGCAAGGACTCCTCTAAGTCAGTGGTCACCTCTGTCCCTGGTCTCCTGCAAACAGCATGACCTTGGCAAGTGACTGTCAAAAACAGGCCATCTGGGTCTGTATCCCTGATCCTGCACTTACTAGCTGTGGGAGTAAAATGACACTAAGAATCATTGTCATAAACCCAGGGTCACAGTGAGACTCGAGGACCTAAAATATGAAGGAGCCGGGAACAGGGTCCAGGGTTCATCCTGTGAAATGGTGGGCTTCCATATTACTATGGCCCCTCTTTGAGGATGCCCTTGACCAGGAGCTGGACTTACCTGCTGTCCTGGATGGGTTTGTTGTTAACTGTTTGCCACTCAGATGACCCCACCTCCCGGGAGTAGATGTAATAACCCAGGAGCTCTGGGCCCCCGTCCACAGGATCCCAGACCAGGGAGACAGAGGTCTGCGTGTCTCGGAGGGCTTGAACTTTAGCTGGGGGAGGGAGAGTAGCTGTACAACAGAAACGGGGCAGAGAGAAGACACTGAGTTATGGCCCAGATGGGGCTTTGGTTCAAAGTTTCCCAGTCCCTGAAGTGTGCCTGAGACTCTCCTGTCCTAAAGTCCTTTCTCCTCTGACTTCTGAGCGTGTCGCTTCTTCACTTAAACATTAAAACCCTCATTCGTTGATCCTTGTGATCTCTCAGATGTCATCAAATCTGACAGTGACAAATCTATCACTCCTTTAGTCCTTATCTTCAATCTCAAGAAACTTTGATTTTCTTTCCTTAAAATTTATCTACTGAGTTTCAAGACTCTCGGAGACTAAGCTCCTTAAGTTGGGGCTGCTATGATTTGTTAGATGGATAGATATAAATGGATGGATGGATGCATGCATGGATGGACAGATGGATGGATAGTTGGATGGATGAATTGATGGATGGACATACAGATGCATGGATGGACGAATGGATAAATGGTTGGATGAATGGATGGATGGACAGATGCATGGATGGACGGATGAATGAATGGACAGATGGATGGTTGGATGGTTGGTTGGATGGACAGACGGATGAATGGATGGTTGGATAGGTGGATGGATGGATGGATGAATGGATGGTTGGATGGATGGATGGATGGATGGACAGATAGCAGGTATACTATCTTCCTAGCTCTCTCTTCACTTAAAGTCCTTACACATCCATTGGCGGCTCTCCGTCTTCCTTTTGCCCCCAAATGGGATTGCTCTGACTTTTTTTTCTTAACCTACTCCATTTTTCTCTTCTCCTTTTGTTCCGGAGGCTCCCGCCTCTCCAGTGCTTCAGCCCTGGCCTCTGTAGGCCTCACCTCTAGCTCTGCCCTCCGCTGACCTCAGAGCCTGTCTACCTTTTCCCTTCCGATATCTCCTTTGTGCTCTGGTGGAGCCTCGGAGGCAACAGGAAAAGTTTGAACTTAGCACCTGCCCAGCATGATTCCTGCTTCTGTCAGTCTGCTTCCCACCAGCCACCACGCTGGCCCTGAGCACAAACTGAGAAGCAGACTCAAGGTCCCACGTGCAGGAAGGTCCTGCCTCCCATTCAGCCTCTGAGATTGAGGAGTGAGGTGGGGGGTGCAGCTGGGTGGAGGGAGAGTCACTCAGGAACCCCATTCATAGGTGCCATATGTGTAAACACACACACACACACACACACACACACATACACCCCTATTACAGCAGAGCAAATACAGGACTTGAAATCATCCCCACATGGGCCCAGGGCCTTCTTGGGATGGCTGCTGGTTCCTTAAAGAACTAGTTGGCAGTGGCTGCTTGCAGAGACCCTTCTGATCTGACTCAGGAAAGAGCAAAGAACCCCAGAATCCAGAGGCCTCCGAGGGCCTCCAAGGGGGGGGGGCTAGGGAAGTCGAAGCCAGGCTGGGGCTGCAGCTGGGAGCTTCAGAAGGAGCTGGAGGGAGAGCGGTAGCCAGGGCCTTCAGAACGATGGATCTGGCAGGTGAGGATGGCAAGGTTTGCATCAGGGACGTGGCTTGCCCAGGCCCACATTGTCCTGCTGGGTGAGTCAGGGCTCGGGTGGGACAGCTTGGCCCCCTCAAGGAGGGAACAGGGGGCCTGCTTGGGAGGCCTCTGGCTGCAGGCAGGATCTAGAGACCTTTAGATCTGAGAAGCTCCTGTGCTGGACCCAGCTGGACCCTGTCACCTGTAAATTGTTCATCTGAGAAAAATGTCCACACCTCCCTGAACCTGCTGCCCAGAGAATGGAATTTCTTTCCTTTTTTTCTTTTGGGGATTAAACCCAGGGTGCTTAGCCACTGAGATCCACCCCCAGCCATTTTTTGTTTTCTATTTGGAGACAAGGTCTCACTGAGTTGCTGAGGCTGGCTTTGAACTGCCTCAGCCCCCCTCCCCAAGCTGCTGGGATTACAGGCATGTGCTGCGGCACCTGATGAGAATGTGATCTCTGACATCGTGAAACTTTACAGGCCTGAGATCATGACGGGTTGAAGGGGTCAGGGGCAAGGAGGGGTTCCCAGCCTGCACCGCTGGGTCCTCTGCCCCAGATGCTGGTGGCCCAGCCTGCCTCCCGCGCCCCTCGCTGCATCACCCGGTACCTGGCTTGCCCCGCAGGGCGATGGGCTCGCTGGGCTCCGAGGGGTCGCTCATGCCGTACTGGTTCATCGCCCGCACTCTGAAGACATAGGACTTGCCTTTCTCCAGGTCGAGAAGGGCGAACCTCGGGGACTTGACAGGGGTTTCTGACCTGATGGCCTCCCAGGTGCCACTCCCTATGACCGACTGAAGAGAAGGAGGAACAGCGTTGGTGAAGGGATGGCAGGGGCCTGGCTCTGGGCCACATGTCCTCAGGAGCTTGTCTCCCCCACAGGGGCTGCCTGAGCACCCCAGAGCTCTGTTCCGCTGCCTCCTCCATCTCTCCACCCGGACGCCTACTGAGCCCTCCACTTCCGCAAGTCCAGGGCTCAATCTGGGGTTTCCCAACCCGTGTGTTTGCCTTGTGCCAGAGGCACCCACACTCCCGGTGGCTTGGGCCCAAATCCTCGGAGCCCTCCTGGGCTCGGGCCTCACACCCAAATGCGTTCCATCAACAGATCTGACCAGCTCCACCTTCAAAACCTCTCCAGAGTTCAGCCATGACTTGCTACATAACCTTGATCCAGGCCAGCATCACTGGTCACCTTAGCTGTTCAGCTAGCCCCTTATCTGGCCTCTCTGTTTCTACCTTCGACTCCTCTCCGTCTTTCCTCACATGGCTGTCAAAAGCACCCTTTATGGTACAAGTCAGATTAGGCCCCTGTCTGCTCAGAACCTTCCTAAGCCCCCCGTTGACCCCAGAAAAAATGCTTCCCCACGACCTGAGCTCGGCTGCCTGTCTGGCCATGATCCAGTCCCCACTTTGTCCACCTGCCACAGCCCTGGGCCTCCCTGCTGCTCCTCAGTGGCCCAGGTCTGGCCTCAGGGCCTTTGCACTTCCTGGTCTCTCTCCTTCCTTTACTGAAAACTCGCCCTCCCAGGGAGAGCTTTCCAGGGTGCCCCTCCCAGCTCTCGACCTAAAGAGCTTTGGTTTTTCTGATTTATCTCGTTTATCCGGCTTTCCCACCCCGTGCATCGCCAGGGCCAATAGTTCGGGCCCGTGGGATGAATCGTTGAATAAATGGACGAGGTCTCACAACCGTCTTGCCAGATAGATGTTAGTTTCCCCACCAGTGGGGGAAACGGGTTCAGAGGCTTTTTGGAAACTTGCCTGAAATTCGTCCCTATGGTAGATGTGGCCTTTAAACCTGCTCACTCTCCACGACCTCGGGGACCCAACAGGCTCGTCCACCCTGAGCCTCTGGGCAGATGGAGGGTGAAGGGCCAGGGGTGACTTGGGCAAGTGAGGCCCGAGGAGACCGTTTCTGCCGAGTCTGGACCCAAGTGTTGGGGCCCAGGAGCACCAGGGGAGCCACTGTCCCTGCCTCCCTGTCTTTCCTCTCCAGGCTTCCAGTGGCCTAGAACCCAGCGAGGCCCAGAAAGTAGCTTCAAGGAACACCTCTGAGCATGGTGCCCTGGCTGTCTCTGCTTGTTTTAATAAGTCTGGTCCTCCCACAAACCCTGCGAGCTGTGTGTGATTTTACCCAAAAAGAAACTGAGGCAGCAAGAAACTAAATAACTTGGGAGTGGGAAGATGGCCCCTTTGGATAACCAGGGCTAGGGACTCCTCCCTGGAAATGTCTGGTTCTTTTATTCTGGAAGCCTTTACTGTTACCTGCTGTGTACCAGGCACTGTTCTGGGCACAGTGAGTAAAGAGAAGAGAAACTTAGTCTCTGCCTTTAGGGAGAGGAGTCAAGGACACTTCTCAGGAAGCATTCACAGCCCAGGGGCTGTGGCCTCTGACTGTGTGTCTTATTTCATCCTCCTAGGGCAGGTTTTTCCCTTTGGGAGGGAGGAAGCTCAGATAAGTTAGGAAACTGGCTGAGGATCACACAGCGGAAACCTGGATCCGAATAGATCTTAACACCCGTGCGGTGTTCTATTCTGCCGCCTCCCCAGCTCTGAATCCACCCCAGATGAATGGGTCCACCTCCCTCACAGTGTGCCCTGCCCCTCTCTGTGTCCAGTGAGGACTGACCTCGAGTGCTGGACACTGGCAGGTGGGCAAAAGCCTGTGTCACTGGCTGGTGGGCAAAAGCCTGGCTTCCCTCCCATCATGGCCCTGCCAAGAAGATGCATGTGACCTGACACCAGTGACTGGAGGCAGGGGTGCTCAGGGAACGGTGGATATTGTTGTCTGCACCTCTTGATTTTATGTATTTCATGAACAGCCTTAGGAACTGCTGTCATTAAGTAACTAATCTCTCAGGGTTAGTGGGAAAGGCCATTTAATCCATCCCCCTGCCTCTGTGTTAGGGAAGTCTTTTCTGTTCTCTGAAGCCCCCCCGCCCCCAGGGACACTGCCTGGGGTTTCTGAGTACCCAGTGCTTCCCAGCACCCCGGGTTCACTTCCCAGGCTGGGTCCTCGGGGCTCCCACCTTCTCCAGGGAGTACTGCAGCGGGGCTTTGCCCCGGGGGCGCGGCTCATCCCAGCCCAGAACCACGTAGGCCTCTCGGATCTCGCTGGCGTGGACGTTGGTCGGGGGTGAAGGAATGGTCACAGCATCTGGAATTGGAGTCACCCGGGGCAGAGACGGGTGGGCGCTCAGAGACCCCTCATCTCAGCCCCTCATTCCACAGAGGAGCGAGCCGGAGCCCAGAGAGGGGCAGGAATTTGCTCCAGACCACACAGCGAGGCCAGGCAGAGCTGTTGCCAGACCCTGGTCTCCTGATGCCCTGCTCGGGGCTCTTCCTTAGGGACCGCCTCCTCCAGGAGAGGCAGAGCCAGGCAGGACACAATGACCCCGGCACCTGTGCCTCTTCTGACTGACCCTCTCCCCTTACGTCCCGGCACCCTGAGCATTGACGGTTTCTGTGCTTTGCCAGCCTGTGCCTGCTCTGGGGGACAGGACCGTAGGAGCTGACTGGAGGCCTGGGCCTGCGAGGGGCACTCATACCTTCAAAGTCATCCATGCTGACCGTGATCTTGCTGCCCAGGTCAAAGGGGATCTCTAGGAAGGAGGATGGAGCACGTGGGGTGGGTCAGGAGGCAGCCAGGGCCTGCCCCACCCCGGGTTCTGAATGCAGCCTGGTCCTGGCTGGGCAGCCCTCACTCTGTGACCTCAGGCAGGTGCCCTCTGGGCCCAGATTTCTCTGGAGCCCAAAGTGGAGCCCTGCTGCTCTCAGGCCGAGAGATGCTCTGTCTCTCGAGGCAAGTGGGGACAGACAGGAGGCATGATGGGCCTGGGCATGACCGAGCAGGGGCAAAGCTAAGTGACTCCCGAGGCTGAGAGGGCCGGGTCCCCACGCTCCCCCAGGCAGGGGTCCTGAGGGCAGCCCCTTCTCCTCCATCAGGCTGAGGACCTGAGGAAGCCGTAGTCCTCCCTGGACTGGTGCCTCCTGTGGGTGGGTTCAGCAGACTGGCTGCACCTTCCCCCTCAGGCTAGGGCTCCCTGGGGCCTGGGGTGTGTCTTCCCCTTAGAGTGAGGCTGTGTCTCCCGGGTGAGGCGCTCCTGAGCATGCCCTGACTGATGCTCCAGAACGTCTTCAGGGCCTCTGTCCTTACCCATCTTCCTCCCAGCTGCGTCATAGTCGTCCATGACGACCACTTCCGAGGCCTTGGAGGGGAGGCTGCTGCCCGCCCTGCTGATGGCTCTCACCCGGAACCGATAGCTCTGGCCTTCCACGAGGCCTTGGATTGGGCACCGACAGGTCCCCCCGGGGGCCTCGTGGCAGGGCACCCATTCACTGGAGTCACCCTGGCACCTGTGGGAGACAGGCTCTGGCTTCAGCCCCTGCCGGCGCCTTAAGCCCTCCAGGTTCGCGCCTCTCCTGGGCTGTGCTCTGGGCCTGGGGCTGTGCCTCCCGCCCACCCTCACCCCTGCTCGCCACAGTCCTGCCAGCTCGGACGATCGTGCCACCAATGGGCATTGCCCTCAGAGACAGGAGCACTGTCTCCACCCCAGGTCCCCTGCTCTGAGCAGTAGAGGCAGACTTCACTGAGCACTGTCCACTCCCTAATTTGGCGCCTTCTAGGTGCACCCCCAGGCCCCGGGCTCTTACACCTATGGGTGGGGGCAGCACATGTGGCTGTCACAGGCTGGACGGGGCAGTGCTCATGTGTGGGTTCAAGCCCTGCCTCCACCACTGATGAGTAGTGTGACCCGGGCACCGTCACCTCCATGTGTGGAGACATTAGAAAGTCCCCCTCCCTCTTAGAGGACATTGTCAAGGCAAGGCACAGTCCTGGCTCAGCCTCAGGGACACATGGCCGTCCACTGTCCTGAAGGGGGAGGATTAGCAGGTTTCTCTCCAGCGGGGACCTCAGAACTGACAGTATATGAAAGAGGCACGGGTTCCGGTCCCTAGCCTTTGGTCCCCTTCCTACTGTGCCCTCTCCTCCAGGACCCGACACGGGAGTGGCCAGCACATTCTCATGTGCTGGGGTTTCCAGCACCCTCTGTTTTGGCCCAGAATTCTAGGCATCCGATTGACACAGGTTTGAAGCATGGACGCCTCTTCTGCCCCGAAATCATCCAACTCGGTCAACCTCCTGCCCTGGGCCAAGAAGCAGGGGAGGCTTCCCGGAGGCCAGGCACGGGGCTCCTTTCTCTTGTGGCCGCCACTCTTGTTCTCGCTACCAGGCAGAATTCTACCCTGGGGACGCGGCCTCTCCAGAGACCCGCTCACCTCTCGATGGAGTAGCCCGTGATGGGGCTGCCCCGGGTGTCGCTGGGCGGGGTCCAGGTCAGGATGAGGCCGTCTCTGTTCACGTGCAGGCACTGGACATTCAACGGGGAGCCTGGGGCCCCTGGGTTCTCGGCTGCAGCATCTGACACCGAGAGGGAGCACAGAGGCTCGGTCAGCGAGCCCCACAGTGACCTCCCACTTAAGTAACGTGCCCAAGGTCACCCAGCTAGAGAAGTGGCCAAGCCAGGAGTCAAACCCAGATGGGAAGGTTTAGGCGGCAGAACTCAATAGGTGACCAGAAGGACCCAGCCTACCCGCAGCCCACCTCCCCAGTCCCCACCCACTCCGCCTCTCTGCCTGTATCCTTTTTGGAGGGTCACAGGCGGCCACAGGGATTCTTAGACAGGATCTAACCTGAGGCCCCAGGAGAGGCAGATGGCCAGCAAGTCCAGGGTGGAGCCTTGGCCTCTGGGTCCTAGCAACCCACCTGCCCACCCCACGCCTCACCTCTCACGAAAACGTAGGTGCTCTGCTCCCTGGGACCAAAGGGTGAGGGCACCCTGATTGTGTAGAGTCCCTCGTCCTCCTTATAGGCACAGGACACCTTCAGGGATGCCTTACGGTCCGCGTAGAGCATCTGCCGACGTCCCGAGGACCTCAGTAGCCTACCTGTGATGGAGAAGGGGGTCCAGCATGAGTTTGGGGGATCCTGGCTTTAGCAGCTCTGCAGGGCTGGAGGCCTGGCTGGGCAGAGAGAGAGCCTGGTGTGGCTACAGTCTGGGGTTCAGCTCAGGTAGGGGTGGGGACTTCAGGACTCCGCCAAGGTAGTAGTTGGAATCTGCAGAAAGCTGGGGGAGGGGCAGGGCTTGGTGGGCATGGTGGGGGTGGTGGGCAAGGTGGGGGTGGGTTCAAGGCCAAAGTGGAGGTCCAGGGAAATGGCTGGCAAGGGGAGGAACTGGGGGTTCTATGAGGAAGGGAGAGAGGGTTCTGTATGCGATCAGGGGTTCAAAGAAGGGGAGCTTATTGAAAGTGAGGGGGGCTCAGTGGTAGGACCTGGGAGCTTAATAAAGGAGGCCCCCTTTACAGAGCCCCCGGGTTGAGGGCTGGGGCTCCATATAGGGGCCAGGGTCTCGTGGAGAGAGTTGGGGTCTCTCAGTGAGGAGGGCAGAGGGCCGGTTGAGGGGCTCCATGGGTGGGATGTCAGTGAGTTGATAGGGACTCTCAGGGACTCTGGGGGGTGCAGGGAGTGGCCAGCCCGGCCCCTGGGGAGCCATCCCTCTCTTTGCTCTGAGCAGAGAGGCACTTCCTTCCTGCCAGCGCCTCTATTCTAGATGACCCACAGGTTTGGGGGACATCCCAGCCTTGTTACCGCAGCTGTTCCTCAGGGCTCGGGTGACTTCCACACCTCCCCTCCCCCGTGTCCCCAGCAGGTGCAGCTCTGGGATGAGAGCCAAGGGTGCTGGGGTGGGGGAAGCTGTGCTCCTCGACCTTTGGCTGCAGGCTGGTCACGGATGGGGCAGGAAGCCCAGCTGTCCTTCTCCCCCCTGCTGGGTCACCTCTTCCTGCTTAGCTGAGTCCTTGTCACGGTCCTGGCCTGGGACATCCCCAGAGGTCTCCTAACAGTCATTTGCCTGGCACCCACATGGCACCCTGACTCTGGGGAGTCCTGGACACAGCAGGCTGCTCCGAGCAAGGTCCTGCTGCTGTTCAGATGCCCTGGGTGGTCATGGGGCACGGGGAGGGAGGAGCCAGTGCCCAGCCTCAGGGGCCTGGGCTGTGCCCAGGGCTTCCTCCTGGTCCCCAGCTCATGCTCCTCTATACCCACTGCCTGCCCAGGCCCCAGCTCAGGCCTAGCACTCCGTGGGTGCTTGGGGCCCCCACCTGACTCTGCTCCTGTCCTCCTTGGCACCCACAAGGCAGCTGGTGCTGGGTGGGGGAGGGGCACGTCTGAGTCTCATGGGGGAGGGTCTCAGCCTCTGGGCCTTTTCTGGCTTCTGGCCTCTCTGGGGGGTGCCTCTGAAGGCCGGGGGTCCTCACCATCTCGGAACCACTGGATGTTCTGCTCCGCGTCTAACATGTCCTCCGAAAACAAGCAGGACAGGGAGAAAGGCTCCTTCTCACGGGCGAAGACGGGCCTCAGCACCGACGTGAATTCCACGTTGGGCCCAAACAGCGATTCTGGGACAGGGACAGAAATCCAGGGCAGAAGTTGTCTGAGATGCCACCCCGACCTGGGGCCTGGGTGGGAGGGAGGCCCTGGGTGTCCCTGTGCCTGTGGGTTGGGACTCAGCTCTCCCAGCACAGTACTGACAAGGCAAGAGGGGCCTGGCCCCGGGGGGGCGGGGGAGTAGGGGGCAGATAAGCCCCAAGAGCAATACCCCAGGGCCGAGGCCGGTCTCCTTCGTTTTTTGCCTTTGTGACCCAGTTTTGGTCAAAGGGCAGCTCAGACTCTGGGCGCAGCTGCGGGGTCGGTCATGAGGGTCGTTCCTAGTGGACAGCGCTTTGTGGACAGTGGATGGGTCTGTTCTGACAAGGACTACAGGGAGACCAAAGCCTAACTAAGGAGTCCCCGACACCCTCTCCCAGTGAAGGCCCACCCCCACCCCGCCCACTTACTTAAAAAAATTTTTTTTTCAGTACTGGGGATTACACCCCGGGGCACTCCCCCACTGAGCCACATCCCAGCCCTTTTTATTTTTGAGACAGGGTCTCGCTAAGTTGCTGAGGCTGGCCTAGAACATGCCATCCTCTTGCCTTGGCCTCCCAAGTAGCCCCCAGCTCACTTACTTTTAAAGATCTCTGAATCGAAGCCAGCATCCTTCCCCAGGTAAGCTGAAAATCAACACAGACGGAGTTGGACAGCGTTCAGACCCCACATTCCTACAGGTTTGGGGGGCATGGCCCTGATGTGGGTTCAGGTCCTGGGCTGTCAGTGGCCCCTGTGGCCGATTCTCCGTCAGTGGAACCAGGTCAGGAATTCCTACCTGGTGATGGGGGTGGGGTTAGGAATGAATGAGATCCCGAGAGTCAAGCCTTCAGCCGGAGCCTGACACACAGTAGGTGCTCAGTAAATGTCCCAACTGGCTCCAGGACACACAGTGTCTTCATAGAGGTGGAGCCTGGTCAGGGACACTGGGCTTTCTGGTGGGATCAGCACTGACAGCCCATCAGAGGCTTAAGGGTGCGATCCACGTGACCCCCGGGGATGGGCAGGAGCCGCCATGGCGCCCACAGTGCTTACCAAGCGCTTTATGCTAATTTGATTACTCCTCACCCGGCCCTGTCTGTTGCTGCCGTTGTCCTCGTACAGATGAGGAACCTGGGGCAGAGTCACCCAGCGAACCCCAGGGTCCTGAGGCCAGGATGCCCCCCCCCCCCCGTCCCTGGAAAGGTCCTCCCTGAGTGAGGTCCAGCAGGGCAGGAGGCTGCCCCAGTGGTACAGAGGCCAGTGGGAGACTCGGGGCGGGGCGGGGGGAGATGAGGAAGACCAGGGCCCTGCCTCCCAGCCTGGGGCCTTCCACTCAGACCCCGAAGTCACCATGCAGATGAGGGGTGGTGGGGTCGAGGGGAGTCCTGAGCAGGGGCTGGCGAGAGTCTGAGCTCATGGACCTGCAGCTGTTGGCCCTGACGGAGGGAAGGACAGGGATGTGGGGGGCGGGTGGACAGAGAGGCAGGGTCCTGCTGTCTGACCTTGGACTTGGCTCTGGCCAAGGCCTACGGGGCAGCTCAAGTTTCCACTCAGAACCTGGCCTGGCAGCCAGGACAGCGGCCTTCCAAGAGCTATTTGAGGAACAGGGCAGAGGGCGGGGAGGCTGCGAAGGACAGTTTAACAAGGCCTGTGGCTGTGGGGAGGGCGGGGCTGGCCCCAGCCTGTCCACTGCCCAGGACAGCTGCCCTGGGTCAGGGGGAGAGGCTTCTCACTCCCGGGGGCCCTGAGGGCAGGGTCCGTAGGTAGACCCCTGGACAGTGCCCTGCCCTGGTGGCCCAGAGGGACAGGGGAGCTATCCTTTCCCAAGGGCCTACTGTGTGCCAAGCGCCATCTGCGTCATCTCATCTAATCAACACGAGCACCTAAGCCAGGTAGAGGGTCCCCTTGCACAGGTGAGCACCTATAGCTCAGAGAGGCGAAGGTCCCTGCCCAGGATCACACAGCGCGTCGAGGGCAGAGCAGGGATGGGAACTCAGGTCTGGAGAACTCCCGGGTGCCCTGCTGTGATTTCCGTTGCCCATGGGGTGACCTCCAGCAGGGGTCCAGGTTCAACTGGGAATGTACACCAGAAGCCAAGAGGGCCAGTGGGATCAGGTGGAAGTGGGGAGGCTTGGTCTTGGCCCCTGAGGACCCCTCAGCAGGGTTGGCAGGGCCAGACCACCAGGCCCTCAGCCGGATCAGGACCCGAGTCCAAGCATGCTCTTTGGAGACAGGCAGGGAAGGTCGTCCTGAACAGTTGTATAGGTTGTGCCCCGCACAAAGGCATCTACTGCGAAGGCAGGCGGGAGCTGAAATTTTCCTGCCATGTCACGTGGCCTGGTGTGGGGACAGCATCCACCTGGAGGAAGGTTCCCTTTTTTCCAATTCATCTCCCAGTCCACACGAAGGTGCCATCCGTGCCAGGGATGGCCCTGAAGGCAGCCCAGGGTGGAGAGAGACGCCGTGCAGGGTGCTTGGTACAGGGCCACAGCTCCGGGAAGGCAGACGCTGATCCCGGGCAGGGACCTGCCTTCTACCATCAGCCACCACGCCGGCCCTGCTGCCGTGGCAGTCTGAGGGAGGAGGCTCCCACTTGCTCCAGAGGCCAGCAGGAGGCAAGCCTCCATGGCTGGCCTGATCCCCAATCCCAGGGGACACCCGTGCCAGAGGCCCACTGTCATCTGCCTGTCGTGGGTCTGCCATGCTCAGCCTGGGCCACTGGGGACGGCAAACTTACTGCGGACGAGGACTTTGGCGAAGGAGGAAGCCCGGCCGAAGGCGTTTTTCACCATCACAGTGTAGGTGGCCGAGTCCTCGGTGGTGACTCTGGAGAGAGAAGGAAAAGTCCCCGAGACTGCTGGGCTCCATGGGAAATGCAGGTGCCCCTCTGTGGGTGGCCAAGGCTCTATGTTTTGGGCTTGGCCTTGGCACTTCTCTATGCTTTGAGAAACTGGGGACACACACACCAGCCTCCACCACCTCAGGGGAAAAGGGCTTTGAAAATAGCATGTGCTGCATTGCGTTGTCATCAGTGACTCTGGAGGGCCAGAGAGGTGAATTGACTTGCCCAGAGTCACACAGCCACTGGAATTCTATCAAGCTTCAAGGTGATAAGCCCTCTCCTGGCACTGCCTGCTACTCAGGCCTCCTCCCTTCTTAACAGCAGCCGACAGATGTGCCCAAGGCCTATGCCCATCTGTGCCAGAGCTGGGCCAGACGCCCAGGTGTTCTCAGTCTCAAGCTTGGATCTTACCAGCAGCCAGGCCAACCCTGTCATGTTCCCGGAGGAAGTGTGGGCTGGCTCTCTCCCTGGGCATTTTGGTGACGAAGACAGCAGGCAGTAGGATGTGCACATCTGGCCCCCTCAGCAAGCCGCGAGGCTTCTTGGTTTCCCCTCACTCCCCACCATGCAGGGTGGGCACCCCTCTGTCTCATGCCAGTCTCGAGGTCCCTGGCCCTGCCTGTGTTCCCTGACTGCCCACACCACGGGACCCCTCCCTGTGGTAGCCTGGTGTGCTCAGGTATTTATGCCCGGGTCCCCCTCTGCTTCCGGAAGGAAGGACCGGCGTCCTGTCCGTCTTCGCGTCTCTGAGGCTGAGCTGGCTGGAGTGAAGGGCTCCGTGGGTTGGAGGGAAACCCAGACCCGAGGGACTGGCCCCGCCCCAGGCCCTGCCCTGCACTACTGCACAAGTCTGGACACTTGAGCCTGTTTCCCACCTGGGACTTGGGGACAGCAGTGCTTTGGTGGTGGGCATTATGCATCATGGGTGCAAAGCTCCTCGTACAGGGCTGTGTCCTGGGAGGAACTCTACCTGGGGCAGCTGTGTGAAGGGTGCGTATCTGGGACAGTCACACCTGCATGTCCCATGTGCTTCCTCCAAGCACCCGCCTCTTCCTTCAGAATCAGGCTTACGACTTTGCATCTCCTGAAAGGCCTCTCTCTTGTGCAACTGCTTCCCTTGCACGTGTGGGTGCAGGTGTGTGTGTGTGTGTGTGTGTGTGTGTGTGTACTGGGGTTTCTGTCCTGGGAAGGAGCTTTCCCAGCCAGGCTCAGCACTCGGCCCGCGAACCTGAGTGCAATTTTCTCATCTTGCATTCCAAGACATGGGCACTGTGTGTGAGTGTGTGTGTGTGTGTGTGTGTGTGTCTAATTCCTGGGCCCCACTCAGACCGACTGAAGCTGCATCTGGGGGCAGGGGGGGGCTCCATCTTGGGGGTCATTATTTTAATAGCACCCAACATGCAAATTTGGGGGAACAGCTGGAGGAAGGGCTCAGGGTCCTGCTCTGGCTTCAGTGGTATTGGGCCCCGGGGGTCAGGGTCTCTCCTGGCTTCTCAGCCTCACCTCCTGATCTCCAGGGTCAGCAGCCCGTAGTTGTTGGTGATCCGGTACTTTCCGGCGGGGAACAGTCGGGGGTCGATGCACACGTCATCTTTGTACCTGTGGAGACACGGTGGCTGCGGCAGGCCAGGAGGCTCTGAGCCTCTCGGACCTGGGTTCCAGCCTCAGCTGTGTGCTGCGTGCACACCTGTATTGCCCAGGGCACCACGGTCACTGTCCCAGCCTCAGTTGTCCTGGCCTGTGCAATGGGGGTGTAACAGCAGTGGCCTCTCAGGGCCACCTTGAGGACGAAGTGAATGGTGTGGCAAGCTTCCCCAGCCTCACGCGCTGTACATCCCGAGAAGTCCATCCCCCTTCTAGGGACAGAGAAGAGCCCACAGTGGGGGCAGCTGCTCCTCCTCCTCCCAGGGCACCTCAGGGGTACCCTGGGGACCCCGTCTGGCTTTTTCCTCCTCTCGGAGGGGCCTTGCAGGGACGCTGCCCCCATCTCTGTCTCCCTTGCCGGCCCCTCAGGTTAGCTCTTCTGAATTTGGGGTGTCATTTGAATCACTTGGGGATTTAAAAACCTCCGCTGCGTGGGGCTCCACGGTGGAGCGCTTGCCTCCCCGTGGTCTGGGTTCTGTCCCCGGCACCAAAACCAAACCAAACGCCTCCTGCCTGTGAGCACCCCAATGCGGCCTCCGCGGAATCTGCCTCTGGCATTGCTCACGGGTGTCCAGTAGCCACTCTGCCCTGAAGGAGCGGGATTTACCCCCGGGCCACCCCGCAGGCAGCACGACTCCTGGCCCCTCTTCTGCGAGGCGTGGCCACGTGACTGACCGTCGTGGACGGCAAGTGAGGATGAATGGCATGTGGCGCTTCTGATGACACACTCTGCCCCCTTTCATGTCCTCGGTCCTTCCTGCCTGTGGCAGGAAGAGGGCTGGGTCGCTGCTCCTCAGCACCCTGGAGACCAGGGCTGCGTGTGAGCGGATGGGGAAGGAGAAAGATCACCTCCTACTTTCTTTAAGACGTAAAACAGCCCACGCCCAGGATACATCCCAAATCGATGAAATTGAACTTCAGGAGGTGGGACATGGGCATCCGTATCTTTTAAGCTCCCCCAGGTGGTCAAACAGATCACCTGCCCTGGACACTGCCTCTGTTTTCTGTGAACTCTAGGGTATCATTCTCCCTGATATATGGGTGGGACAGTGGGGTGGCCTGGGGGTCTGGGGCCTGAAGAGTCAATGCTGGGAAGAGGGTAAATGTCAGTAAAAGTTAGGAGGCTTGGGTTCTTGACACAGTATGCTGTGTGGCATTGGGAAATTCAGTGCCCCTCTCTGGGCCTCTGTGTCCCAGAGGCCATTGTATGGTCAGTCTCATGGGGCGACCATGTGAAGGCTTCTCTCTGACCCCTAGCTGGTGATTAAGGTTGAAGAGGAGGGTGCTCCTCATTGCCAACAGAGGGCGCCCCAGACTCATGGCACTGCTTTCCTTGATCTGGCCTCGCTGTTTGTCTCCATGGCAACCAAACAGCACCACACCCACACAGTCCCGGGGCAGTGCCCTCTTAGGAAAGGGGCCCAACTAAGTCTCCTATGGGGAGGGGCCTAATCTGGGCACCCAATCTCTCTGGCTCTCCCAGGTCCCAGGGCCAGGAATAGACCCCACCCCACACCTGTCAGGAACATTCCAGACACCTCAGGCCGGCTGGGCTCTGTAGCCGCTGCCACTGTGGACACAGATGCTCAGCCTGCCCTGCCCCTGGGCCGCTGTGTCCCCACTCCCCGTGCAGCCAGGCGGGCGAAGGCCGGGCTGTGTGAACAGTGCAAAGTGACATCCCATAATAGAACCACATTAACAGAGACCACTGAGGTGAGGAGAGAGACCAGAACCTGGCTCAGAGAGGCCCTCGGGAAGGAGTGAGGTCTCTATGATTTATCTGAGTCTTCTCTGCACATATTTTGATGTTGGATTTTACTTTGAAGGCTGCTTCGACTGCGAGGCTGCTTCTAACTGGCCTCAGGTAACCTGGCCAGAGCCCCAGAGCCCCAGAGCCCCAGAGCCTGGGGTTTTAACATGCTGGTCTTTAACAGCATGGGTCCCTGGGGTCCTCTCTGGGTGCGCTGTGGACCCCTCACCTGTCCCGTTGTGGAGGACGGTGGGTGCTGCCCCCCAGCTCTGCACACTCCAGGGGTCCATGGCTGGGCAGTCAGGTGTCCCCAGAGTGCGCCAGCCCACCGCCCACACTACCTCCCTCCCCTCTCCTCTCCTTTCCTGTGTCCCTGGAACCCCCAGGGTGTTGGGGCCCCCTGGATGCCCTGACCTGGGTTCCCGTCTCCTCCCGTGGAGCTCCAGGCAGAGATGCTGGGAGCCCCCTGGGGTCGTCCTCCCCCAGGCTCCTCGAGAACAAATCCCTGCCCTTCCTCCACGGCAAACTGGGTCCTTTCTCAGGGACACCACTTCAAGTCCCTTCAGCCAAGTGTTTGCCTCGCTAGAGTGAGGCTGCGCGTTTGGGTCCCCTTGGTGCCTCTGCATCCAGAAGGTGCTCATTAATTGCTGAATGAATGGATTTGCCTGACCAGCCAGGATCTTCTGACCTAGGGCTGGGTTTCTCCCAGGGCCTGAATGGAACCTCTGGAGGCCAATCCCAGGACGTCAGTGGCCCTGCCCGAGGGGCGCGTGGAAAGCCATGCCCTGGGCCAGGAGCTGCGGGGCCACCTGAGCCGCTGGGGCAGGAGGGGGCCGGGCCTGGTTTCCACCCTCTTAAGAAATGTCTGGCTCTCTGTGGTGGCAACCTTGTTGGCAGGAGTGGAAACTATTTCCCCACCAGAGGCTTCCGCAGAATGCCAAGACGGGGGCCTCAGGTCTTGGCTGCGGGGCCCGACAGCTGAGGCTCTGACCTCTACTTAGCCCACGCTGGTGCTGGAAGCTCTCCTACTATGGGACCAATATACACGTAGGGACTTCCTGGCCCTGTGGAACCCCAGCTCCCGGCCCAGCGCCCAGTGTGCTTCTCTGAATAAGAGCTGGTTGGCAGTGAGGAGCCCCAAGGCCGACTCCCTCGAGACGCCTCTCTTGGTTGCTCCTGGCCTAAGTGTGTTCTCTTCCTGAGCATTCTGTGCATTTAAGAGAAATTACAGCGTAATGACTACTGTCGGGCTCTCTAGGCCAGTGGGAGGAGTTTCAGCTTGGAGGCAGGAGCCCTGAGTTTGAATCCTGGCTCATGCTGGCTGTGTGACCTTAGGTAAGTCACCTCACCTCTCTGGGCCTTGATAGCCTCTCCTGAGAAAGGGGCAACAGTCTCCCTCTCTGAGTAGCTCTAAGGCTCAAATGAGAGAAAAGCGCTGGGTCAGTGTAAAGTGAGTCCAAGTACAAAATGCTGCTTTTGTCTTGTGTTCCTGGTTATCTGTGTGCTTGTCTTCTCACTCCTGTTAGACCACAGTCTGTTCACCCTGGAGATCGGGCTCCTATGCCAAGGAGGAGCCGTCCTGCCGCGGCAGCCATTTCTGCCCTTCACCTCCTCTGTGATCTGGAATGTGACCCACGAATGCACTTCTCTGTGACCCCCGTTCTCTCTGGCCTGAGCACTCCCTGAGGGTGACACTCTGGGTCTTTCCTGCGTCCAGGGCCTGAGTCGGGGCCTGAGATGGTGACACTCTTAGTACGAATTTGTCAAACCCCTTCCTCGCTCCCAGGTGCCTGGCAAAGGGCCTCAGGCGCAGGGGAACTGGGTACACGGTGGCTCCACCGTGGCATGACATGTCTCCCTCCAGGGCCTGGCTGTGCCAGCCCACCTAACCCAGCTGGGCCTAGCTCCGGGGTTTTGCTATGGCCACGCTCCCACCAACGGCGCCCCCCGCTTCCCCGGCCCTCTTTAAGTTCTGAGGTCCTCTGTGTTGTTGAGAATGTCTGCTGCAGGCAAGCGGAACGGCCCTCAGCCCATTCTACAGCTCGGACAGCGAGGCTGGACCAGAAAGGTCAAGACACATGCCTGAGATCAACTCAGCAGAGAGAGAAGGCCGCGCCTGGGCACGGGCTCCTGCCCAGGCCTGAGTCCCTCCCCGCCGCCTCTCCCACTGCCCCGGTCACTGTCCTGCCTCCTGCCATCATCCTCCCACCCCTGAGACCCGGGGCTGGGAGCAGCTCCTCCCAGCGCCACCAGCATCATGTTTTTACAAGGCTGCCCCTCCGTGGCCTGTCTCCCAGCCCCCGCTGGAGGGAGGCTAAGAATAACCCAGGTCTGCCGCTCCCCAGCTGTTGCTATTGGGGGTGGCAGAGCTCAGGGTCTGTGGCGTGTGGCTTTGGGGAAGCCCCTGGGGAGGCGTTGGGCTGTGAGGCACTCTGGGGCTGGGCCGCTTACCAGGTGACCTGGGGTGGCGGCGAGGCCTGGACGGTACAGGTCAGCAGCACCGTGGTGTGCTCCCAGACGGCGTGGGAGCGGAGCGGGATCCAGAACCAGGGTCCCCGGCCTGCGCACAGCTCCCTCAGCTCCTGGGCCTCCCGGACCTTCTCCTCTGTCTGGAGGGGGGCGGGCATGCGTGACTCCTGGTGACCTGTCTCCCCACCTTTGCTCCCGTCCCCCTTCCTTGCTGCCCAGACTCTGGAGTCAGACCCTGGGGGCTGGCCCTCCAGTCAAGGGGCAGTGCTGCCCAGTGGGCAGGGGGCGGGCTGGGCTGGGTTGGGGCCTGACTCTGCCCCTTACTAGCTGTGCACCACGGGCAGGGCCTCAGTTTCCTTACCTGAGAAATGGGGGTGATGATCCTATTTGCTCCACCCCACGGGATTTAGCCCTGAAGATGTGACATACGTGAGAAAGCCCTTGGAGGTGTGCCCTGGGAGGGGCCGGGGAGTGGCTTCAGTGCCTGGTGTGTCAGGGAGGCGTTCCCTGGGGCTCTCTGGGTTCTACAGTTGGGAAGGTGACTCACTGTCCCCACCTCAGCCCTGGGAGCCCTTAGAACCCCATCTGTGCTTCAATTGAGAAACTGAGGCTCAGGAACAGCAAGCCACTTGCCCCAGGTCGCACAGCGAGAGGGTGGAGGCACCAGGGCTCCAGCCCAGGGCCCGTCTTCCCCCGCGTGCCTCTCGACAGGGGACACAGTGCAGGTGGGGCCTTGCGGTGGTCACAGGGGCAGCGGGGCTCCCAGCCCACACTCTCACCCGCAGCCTCAGCGCCTTCCAGTCGCGTCTCTGGCGCAGCAGCCGCCGGGTCCGCAGGAAGGCCAGCTCCGTGCGCTCCCAGTCGTTGCCGAAGCCCACCCGCTTCTGCCCGCGCTCCTCCAGCTCCACGGCCGAGGTCTGGCGCCTCAGCTGGGCTTCCCTGCCGTGAGAAGGCCGCAGGGCTCAGCGAGGCCGGCAGGGCCCCGGCTGTCCTGGCCAGTCTGTCCCCAAGGCCGGCAATGCTGGTGGCACCTCACGCTTCTTGAGGAAAAGCACCTCTTTGCTTCTGGTCCTGCCTCCAAATGTCCTGAGGGGGCCCTGCTTGCAGCTGGTGCTCAATAAAAGCTTGGCTACGTTAGGGCCTTGGCTATGTTAGGGGCCTGCGCAGACCTTGTCGGCCTGTGTTCTCCACGGCGGGTGGACAGGCATTGGTGGCCCCACTTCACAGGACCTTAGGTTAGTGATTGGCTTCAGGTCAGCAAGAGGGTGGCCGGTAAGATGGTGGCCGACACCTCCCAGCCTAGGCCCCTGCCCAAAGCCACATGCTGCCTGTGACGTGTCACTCTCAGAGACCTTCCCCACCTGTGGACAACCTGTGTGTGACCTGCGGCTGTTACTGGCTCCTCCTCCACTCTCAGCCCCTCCCTCACTGTCGGTGATGGGGCGGCCCCTCCCCTGGTGGGGACCCTTCCACAGGGCAGTGGCTTTGGGGCGAGATGGCTCTGGGCTGAGGCTCCTGTCCAGCCCTTTTCTTGACGTGGAAGTTTGGGCGGGTTCTGTAAGCTCCGTGTGGGAGCCCTGCAGGGAGGCAGGGGACTGGACAGGATGGCCCCTCCTTGGCCAGGGTTCCCTGGGAAGACCATGTGACTTACCAGGACACCTCTGAGGAGGCCGTCAGGGCCAGGGCAGCGGCCAGGGCGTAGTCGGCAGCGCTGAACTGATGCTCTTCCTCACTGCACCAGGAGAGGGGGGCTGTGATTCCTGAGGACTGGCTCAGGGGCCCCTGAGACTAGGGTTGCACCCCAGGGCGCCAGCCGGCAGGCCAAGGCCCCTCCTCAGACAGGGACCTCTGGGGGCCGGCCTGGGCCTCCCTTTTCAGGATGGGATCTCGGGAAGGACGGCTGTGCCTCCCCTTCAGACTGGGACCTCTGGAGGGCTGGCCACGCCTCCCACCTCTGCCTGGGGACCCCGGGGAGGTGACTGCCGCGGGCACCCTGTGCCCCACCTGCTGCGGAAGGTCCTCTTGCTCACGGAGGAGCCCATGTGCAGGCTGTGCTGTCGCTCCTCCCTGTGCTCCTCCTCCTGCCGGTGTTCCAGCCTGTGCACCTGCACGGCCTGGGGGGGCTGGGTCCCCCCCACGCTTTCCAGGCTGTGGGGCAGAGTCATGGCTGCGAGGGCGACAACCTGCCAAGGCCAAGGTGCACGGTCATTCCACCAGGCATCTGCCCGCATCTCTGCCAGGGCCAGGGGCCAGGGGCTCTCTCTCTCGGGGTGACAGGGGACCCGAGGCTTGTGAGGGAGAGGGACCTGCTTGTGATGGCAGAGGCAGGCTGTCACTGGGGAGTCACTGGCCCTGCTGTGCAAGGCCACCTAGGACACAGAGCCGGCAGGTGCCCACTGTCCTGCCCTTGCCCCGGCTTCCTCCCCTGGACAGCTCTTCTCCTCCTCCTGGTCTCCGGTCCAACCTGAGATGCTGGCCACACAGTGGTTTGTTGCAGGGACTCTAGGGCCAGCCTGTAGGCATGACCCTCTGATCCTCACCCCTTACTCCAGTTCACAAGCATGTGGCCTTGGACCCTGTGACTTGGTTTCTTCACCTGTAAAATGGGTCTACCACTCCTCATGTGGCTGCAAAGGTCAGGGGAGGCCTGGTACTTAGCCATGACCACAGGTCACCTGGTGGCCTCCCTGAATGCTCCCACACCCTCTCCAGGTGGGGATTCTGGTGGGCAGGCTCCCCTGGGAGGGCCCTGCCTGGACTTGGGGAAGGGAGTGGTCAAGGAGAGACTGCCCCCCAGCCTTCCTCCTGTGCTAGCCCCACCCTTCCAGAAAGGCCCCTGGAGGTGACCATGTGTGGAGACAATCCTGTGACCTGGGTGTGAACAAAGCACCCGGGAACCTTTCTCTGGGTCCATGACAGGGAACTTGAGTCCAGTGAAAGGGGCCCGCGGGGTGTCGGGGGCTCAGGCTGCTGAGGGTCAGCCTCAGTGGGCCCCTGTGCCTTCTAGTTCCTAAATGTTTGTTCCCTCTGCGGGTCTACAGCTGAGGCCCTCGGGGTGGAGGGTGGACAAAGGCAGAGTGAGCCACCACCAAGACCTGTCCCTGAAGTTCCCTTGGCTCCTGCCCAGGCTCTCAGCGGAACCAGCTGACGGTTACCCCTTCGGCTTCGTGTCTGGCTCCTCCCAATGGAAGAGGATCTCTCTGCACCCGAGAAATCGCCAGCCCTGCTCGTCCACCTCTCTTCCTCCCAACCCCGGAGGAGACTGCTGGAAACCTGCGTGCGTGGAGCTGGACGCCCGTTGTTCTCCTGGGACACTGTGGCCCTGGCCCCAGCAGCCAGGGGTTAACCTTCCCTGGCCTCCACCCTGGCTGCCTTCCCCGGGATGCTCTGTTCTGATTAGCACCGTGGTGGGGCCGGGCCTGGCGCTCAGCCCTGACCTCCGGGGCCTCCAGCAACCAGACCCCCACTTTAGCAGATGAGCCATTGATGCTTTTTAAAGCTCTGACTGATGCGTGGGATTAAGCGGCACAAGTTGGTGGCCTCTGCTGCCCTTTTCCCACAGGGCCAGAGGGCCCTCTTCCCAGAATATAGTGTGGCCCCGTGGGGCAGGGTCCTGGCAGGTGCCCCAGGAGACCCCTCCCCTTCCTCAAGAGGGAGAGTGAGATGTGGCTGGTGCCCCCCCCCCCAGCTGAACGCAGAGGAGCGGCCCAGGGTGGGCAGAGGCGGACACATCCTGCCCTGTGGGACTGTTGGCTGGGGCGTGCTGTGGCCATGGGCTTCCCGGAGGCTAGAATGGCCTGGCTCTGATGAGCTGCGGCCACTCCTTGCCCAGCTGGCCCCAGCTTCCAGCCAGTCAGCCCAGGCCCTGGATGCAGTGCCCCCGGCTCTGAGACCCCCACCCCCGGGGTCCAGGGCTTGCTCTCTTTCTCTGCCTATGGGCTCGGCCAAGAAGGCTCAGCCAGCCAGCCCGCAGCGGGGCGCGGCAGACTCCAGTCCCCAGAGCATCCCCAAAGGGTCTTTATGTGGAGCCTTCACGTTGCAGAGGACTCGGCTCAGATGACCCCGGCCACAGGAAGGTCCTGGGGTCCCCTCTTCCCCCTGTTCACTTGGGGTGCTGCCTGAGCTCAAATCTCCCGACTGCTTTCACACACACACACACACCCCCCACCCCCCAGTGGAAAGCTGAGGGTCTCACTTTCCGGAGCTGTCCCTCCTTACCCCTGATCCTGGAAAGTGACTCACAGAAGCAGCTGCGTCCACTTAGGAGTCTCTGGGGAGAAAATTCGTGAGGGTGAGAGGGTTTTTGGTCTCTTCTTCCCCTCGGCTCAGCAAGGACTGGGAGAAGAATGTGATCTGGAGCCGGCCTGATCTTAAATATAGCAGGGCTGGGTGACAATGGGCGGGAGCTGGGGGAGGGGGGAGGGCGGTCCTGTCCCTCGTGCCCTGGTGCCCTGCAGGACAGCAGCAACAGGTGGAGCCGCCCCTCCCGGGCTGCCTGGCTCTACCCCTGTTCCAGTGGGAAGAGCCAAGGCTCCAGCCTGTTGTGTGGAAGTGGCTGTGGCGGGTTTTCCTGGCTGTGGGATTCCTGATCTGAACTCAACCTCTGGCGGGCTGGGCGCCCTGGGGGATGTGCTCAGCTTCTCTGATCTGATCAGATCCCCCTTCTGAAAATGAGCCGGTGCTGCCAGGCACCCAGGCTGCGAAGACGGTAGAGGGAAGGATGGAAGGCGACCTAAACATGCATCTGCGGTGCTCAGGGGTCATCCTGGCTATGGTGAGGTACTTGGCTTCTCCACCCTCCACCACCCCCACCACCCCTGGCACAGCCCCCGCCCGCCCACTGTCATGGTCATGTGTGTGTGGGGGGGCATAGCTGGAGAGGAGTTGGGAGCCGGGCCCTCTCCAGAGGGTGAGTGGGTCTGGGAAGACCGCATCAGCTCCAGTCCAAACACAATGGCCTCCACTGGCCTCCTCCTGGGGCCTCCACCTACACTGTGGCCACCTACGCCGTCCTCTTCTAGAGCCCAGGGCCACTCCCTGGAGAGAGGAGCAAGCACCATAGAGCTCTTCGGCCCAAGTCTTGGCCTCCCTCCTGCCCAGGGTGAAAAGCCCTTCCTAAACTCCCTGCTTCTGTCCCTCCCTCTGGCCACCGTGGGAACACTCGGTGTGTCCCTCTCGTCTTCTCCTGTCCCGGCCAGGATGGGTTCCTAAGGCTCACACCTGCTCTGAGGGCCGAGTGGGAATCTGCACAGCTAAGGCTGCTCCGTCCTGCAGGACAGGGCCATCGGCACCGGTCCTCAGCCCCCTCCCCTCCCAGGCGTCCTGCTGGGACCCACCAGGGTAGACACCAGCATCGGGGGCACCCCCCGTCTGACTGGCCTTGCTCCCAATCTGTCCCCTCTTGCTAGCTGGATGACCCTGGGCAGTCACATAGCCATCCTGGTTTGATGATCTGCACGGGGAGACAATTAAGCCCGACTTACCGTCTGACTGAACTCAGAGCCTCCATTACATGTGTCCAGCAGACGTCTGCCCAACATGTGGGGCTCCTCAGTACCCCTTGGCTGACCACACACCGGTGATGCACCCACTCATCACTGGGACCTCTGTAAATACGGCCAACCCTCGGTCATGTAGCTGAGACAAGGTGACTTGGAGTTGCACAAACTTTGGTTTGAATCCCAACCTTAAGCCTCCATCCACTAATCAGGAGGGGGCCTTGGCTTTCTGGGCCTCAGTTCCTTTATCTGTAAGTTAGGATAAGTTCCAAGATGGTGGGGACCTTGCCTGCCTGTCCTCTTTACTTTATCTCCAGCCCCAATAATAGTGCCTGGTGTTCAAGTGGGCCTTTGATTTGGGTTCCTTTAAAAATGTTTGAATGGGGGTGTTGCTCAGTGGTAGAGCACTTGCCTCGCCTATGTAAGGCCCCGAGATCAATCCCCAGCACAGCAAAAAAATTAAAAATAAGTAGAAATGAACGAATGACCAAATACTGTCTTAACTCCATTCAGGTTGCTATAACAAAATGCCTTAGAATGGGTAGTTTGTAAATTACATAAATATGTTTCTCACGGTTCTGGAGCCTGGGAAGGCCAAGATCAAGATGCCAGCAGACTTGGTGTCTGGAAAAGGCTGGCTCTGCTTCATAGCTGGTGCCCCTTCTGTGTCCTCACAGGATGGAAGAAGCAGAAACTAGTGTGTTCCCTGAACCTCTTTTATGGGGGCAATCATCCTGCTGTTAAGGAAGAAGCCCCCATAAGCCAATCACCTCCCAAAGGCCTGCCTCTAATGTTACTATATTTGGGGATTAGGTTTCCACATATGAATTTGGGGGGAACCAACATTCAGACCATAGCCACCTATCTTACAAAATGGTTGTGAGACTTAAATTCAGTAAAAAAAAAAAATGTGTAAGATTACTGGCATAGTGCCTGGCTTATATTTCTTTGTTCTCTTTTTTCCTTCTTCCCCTACCCTCCCTCCCTCCCTTCTTTCCTTTCTTCCTTCCCTCCCTCCTTTCTTCCTTCCTTTCCCTGAACTTAAGACCCAACCTACAGCCACTCAAATGCTGCTTCACCTACCAACGACTCAGCCTCCAAGTTTTTTCCACAGAGCAACCAAACTGTCTTTGGCTGATGGCGCCACCTGGTGCCATAATGGAGAACTGCCTGGCCGAGGCTTCCCACTACATCCCGCCCATGGAGATAAAGAGCACATCCCTGTGGCTCTCACTCTCCAGTTGATTCCAGTTACGGTTCTCCTCCTTTGTACAACTCAGAGCTGGCCTTCCTCGGGCCTTTCTCTTCATACCAGAGGAAGGGAAAGTGGGTTCTGTCAGATCAGACAAGGCAGGCAGCGGCCAAAGGAGGCAGGTTTAAAAGGGCCGCTGAACAGGCTTTATTGAGATATCACTCCCGGGCGGAACTCGATCAGACCCACAGAGGGGACAGGGGAAGGGTCTGAGGAGAAACCGAGTGGAAGCTCGACCGGACTGGACATTTATGGGGCTTACAGCAGGAAGGGAAGGGCTTGGGACAGGAAAAGGTGTCTCTAGGGTCCCTTGCTCCCCTTGGAGTTGGTCAGGGGAGTTGGCTGAACTCCAGGATTGGCCAGGGGGTCCTGCTGATTGACAGGCATTAGTCAGGAGATCTGGCTGATTGACAGGCGTTTCCGCCGGCATCTGATTGATGTTCAAAGCAGCGCGGGCTGCTTTGTTCTAAGTTGCCACTAAGTCACCACCAAGTCGCTGCCACCGACCTAACAGGTTCAGATAGCCAAGGGGCCAAGTAGAGGGCTGAGGTCTCAGAGCTGTGCCCCCCAGCATCAGTGTGAGCGGGCAGGCGGGGGCTGTCTCTTTTCTCTGGCCCTGCCTGCCTCACTTTCTGTTTCTGTCCCACTATCTGGAGTGTAGAGTGGGGATAGCAACAGGGGACAAGCCTCAGTGTGACATCAGGTCATAGGCTGCTTGCCCAGGCTGGCACTCAGATGTGGGAGGGACATAGAGCCCTGGAGGAGTTCATCGCTGTTCTCTGGTGGAAACTCAGGCAGCCTCCGTGTGTTCCTGGAGCTGGGGCTTGTGGGGGTCTGGGTTTGTAGGCACCCCAGCCTCACAGCTCCCCACCCCATCCAAGGAGGTGACGGGCTGTCTCTAGGGATGTGAATGGAGGCAGTTGATAGAGGTACTGTTGGTGTGAGGGTACAGATCCCTCAGTTTGCTGTCTGGAAGAGTTCGTTGAAAATCTAGATTCTCCAGGGGCAGGGCTGGGCTGGGGTTGGGGCTTGCAGTTTTAGTAGCTCCCCAGGGGATTTTCATGATGAAGCATGTTTGGGAAACTGGCAGGGGCAAATCACCTCTCTGAGCCACATTTTTCTCCTGTGCAAAACATCACCAATACTATGGAAGGGAGGTTGGCAGGAGGATGTGATCAAGATTGCAAACTGCTAGGTGACAGGGTTACAGTGATTTCCCCTTATCTGTGGTTTGACTTTCTGTGGTTTCTGTAACCTCTAGTCAATTGTGGTCCAAAAATCTTCAATGGAAAATTCCATAAATAGACAATTCACAAGTTTTTATTTTTATTTTATTTTAATTTTTTTTGAGACAGTATCTTGCTATGTTTTCCAGGCTGGGCTCAAACTTGGGATTCTCCAGCCTCAGTCTCCTGAGGGATTATAGGTGTATACCACCACACACAGCTTAACAATTCATAGAATTTAAGTTGCTTGCTGTTCTGAATAGTGTAATGAAATCTCATGCCATCCTGCTCCACATACCCCAAGTGTGAATCATTTCATTGACCAAGGTATCCGTGTGGTATATGCTACCTACCCATTAGTTACTTAGTAGCTGTCAGTTATCACATTGACCATCATGGCAGTGCCTGTGTTCAAGTAAACCTTATTTTACTTAACAGTATTGTATTTTATTATTAGTTTTTCTTAATCTCTTATTGTGACTAACTTATAAATTAAACTTTATCATGGGTGTGTAATATGGGGGAAAAGTATCTTTAGGGTTCAGTGTCATTTTTGGTACTCTAGAGATCTTGGGGTGGTTCCCCTGGGGGTTAGAAGAAACTCTGTATTACTACTCATTTATTCCTGGGCTTGGCTTTGCCATGACTGTAGGCAGGTGACACCTTGGAAACTGGGCAGGGCAGGGCTGTGGAGCTTCCTGGTAATGGGGTCAGAGCCCAGGACTCTCAGGAATGCCAGGGCCCCAGCCAGTTGCTGGGGTACACAAACACCCTATTTTCTAGGTGGTTCCAGCTTATCTATGGCCCTGAGTTGCCTAGGGGGCTGGAACCTCAGGGAGGGGGTCCTGGAACTTGCCCCCTTGGTGGGGACCGCACCAGCCTGTGGAGGGTCCCAGACTCAAAACATCCCCTCTTTGCCTAGACAGCTGGACTTCTCCACCCCACAGGTCCTGTGAGTTAGGAGAGGTGTTCATGGTTCTTGATTTAAAAGCCTCTGTAGGGAAGAGGGGTGTGGCTCAGTGGTAGAGCCTTTCCCAGCCTGTGCGAGACCCTGGGTTCCATCCCCAGGACGGCAAAACCAAACCAAGCCCCCAACTCCAACCACATCAAAAATCACCTCCATAGCTCCCTAGTCCCACCCCTGACCTGGAGACAACAATCCAGCTGTTCGCCTGTTTTTCACTAGTAAACAAGGTAAAGACTGTTAACCTTTGGCCATGGGTGCCCCGAGGGACAGGAAGTAGACTTATTTGCAGTGTATGGGCCCCGGGGCTCCCTCGGGATGGCGGTTCACCACCTTCTGTTACAGAGATATCGATCCAGTGACTCTGAAGTGATGTTAAATATTAATTTCACACAGATAAGAACACGCTGTCCATCACCACGTCCCAGGGAGGGAGGGGGAGCTGGGTGAAGGGAAAAGACATTGTGCACCCTTGGGAAGGGTCAAACCAGGGCAACGGGACTTTAGGCCCGTCTCTCTAAAGTTTGGGGCAGGAGGGTGACCAGGGAGTTGCTTGTCCCTCCAGGACCCCTTTAGGGGTCCTTCCCTCCTTACGCCCCACTAGTTTCATCCTCCAAGAATCCAAACAGGTTTGGAAAGTTCCTTCTCTTGATGAGGCAAAAAGCCCTCGTTTTGACACTGACCCTGTCCCGGCCCCCTTAGTGGGATCTTGAGTGGGGGTCCTTGGGCGGGGGTCCTTCCCCTCTCTGGACCTCGGATTCCTCATTGTAAGGGGCGTCTCAGGTGAGAAGGACGTGAGGCGGTGGCAGTTCCCTGAGCACAGAGCCTTCCCTTCCTGGGAGCCCGGACGAGGCCAGGGCCCAGTGCCCGCTGCGTGGCCTCCGGGGGGCGCTGTTGAGAGCCAGGCACAGGGAGGCCCTCTGACCGCAGGGAGACAGCGCTGCATCTTTTGTCTCTGGGCTGTTTCCAGAAGGCCCTGCAGTCCCTCCATGGTCCATTCTGGAAAGTCCAGCCCTCTGGCCTGTCCTGAAGCAACTCTGAGGCAATCTGGATCCTCTGAACCCTTGATCCAATTCCAGGTGATCTGAAGCCAACTTGAACTGAGGAAGTCAACTCCTGGGGCCACCAGATATTTAACAAAATCACAACAGGAAGTGGTCACAGCCTCCATGCCAGGCACTACTACGGACACTAATGTCCTCCTCACCACAACCCCGCGAGGTAGGTGGTGCTCTCCCCATTTTACAGACGAGGAAACTGAGGTTCTGAGCCGTGGATCGTCTGCTTGAAGTCGCGCTGCAGCTACTTGGCGAGGCTGGACTTTGAGCCCAAATGGGCTGAGTCCAAGTCTCCAGAGTTGTGAAGTGAGTGCCATTTGCTTTGTGTCCTCTTCTGGGCCCAGAGGGTCCCAAGTTCCTTTCAAACCCTGTTCTCAGGTTGGAGCGTGAAACTCCTGCCTGCAAGAAGGGTTTCTGTGGCTCCTCCCCGTTGGGCCTGGGGGTTCCCTGGGGTAAAACCTCCAGCAGAGGAAATAGGCTGGAAAGGTGCGGGAGGGAGCCCCACGGGGGAGTGAGCCCCAGGCCGCGCCCTTCCCTGTAGTCTGCCACTGAGCTAGACTGCCTCTGCCTCTGGTCTTGGCAGAAGTGTAAGTTATTCTGGTTCCGCCCAGCCGATGGTCGCGGGTCCTTGTCCCTCCTCGGGCATCACAGGGGAACAGACGCCTCTCTGCACCCTCAGATGCTCTGGCTGGAGTCCTCCCCTCGCTCGTCAGCTCCCGTGGGGGCCCTTGGCCTCCTCCTCGGGTTCTTTCCAGGCACCCACCTGGGCTGGCTGCAGAGTGTGCGGCGGGGCAGGGCGAGGGCTGACAGCCCAGGAGGTGACGGGGTGGGGGGAGAAGTCGCAGGCTGCTGGCCCCCTCAGGACTCCCACTGCACGGTCAGGGCCAGCTCCTTGAACAGCGAGCCCAGCTCCGTGGACGGCTCGAGCTCTGAGGCCCCTGGGGCTGGGCTCTTGGCCTCAGCCTTGGACACCAGACCCTCATCCTTGGGACACACAAGGGACTCCAGCAGGCCCCAGGGACTTGGCTCCTGGTCTGAGGGGGAGCAGGAGAGGGCAGGAGTGTGCAAAGACAGGGACCCGGGGTGGCCTTCGATCTGGACGGAGGAGAGGAGGGAGAGCTGGCCCCCCAGGTACTGCGGTGTCCCCGGCTCCCCGTTCAGGCCGGGTGCTCCGTCCACACAGAACTCCTCCAGGGACATGGAGGCCATCCCCTGCAGAGACAAGTCACCTGGAAGGCAGCTCCCGGCTGGCTCCTCTTTCTGGAGCTGCCCTTTCGGCCTGAGGTGCTTGGGACCCGAGAGTGTCCCCGAGGGGGAGTCTTTTCCAGAGCTGTTCACGCACACCCCGTAGGAAGCAGCCAAGCTGTCCAGGGAGGCCTGGGGGGTGTAGGGGAGCAGCTGGGCCTTGGTGGTGGCCTGCGGAGCGTAGCACGGGGCTTTAGCTTCAGAGGCCACCTGAGGTGTGTAGGCCGGGGGCCTGACCTCAGGGGTGGCCTTCGGGGTGCAGGACGGTGGGGAGACAGTCTGGCGAGGTGACACGTTGGGGGGCTGGAGGACGGAGATGTCTGGCTGCCCTAAGTAAGAGATCTCAGGGAGGCCGTGCAGCTGTGCGGCTCCTGGGGGCTCCCTGGGCCCCGAGACCACGACCTGGGAGTACTGGACGGGCTGGGACAGGCCGCTGGGCCCGCTGAGCTCAAAGACGGGGACCAGCACGTGCTCCTGGATGAACCGCAGCGGCTGGAAGGTCAGGACGCGCTGGACGTTCTGTGCAGGGACAACAGCAGCCCACCTCTTAGCGCGGGGCCTCAGCCCCTGATGCTGACCTGGGCAGCGGGGGGCCCCGGGGGAGTCGTGGGGACCCTTCCAGCTGCATATACCTCCCTCCCACCCCCACTTCCTGGAGACCCCACTGAGTTCTGGGGCCCAGCGCCTCCAAGGAGGGACGGGGGCTCCCAGCCTGTGTTGAGGGCCATGTCTAAAGTCCAGGTAACTCCTGGAGACAGACTTGGGCTCTGGCTTCTCCAGGGGGAGGTAATCCAGGAAGCTCGGGACCCGGATGTGGTGTGCCAGCTGCCGGAGGCCCCTGGCAGCTTGTGACTGCAGGGTCAAGGTGGGCAAGGGTCAAGGTGGGCAGGATGGGAGACAGGAGGCCAGGAGAGTCTTATGGACATGGTCCATCTGGCAAAATGCCCTCAGAGTGCCTCGGTCCCTCCAAGAGCCCCAGATGGCTCTGCGCGGGCTCTGCAGTGGCCTCGCTGATGGGGCTGAGGGGCGGCCCTGCTGCCGGGTGGGGGGGGGGCTGCAGGTGGGACTCGTGGTCTGACTCACACACGGCTGTACATTTTTAAAAACTAGTTGCCAATATTTGAAAATTAGGAGATTTCATATTATAATCATATAATAAATAAATTTATAATCATATTATAAATTCTGATTTCTCTTAAAAAAAAGTAAAGATGGGGTCATTACCAGCCTGTGACGCCCTGGGACAGCACTTGGCTGCCCATTTCGAGAGGCCAGAGCTCCACAGCCCCCTCAGGCTGGGGCCGCTGCTCAGTCCCTATGTCACCTACCCAGGCCTGGAGGCTCTCAAGCCCAAGGGCTTCTCTAGGCTGCGTCACCGTTCCTGGTCACCTGCTGCCCCATCCTTACCACCAGTCAGCAGGGCGGGGAGCCCCCCGGGACGCCTCGGGGAGAACCAGGGGTGCCCATGCCCTCTGCTGATCTGCCCTCCCCTTGCTCTCTGGCCCGGGTGGATGACTCACCAGGGAGTTGGGAGGCACCGGCAGCTTGGTGACGTATCTGTAGCTCAGGTAGCAGAGCACGGCCACCAAGAAGCCCATGGAGAAGAGAATGGCCCCCGAGAAGGAGTAGGCCCACGTCCGGTCTGGGGAGAGAGCAGCCCGAGGGGGAGTGAGGCTGGGATCCCGCCAGGCCAGGCCCCAGCAAGGGCACTGCAGCCCCCGGGCCAGGCGGGAAGGCCCCTGCCACCTCCCCTATCCACAGGGCTGGGGCCAGATCCCAGGCGGAAGGCCACAGGCCACACTCCCAGTGAGTTGAAGATGTTCTGTCTCCCACCTCGATACAGTTGCTTTTGAAGCGAACCAGGTTTGAAGTCAGGATTCTTGGCCTCCGGCGGATGCTGACTAATGCACAGGTGAAAGTCCTCCCCCCGCAAACCCCCAGCCTGGCCAGCTCGTCACAACTGCCAGTGACCTCGGGCACATGTACGTGGGTGGCTAAGCTCATCCGTGTCCCCACAAGTAGTCACCTTTAGGCCAAAGGCCTGCACACGAGCAAGTGTCTGCCCTCACAAGGACCCAAGGGAGGGGTCTGCGGGACAGCATGCAGGCCCGGGCCACGTGGGCAGGAAGTCCAGGGTCCCAGGTACTCAGGTGGGATCTAGAAGGGAGACCACAGGATGCAGAGGACCTGTCCTGTGGGCTGTCTGGCCTCTTTCTCTGGTGGGCAGGGGCATGGCTGGGGGTGGGCACCAGAGCAGGGCCATTGAGAGGGCAGGGTGCAGGGCCCCTCCTGCCTGGGTCCAGGGGCCGTCCTGCCTCCCTGGCAGGAAACAGAAGCGGAGGGAGGCAAGGAGGGTCAGCGGGAGGGCCTGTCCTCTCGGCCTCCTACCAAAGCAAGGGGCGGAGGCCCGGAAGAGTGCTCAGGAAGGGACCCTGGGAGAGCATCACCCCTTGTAAAAGGGGAGGAGAGGGACAGCAAGGGGCTCTGGTGCTCTCTTTGTGGCCTGGCATCTTTGGGACAGGCTCAGTCTGCTCTAGGTGTGACACTGCCTGTCAGCAGTCCTACTGGGACTTGTGAAGGACGGAGGGAAGAAGAGGAGGTTGGGGGGTTCTCCAAACCAAATCTGCACTCCCCAGGGTCTTGACCCTCCAAGTCACCTTCCCTTTTCTTCCTGACCCCTGTGGCCTCAGCTTGGGCAGTTCATGACCAGGCACCCTGAGCCCAGCAGTCACAGTGACCCCTGGGAATTTCCGAACCTTCACTTCCAGCCCACTCCTCGCTCCTCCCAGCCTGTGTGGCTTGGGTCAGCTTCCCACTGCAATGATGTCCTGTCACCTGTCACATGATACCCCCATTGCTGCTCCAGGGAGAAGACAGGACCTGGATGTCCCTACGTGACATACCTAATGTCATTGGAAACCCCTGCTTAGTGTCCCGGGACAGTAGAGGGCCTTGGAACATTCCCTGGCCTGATAAATTTTCCACATGCCATTTCACCTGGGGGGAGGCAGGATGGAGTCAACACCAGCCTGGGAGTGAGGAATGTGGGGTATTAGAGTCTGGCTCAGCCCCTGATATGCTGAGCTGCCTCTCTGCTATACCACCCTCTCTGGTCTACCATTTACTAATCACAGTTGCCACTGGCACTTGAACTGTCCCATAGGCCATGCATTACACTGGGAACTCACCTTGTGTTCTGCCAGAAAATCGTATAGCAATCGTACCTGTAGAGAGGGATACAGGTACCCTCTTCCTCCAGATAACAATGCTGAATCTCAGAGAGATTAAGTGACTTGCCCCAGATCACACAGCTTCTCAGTAGGGAAGCCAAGAGTGACTCACACATATCTATAGCTCACCCTCACATCCGTTACACAATCATGCCTCGGTTTCCTCACCTGTACAGTTAAGATCTGCGGTAAGATGAACCTGAGACCACTTTCCAGCACCAAGGTGCTGGGATCAGGCTCTGTGACCCCCCACAGACATCCCGAGAAGAAATATAGTGGCAATTCTGGGCTCTGGGGTAAAGCAGACTCTAGGATACAGGGTCAAGAGCAAGGTGTATGACTTTGAAATGGAAGTCAGAGGAATAGGTGTGCAGTCGAGGGGACTAGTTATAAACCAAGTTCAAGGTGGTGGTTAGAGCCCAGGCTTCTGATGAATCTATCTAGGCTCACCAAGCAGCTGTGTGGTCATGAACCAGCCACTGAACCTCTCTGAGCCAGAGATCCTCCTCTATAAACTGGGAATGGTCCTGCCCAACTTGGAGGATTATTTTAAAGATTCGATCCTATATGCAAAGCATTTGACACAACCCGGGGTAATAGAGCAGTACTGAATAAGTGTCACTGAGCTATGTCCCCAACCCACCACAGTGTTAGAGAAAAATTGATGTCATGTCATGAGAGATCATGGAAGGACAGGCCAAAGAAAGGTGAGTTTGCCTGTTTTCAAAACCCAGGGCAGGGCAGGGCAGGGGTGGGCCCGGGGTGGACGTGGTGTGTCTAGTATGGTCGGGGGGAGCGTCTCAGTCACACGTGCCCCCCCAGATCAGTGCCCATAAAGTTGGTTTCCGTTTTTTAGATTCTTCTTGCCAAGGTGTATTCTGGTCTCCCTGGGACCCTTGCCCAAGAAGGACATGCCCCGTGCTGGCCAGAGCTGGCTGACCCCCCCCCCCCCCCCCCCCCCCAGGATCGCTCCTCTGCAAAGGATTCAGGTGGAGGAACCAGGCTCCGGGGGATCTAGGGAAACGGACGAATTGAGCTTCCAAACAGAGCTGCCTCCTAGGGCCATGCACTTTGTCCAGCTCTCAAACTGAACTCTGCTCTGAAGGTTGGCACCGTGGGAACAGAAATCACCTACGAACACGAATCTGAAGGTGATGGTCAGGTGGGGGCGGTTTTTCCCAGTCCATCCCTTTCATGTTCTAACCTTGCAGCTCAAAGCAACGTTTCCACCGGCTTCACCATCCCTCTCCACCAGTTGGGCAAGTTACCGAGCCACTCTGAACCTCAGTTTCCTCTTCTGTAAAATGAGAATGATTACGGGACCTGCCTCAGACAGCTGGGAGGGCTGCACTTACTAGTGCCTGGTCCCTGGTTAAGGCTGAAGAAATGCCAGCCAGCCTTCACCATCGTCATCCTTATTCTTTGGTTTGGGGAGATACTAGAGGATCCTTTTATCTTCCCTTTTCTCCCCCTGCAGACTTTCCCCCAGTGTCACCTGGGTTGGTATCAAGGGGAGTCTTTCTTGCCAGGTTCTCACAAACTGGTGGAGAGAGGAGATCCAGACACAGGCTGGAGGGAGGGATCAAACATTCGCTATGAAAATCCACCCGTGGACTCAGCCATGAATGAGCCAAGACGGGCCTTGACAGTACACTAAGAACCCCCAGGGTTTTCAGAGTTCTGCGAACCCAGCCCTGGTGGCAGGCAGGGAGGAGTGGGTTCAGAGGAGAATTCAGGATCCCCCTCCTCTGGCTCCTACTCACCCGGCAGCGTCTTCACGCGGCACACATAGGGGGCGCTCTCCTTGGACCAGGTTGGAATCAAAATCATGGTGGTCCCAAGGAACTCCGTGTCCGGGGTCAGGCCGGAGAACTCGTATTCTCTCTGCTGCCCTTCCAGGTGCTGCGACCAACAGAGACCCACAGTGACCCCGCCTGCAGCCAGCCTCCCCCTGGAGCCCCGCCCGCGCCCTCCCGACAGCTGCCCAGACCAGACACCCCTGGACCCGCCCGCAGCTCTTCATTCCTCTCTCCCACTTCTTTCTTCTCAAATCCAACCAGTCGCCAAGCTCTGCATACCTTGTGCTTCGATCCGGGTCTGGAACTTGCCCGCAGCCTATAAATACCAGCTGCTGCTAAGAGACCACATCCCCCTCGTCCCTGCTCCCCTCCCCCACCGTCTTCCAGCTCTCCTCTCTCTTCTTTATCAAACATCCAACGCCTTTGAATACCCACCCTCCTCCCCTGCCTTCCTCTTGGCTTCTGTCTGGATTGGGCCTCCAGCCTCTAGCCTCCAGCCTCCAGCCTCCAGCCTGGACAATTGCTGTGGCTTCCGTACTAGTTGCTTCTCTCTGGTTTTGCCCCTGTCCATTTCCCATCTTCATCTCAGTGCTGCCATGATCTCTCTAAAAGATTAATGCAATGACAACGCTCCTTTTTTCCAAATGCTTTTGTAACAGGGGTCCACCTTACGCTCTGAATACAGCCCTTGCTGCTCTACCAATGGGACTTATTTTTTTTTTAAAATGGATTTAATTTAAATTCTCAGTCTATACTCAAAGGACTTAAAATCAGCATACTACAGTGATGTGGCCACATCCATGTTTATACCAGCTCAATTCACAACAGCTAAACGGTGGAACCAACCTAGATGCTCTTCAATAGATACACAATGGAATATTATTCAGCCTTAAAGGAAAATGCAATTACGGCATTTGCAGGTAAATGGATGAAGTTGGAGAATATCATGCTAAGCAAAGTAAGCCAATCCCCAAAAAACTGCAGGTCAAATATTTTCTCTGATAAGTGGATGCTGATCCATAGTGGGGGTGGGAGCCAGGAAAGAATGGAGGAACTTTGGATTGAGCCGAGAGGAGGGAGGGAAAGGGGGGAGTATGGGGGTGGAAAAGATGGTGGAATGAGATGGACATTATTACTCTCTGTACGGGTGTGATTGCACGGGAGGTGCGATGCTACATTGTGTACAACCAGAGAAATGAAAGGTTGTGCTCCAATTGTGTACACCGAGTCGAAATGCATTCTGCCGTTGTGTGTAACTAATTAGAACAAATAAAAATTTTTTTAAAAACAGACATGTTCAGTTCTTTTCCACTCCCCCTCCTCCTCCCTAATCTCGCCCTCTACCTAACCTCAGGGGAAACAGAATTACCTTTCTTCCCCATCCTAGGCAGAGTTATCCATCTTTGAACACATTATCTATGTTCTCACTCTGGTTCTAATGGTTTATACCTTCTATCAGTCCAACCCTCCCCCAACCAACTGTAATTGTGATTAAAATGAAAAAAAAAAAAAAAACAACTCCATAAGAGCACTGGAGATTAAATAAAGCAGGTAGATATTGGAGAGAGGAAGAAGGTTGGCATGGGGTGAATTTTTTTTTTTACATCTTTTATCCTGAAGGAAGACCCCAGTCTACACCTCGTGGGGTGACTAAAACCTAGATAGAGACCCTGTCTGTCATATATTTTTTTTAATATTTATTTTTTAGGTGTAGATGGACACAACACAATGCCTTTATTTTTATGTGGTGCTGAGGATTGAACCCGGGTCCCACCTGTGCTAGGCGAGTGCTCTACCACTGAGCCACAACCCCAGCCCCCTATCTGTCATCTTTGTGGCTTGAATAATCAGAGGATAGAATTTGATGAGACAGGACTGATCCAAAGAGAGGGAGGCCCAGCTTCTGTGTATGAACTTTGCCCAAAGCCATGGCTGGCCCCAGATTGTGCTTGGACGGGCAGCCTCCAAATGGCACAGATAAAGTTAAAAAAAAAAAAAAAAGAAAAGAAAGAAAGAAAAAAAAAGTGATCTGAGATTCTAAAGTCTGGAATTCAGCCAAGTTAGCTGTCCATTAAAACATGACAAAAAACCAAAGCAACAGCCTCTGCAGGATGTAACAGAATCCAGACTCGTTTCAACTGTCATCCATAATGTCCAAGGCAGGTTACAAAATTGTTAGACATATAAAGAAAGAGAAAACTGGGACCCATATTCAGGAGAAAAGACTCTTCATCTCGTCTGACCCCAAGGTGACCAAATTGTCGGACAAGGATTGTAAAGCAGCTGTAAAGTCTTGCTCAAGGAAGTGAAAGAAAATATGTTTGTAATCAATGAGTGAATAAAGGAATCCTGATGGAATACATTAACTGTAAACATGGGACGCCTTAGAACTGAACCATACAATATTTGAATGAAAAAAAAAATGCATGAAATGATCTTAGCAACAGATTGGAAATGCCAAAAGAAATCGAGAACTTGAAGATAGGTCCCTGAAGCCAGGCGTGGTGGCACACGCCTGGTAATCCCAGGGACTCGGGAGGCTGAGGCAGGAGGATCGTTCAAGAGTTCAAAGCCAGCCTGAGCAATTTAGAGAGGCCCTAAGCAACTTAGTGAGACCCCTGTCTTGAAATAAAAAGGAACTGGGGATGTGGCTCAGGGGTTAAGCATCTCTGGGTTCAATTTCCGGTTCCCAAACAAACAAATAAATAAGTAGATGTGAGGAGCTGGGAGTAGCTACGATAAAATCAGGTAAATTAGAGTTCAGAGTATTACTAGAGATGAAAGAGACACATCAAATCATAAAATGGTCAATTTATCTGGAAGCTATAACAAGGGAAAAATAAACAAGCCCACCACCATCCCAGTTGAGCAGTTGAGAGCTGAACACGGCACAACTAAAAGAAAAAAAAAAAAAACAGATCCCCCCCCCTAAAACCGGGAAAGACAGAGGCCCTGAATAACACTGTCAGCCGCCATCTCCTAATCGACATTTATAGAGCACGCCACCAAACAGCTGCCAACACAGGTTCCTTTCAAGTGTACACACGGAACAGTTGCATAGGCAGGCCATATGCTGCGCCATAAAACCCATCTCAGTAAATCTAAAAGGGCCCAAATCAGGCTGGGTATGTTCTCTGACCATGAAATGAATTAAATTAGAAATCAATAATGATAAAATATTTAGTCAAACATCAAATATTTACCCAAAATAGCTGTGATAAAGACTCTGCCTGTTCAGTAAGCTCTCGCTGCTCTCCTTGACGATGGATATGAACAAAGATCCCTCCACCCGCCACCTCCATCTCTCCTGCAAGGTCCCCGCAGGCTTCCCCGTGCCCCCACCTCAGGGCTCTCCAACTGCAAGGTGAGGGAGAAGCACCCGTATTCTCTGCAGTTCAGATCCAGGGTGTAACTGCAAGCATTTGATGCAGTGGACAGAGGGGGCCCAGGGACCTGCACTCAAAAGGGCCACAGGTGACTCTGATGCCACCCGTCTGGGACCGTCTTTTGAGAAACTACTCCAGTCAAAGTGGGCAGTTTTCTGCTTTTCCAAAATGCCCTCTTTTTACTTCTCTTTCTGATCATGGTGGGGCAGTGTCGGCCCGTGGACTCTATGCTTTCACTCGCCGAACAATCTTGAGCAAGCGACTGAACCTCTCGGAGCCTCTGTTTTCTCATCTGGAAAATGGAGACAGTGGCTTGTGCCTCACAGAGCTGTTCGGGATTCATTGACCTAATAGGTATATATGACCCGGGATACCCCAGAAACCGGCACTGACAAACGCAAGTTTTTCTGGAAGTCTTTTAGATCCACCTTGCAATATCCTTATTTTCCTCTACCTGTCGCTGTTGGAACTATTTCAACTTCTTCCCGACTCGATAAAGTATTTTTTTTTAAATTTTTAATATTTATTTTTTAGTTTTTGGCAGACACAGCACCTTTGTTTGTATGTGGTGCTGAGGATCGAACCTGGGCCGCAGGCACGCCAGGCGAGAGCGCTACCACTTGAGCCACTTCCCCAGCCCCCGACTCGCTAAAGTATAAGCCTCTTGATTGTGAGAATTAGAGTAGGAAATGAACATTCATTCAGCTGGATTGTGGGTTCATGGCACATGCTGGGGGGAAATACCACATCTTTTCCAAAAAAAGAAAAAAAGGAAATAATTTGCATATACCATTTGGCAGTTTATGCACTTGCCTTTCACATTTCATTATTACTGATCTTAGGACACTCCCTGAATATAGTTCCTGAAATTGTATGGAGTGGAGAACCAGTTTAAGGAAATACAGCAGTAGAAACTGACTCCAGCATTTTTGAAAGTTAACACCCGAGGATGTTAATTGGCTGTTCTCTAGGACGTTACAAAGTATCAGACATCAAACAAAATCTATATTATGCAAATCAAGGGGTTTTTTGGGGGGGGGACACCAGGAATTGAACTCCTGAGCCACATCCCCAGCCCTATTTTGTATTTTATTTAGAGACAGGGTCTCACTGAGTTGCTTAGCGCCTCGCTGTTGCTGAGGCTGTCTTTGAACTCATGAGCCTCCTGCCTCAGCCTCCTGAGCCACTGGGATTGCAGGCACGTGCCACCACATCTGGCACAAAAACAAGTTTTGCGGTCAAATAAATCTGAGAAAAGGTGAATTAAGCAAATAGAAATGGGAATCTCTGCCTCTGCAGGACTTGCCAGAGCCTTCAACATGTTACTGTGTACGTGAGTCTACAAGAGGGAGGTTGTGCTTAGGATTCAAGGCCCCCCTTCACCCCACAAGGGACATGTTTGGGGAATTCTATTTATACAACATATTCTCTTTCTGTTTAGAGCAGCACAGATCTAACCGAGAAGGAAGGCATTTCCCAGGTGAGGAAGGACCAGGATGCAACCTATGTTTACCATTTTGTAGGTGTGGTTGACGTGGAGCTCCACACGGTAGAACAGGTCTTGGAACATCTCCTCCAGGGTTTGCTGGTGGCCATCTCCTGCACGGATGGGCGTGGGGGTGGGATGGATAATCATCTGAATGGATCTCACTTTGGGGATACAGGTCACGTCAGGTGGTTTGATGGTAGCTGGGGAGAAAAAAGAAGAAAAAGTCAGAATTGGCATTAGTGTCAATATGTCAATATGGATGGTGGGAAATGACAGGTTCTCCCACCCACCCCACGCAGAGCCCAGGATGTTTCCAAATGCATCAGCTAAACCTGCGTGAAAAGCAATCCTGCACTCGCCTGGCGGCCAGGTGTAGGGCTGACAAAGGGATGTCCAGGTGGACGGGAGGAACCAAGGATGAGGGTCACCATCCCTGGGGTTGGACAAGCCTGGACCCTGCTCCCAGGTGTCCCAGCTCCTCCCCCCCACCTTGAGTCTTCCTGGGACACAGGACCCCAGGTCTGTAGGCAATGACAGCTCTGGGTATGTCCACATGGTGATTAGCCACATGTCCTAAATAACACCAGGGGGGGCTGAGGTCACCCATTAGTGCCAAGGCCAGGCCCAAGACTTCAGTCTCTCTCAAGATGGAATTTTCCAAGTAACTAAATGAATACAGACCCTTGGAGAATATGAATCTTCTCTCCCCCAAAATGTACCTCGACAAAAATCTTGCATTCATGCAAGATTTCAGGGATTCATGCACCCTACTCACCCTGAATCTAGCTCATAGAAATCCCTCAAGGGTCCATTGACCTCTGAAATTCAGAACATTTGAATTGGCATTAGTGTCTGAGGCAGAAGAAGGATGCTCATTTGGACGCTTGTTTGTAAAATTGAAAAACCGAGCAGAATATCCTCATAAAGGGAATTAGATAAATAAATTAGAGTGCCTCCCAAGAATGGGCCCTTTTGCAGTTATGAAATATCACATTGTGGAAACACATTTAATAATGTGGGCAAAAGTTTATGATACCATCATACAGAGGGAGAAGAAGCTCAAAAACAAGAAAACAATGCTAGATTAAAAAAAAAAAATAGACCCAGGTGCTAGTGATTGCTTGTTGGAATGATCGGGGGTGGGGGTGGGTGATTTTTATTTTTCTTTGAATATTTCTGTGTTTTCCAGATTTTCAGTACATTATCACGGACTTTTCTATATTTTGCATATTTCTATATTTCTGGAAGTAAACAAGCCAGGAAGAAAATCAGTAACTGACTTAATTTTATTTTTTGTTTTCTTAAAAAGTCACGTGTGGCTGTAAGGCGAGCTGGTGAACCGTGTGGGAGTCGGGCAGCTGGTGCGCATTCGTTTACGCGACCCTTCTGGGTGGAGCCTCTTCTCTCTGCTGAGCTCTCTGCTAAGGTCTGGGAACACAGAGGATCCCGTAGAGGATCACTGAGGCCATTTTTGGAACTCACATGTTAATGAGCCAGGCTGATGCTGTACATGTATGCAAACATGATAGCTGCCCACTATGATATGAGCTATGAGGACAAAGTGCAGTGGACAGGGGTCCCCTGGTGTCCACTGGGATCGACGCTGGGACACCACATCCATTCCCTTCTAGGAATAAATTTATCGTTTGGGGAACAATGACAAAAAAAAAAGCGAGTCCTCGTTCAAGTACAGATGAAGTTTTGTTCCAAATATTTTTCACCTGCATTTGGTTTGATCTGTGGATAAGGGTCCTGCAGGCACTGAGGACAGATTGGGTTGGGAGGGAGGGTAACAGGTGGCCACCCGCTGAGATCAAGTAGTCAGGGCTAGGAGTGGGGACGCTCGCTTAGGGCTGAACTGAGCCCCAGTAAGGACTGGGAAGAGCCACCAATGAGTGAGGGATTTCCAGAGGCCAGACTGGATCAGTAGACAGAGCTGCTGGGATAGACCGTGCCTCGGAGCTCACAGCAAAGGGCTGGGTCTTAATTTAAGAATCATGAGAATTTGCTGGAGAGTTTTCAGCAGCGGAGGGGAAGGTGGGATTTGTGTATTGACAAGGGTCTGGGAGGAGCCCTGGGGATAGGAGAGCAGGGGGAGGGCAGGAAAGTTGACTTCCCTGGCTGCAGAGGAGGGTGGTGTGAACTGGGGGCTGTGTGTGTGTGGGGGAGGAACAGGCCCCCTGGGGATGTGCTTTGGTGGGGGGGCACCTTCCCTGACTGGCCCTGGTGCAGACCCCTCCTGGCCCTCTGCCCACTTAGAGGGAAGGAGCCTCCCAGGCGCTTCACTGCCCCTGGCCCAAGCAGGGACTCCCACTCACTGTGTGGCAGAGAGCTGAACCGGTCGGTCATCTTGGTGGCCGACCGGCCTCCAGGGCTGATGGCCGTGACCCTGGCATAGTAGAACTCAGTGTGGTTGCCCGTCTCCATGGTCAGGTTGCAGGATTTCCGTGGGATCCTCTGGCAGCCTGCCTTTGCCAGCCATGCGATCTCCCCGTACCTGGGCAGGAGGGAGGGGCCGGGCACACCATTAATGAGGCCTAGGTGCCAGGCCTGTGGCGTTTTAATAATGATAGCGGTATCTCCTATTTACACAGCGTGTTCTGTGTCTCAGGCCCTTTATGTGGATGCTCTTGGTTCTCATGGTGACCCCCCTGGGCTGTGTACACAAGGAAGCCGAGGTTCAAAGGAGGAAAATGCACCCCGCCGTGCCCGTGACGGCCTGGACTTGAACCCAGCTAGTCTAGTCTACGTTCTGATCTCACTACCCCGAGACCCGGTGGGCGAAGCCTGTTATCCCCATTTGACAGACAAGGGATCTGAGGTTCAGAGAGGAGATGACAGGCCACAGGAAGAAGTGGCAGGACCAGAAATGGACCCCAGGTTTGTGGACCTGGAGCCCATGTCAACCCTCCTCCCCTGCCTGGGTGGAGAGAAGAACTAAACGGGGGGCACAGGCTGGAGTGGGGTGGGAACAGACTTCCTGTTGACCTTGTTTTGCCAAAAGTCAAAAAACAATCTCCAGGACCTCATTACGTCAAGCGCAGGTTGACTTCGTCTTACCTAATCTACCTGACAACCTAGGAGGAAGGGACTCTCACTGTCCTCTCTCTACAGATGGGGAACTGAGGCTTGGTGGGGTTCCCCAGTGGACCGAGGTCGCACAGGTGGGAGATGGCCCTGCAGCCCTGCCCGGCGGCCGCCAGCCCTGTGGTATCAGTCCTGATTGAACCTTCCCTCTGCAGAAGGAATGCAAGAGTTGTCCAGCAGGGCTGGGGGCAGCAGCTCAGTGGGGGCCCAGGGATGTGTAGAGTGGGGGACATTCTGGGAGGGCTGGCTGCAGAGTCACAGGAGGTGGGTGTGGGCAGGAAGCCTACTTCTTATATTCCACGCTGTAGACGGTGCCAGGGGTGCTGTCTGTCCCGCCGTCCCACGTCAGGATGTTTTCAAAGTTGTTGGACTGGAATTTCACGTGTTGAAGAAGATCAGAGGCATCCTCAGCAATGCGAGCTGCGGGAGGTGGGAGCAGGGTAAGCAGGTGGGCCCCCAGCCCTCCAGCGCAGCAGCCTGTTACCCCACCGCCTCTGCGCTCAGCCACCCTCTTCCTTCCCACTGGGCTGTAATTCACATGGCATCGGGTTCACCCAGTGACTACTGGGAAGACTCACACGCTGTGCAACCATCACTACTACCTGATTCCAGAACACTTCCGTCACCCCCATAGTGGCCAGTCCCCATCCCTCTATTCCCTGTGTAATAGTCCATGGTAAGGACAGACCACGTTTTGTGTATCCATTCATCAGTCCATTGACATCTGAATTATTTCCAGTTTGGGGCTATTTTGAGTAATGCTGCTGCGAACATTTGTGCAAATAAATTTAAGTGGATATGTTTGCAGTTGCCGTGGGTGGATATTTAGGGTGGGATTGCCGGGTCACTCTATGCTTGGTATGGAACCCAGGGGCTCAGGACAGGCCAGTGCTCTATCACTGAGCTACAGCCCCAACCCTTACATTTAACTTTGTGAAGAATCGGCAAACTGTTTGCCAAAGTGGCTGCACTTTCCTACCCCCAGCAGCACCCGAGGGGTCCTGTTTCTTACCCTAGTCCCACTTTTTGCTGTCTCTTGTTCGCTCACTTTGTTTTTGGTACCAGGAACTGAACTCAGGGGTGCTTAACCACTGAGCCACATTCCCAGCCCCTTTTTGTATTTTATTAGACACAGGTTGCTAAGCGCTGGCTGTGAACTCATGATCCTCCTGCCTCAGCCTCCCAAGTGGCTGGGATTACAGGTGTGCTCCACTGGGCCGACTACTCACTTTTTAATGCCACCTGAGGTGGGTGTCTTCACTTATTATAGAGAGTGCCAGCTAAAATGCCCCAGAAAGCTCGCCCAAAGGCATTCCCTGCACCCAGGATGGAGGGGGCTGTCTGAGAACTCTGGTCTCCCAGCCCGTCAACTGCTGCTTAGGACATGGAAAGGAGAGCCCAGGCCTGGACCCCTAGAAGGGGGCTGGGGAGGGGCTGCTGCCTCGGCATCTTCACCGGAACTGAAGAGCCCTTGACTTGCAGAACCCCCCGCAGCCTGTGGAGGGGAAGAAGGACAAGAAAGTGGCCAGAGTTGGATGCTGGCTCTGAGCATGCTCAGAAGGACCTGTCTGGCAGGGTGGGAAATACCCAGGTGCAGACCCAGCTGTGCCAAGGCCTCTTTGATGGCCATGCCCCTCCCTTCCTCTGGACATGACCATGGCCACCAGCAGGCCCAGGGCACGAAGGGGTGGATAGTTATTTATTCCCAAGTTATAAACAGTATTTCTGCAAGAGGAGTCCAGGGTTGGGAGGTCCTTGGGGAGATGGGAAGCGTATGAGGGCAGTCCCATCCTGGGGCACATCCCCTGCCTACGTGGAAGGCCACCACCCTCTCTGAATCTGGGTCTACCTGGCCCAGCAGCTGTGGACATCTTTGTCTGGGAGCTTCCCAGAGTCCCCAGAATGGGGCTTTAGGGGTAGCACAGGGGGTCTTATTGCCCCCACCCAAGGTGATGGCTATGCTGCTGAGCCCCAGATGTGGCTCGTGTCCTGGGCTTGGATCCCAGTCTGGGCAGAAATGGTGTTTGCAGGGAGGGGTCTTAGACTCAGGGCTCAGTCTAAAGTCATGGAAGGGAGTCCAGTGGCCACTGGTGGGGTCAAGGGCAGGAGAGAGAGGCTGAGATTTGAGAGGAAGCCACAGTCAGTCTGGGGTGGGCTTGGCCTCCCCCAGTGCTGGGTTAGAAGCTGCACTGGAAAGCTTGCTGGTTGGGGACAGTGTCCTGTGCAGGCTCCCTGTGCTAGGGAGGCTGGTGGCTGAAGCTGGAAAAGGGTCCTGGGTGGAGTGGGGATGGCCACCACTTTTTGATGTGTGTGCTGGGAACTGAACCCAGGGTGCTTTACCACTGAACTCCATCCCCAGGCCTTTTAATTTATTTATTTTTTATTTTGAGACAGGATCTCGCTAAGTCACTTAGAGCCTTGCTGAATCGCTGAGGCTGGCCTTGAAAACTTGTGATCCTCCTGACTTAGCCTCCTGAGTCACTGGGATTACAGGTGGGCGTCACTGTGCCCAGAGGAAACTGAAGCTGGCTTCCTGAAGTGGTGGGGGGCGTGGCCGGCCCCCTCTCTAAGGGGGTATCAGGGACTAATGAGGCCTTCCCTCTCCTCCCAACCTCTCGCTCCTTTTCATCCCCAAATCCATCATGCCCTCCCCGGCCGGGGTCATTTCTGCACTTCCTGGTTGGAAGTGGACATTCTGAACGCCGGGAGACATACGCTGTGTGGAGCGACTGTCTGGCCGACTTTACAAAAAGCAAGTTTTCACATTTGTGTGGAAAAACCATATGTCAACCGGTGGGGAAGCTAAGAAACTACACAAACAACGATCCCACATGCTCAGGAACCAGCTAGGCGCACCAGGGCGAGGGGCCAGGTCTGCAGAGGACGCTACTGACCCTTCACCATCTACTCAGGGCTGTTTCCTGTGGGTCCCCATCTTAAAGGGCCACGAGCTCTAGGACTTCCAGCCAGAATGGGAGGGGGCCTGAGGGACATGTTTTGGAGCCTCTGGGGCTGCAGGAAGTCTCCCTCGTCCATCAGAGACTCAGAGTGTGGGGAATACCCCGCTGAGGCCAGGGCAGCACAGACTGGAGGCAGTAAAGGAACCAGTCAGCGCTGGCCAGGGACTGTCCCTTCACGGGCCTCATCCTGCACTGAAGCCAGGAGGATCTGCAGAAGTCACATGTCCCTCTCTTCCATCAGGACTGTGCTCTCACTTCTTGACAGAGATCCCCGACACTCAGCTCAGGAGAGTGGACAACCTGAGGTCTCAGGTAAAGTTCTGCACGATGATGAATCCCATTGGGACCTTGGACTCGACAGCAGTGCAGCTCACCTGGCCACTCTGGGAGGACACGCTCTTTCAGGTCCAGCCAGAGGGGCCAGAAGAGGCCCCACAGGGACATGGAGAGAGGCCACGGTGTCCCACCTCCCCTCTTGGGCCAGCAGAGGGAAAGAAGCCAACTCTGCCGGAACCCCCCCCCCCCCGAGGGAGGGCAAGAGGTCTGCTCCCCAGGCCAGTCCCCTACCCGCTGGGATGAGGGGATCCAGCACCCAGGTTGAGACAGCTGGCCACATGCCCCTGGACCTACAGGTCAGTTGAGTCCCTGGGAGAACCCGGGCGCTGGGGCACCCTCTCATCCTCCCCAGCCACCTGAGCTGGCCATCCGCGTCTCCAGGAAAAGCCGGCACCCAGTCAAGCCCAAGCAGGGGAGAAACTGAAAGCAGCCTGGATGGGACTGCAGGATGGGTGCAGGGAGACAGCCCGCGCACTGGCCCCGGGGTGGGCCAGCCCTCACCCAGAGCAGGGGCACTCACCGGCCAGGGATCCCACCACCAGGATGGTCAGGAGCGTCCTCATCAGCCCTGCTTGGGACCCCTTTGGGCCCCCACTCCGGGCCCTGCACAGAGGGCAGGCTGTGAAGCCTGGGTGCCCGGGCAGCTGGCTCCACCCGGCACAGGGCGGGGAAGGAGGGGAGGGGAGGGGTCAGGAGGCAGGGGAGGACCTGGGCCAGTGGGGGCAGGGGTACAAAGGTGCCTGGCCCTGTGCTCTGGAATTCCAGATCCTGGGTGGGATCCAAGGGAGTTCCCTTCCTAGTTGCAGAGAGCAGCTACCAGGCCGGCCGGCTTGTTTATCTGGTCTGGGTAGCTGATTCATCCCAAGACTCCGTAGTGGTTGATTAGGGAGCTAAGAGGCAGAAAGGGCAAGAATGACCCACAATGTACAGTCTTATCAGAGAACAACTGGCGACGAATCAAATCTCACACCATGTGGGTATCTCTTGCCCCGGCAATTCTATTCCTAGGGGATCTACCCTGAGGAAAATAACGGGGCAAAACAGAAGAAAAAAATCCAGAATGTTTCTTGCAGCAAAGGAGAAGCCTGGCTTCTTGGCTTCATTCTGGCAGGTGAAGATATGGGTGTCTAATGCCTGTCCTTGTGCCCATATCCTGACCCCCAGGCTGGACAGGGGGCTTGGGAATGGCTTTCCCCCTGGCAAGGATGCTGGGCGAGAAGCTCAGCCATTTACCTTGAGGCTTTGGGGCTGGTCTCTGCAAAAAGTTAGAGAAAAACGGATCTCAAACCCCAGGGGTTCTTTGTGCTGTGCTGGAGAGAGGGGGAAATGCAGGAATGGGCCTCTGGTTTGGGGCAGTGAAGATAGAGACTGCTCCCAAGCTGTCATTCTGCCATGAAGAGCAGTATCTACAGAAATGAACGAGAACTTCCTAGTGAGGAAGGTGCCTGGGAAAGGGTTTTCCCCTTCTTGCTGGGCCCCAGAGAAGGAGAAGGGGCAAGAGAAGGACCTGCCCCTGGGGGGTTTGCTGGGCCCCAGTTGCACATGTCAGGACTATAGCAGGAGATTGGCCCGCAGGGGGTCCAGGGAGGGCTTGGCTTTATTTTATTTTTGTATGTGGTGCTGGGGATCTAAGCCAGGCCCAGGTAATGCTCTACCCCTGAGCTGCACCCCAGCCCTGGGCCTTGGCTTTTGGGCCTGATGGATGGTGATATCCAGGGATCTCTGTTTCAGTTTTCTTTCCTGTGTTTGCTATCAGCTCTGAACTTTTGCTAAAGTTTGTTTGAACAAGCAATCAAATCTAAGCTGCGCTTTGGGGGACTTAAGGTAGGGCCTGTGCCAATCATTTCCTGTTATGGGAGAAAACTACATTTCCCAGGCTCCTTTGTCAGCTGCTTTCTGATAGACTGAGCCACGCAGGTTGGAAGAGTGGAGAAGTCAGGGTATTTCTCGGCTTTGTCTCCTCTGGGGCACCAGCTCTCCCTGGGGAGCCCATCTCGTCAGGCAGCTCCACTTCTTCCTGGTCCTCTCAGGTTTGAGCTCAGGTAGCTGCCCCCAGCATCTAACCCTGTGGCTGGCAGGATAGAGCAGCTTCTGACTTCTTCTCGGTCCTGCCTGGGTCTCCAGTTTTCCCATCAGCTGGTAACCAACTCCTTAGTAAAGTCCGTTGCTTGGAAAGACTTGAGAGGTTTCCGTGCACCTGGATGGACCAGGATGGAAACAGTGTTTGATAACTTTAGGAGCGAGGTGGAGCGGGGAGGCTGCCACCAGAGGAACAGGTTACAAAATGCCAGGAAGGGACCATGGAGATAGGAGCCAGTTCTGGACCAAGTTGGCTGCCTGGGGTGCAAATTGCAGCCCACTGGCCGTCCCGTAGTGGTGACCGTGTACAGTTATTGGATGGTTGAAGAACTTGAGAACAGCCGGATCGGTTTCTCACAGTGTGGTGGTGGTGGTGGGCTCAGCCGCCGTGTTCAACAGCAGGGTTGTGGTTGAATGGATAACGGTGTGTTCACCCAAAGTGAGACAAATTCAGCCTTCAGAATAATGTTGGAGAAATATAATGTGTGGCCTGGTAAACATTCTCCAAATATTGTCAAGTGGAAAGCAGCATGACTATCCCACGTGCTGTCCACTGTGTCCTCCATGTCCCCATGTTGCAGTGGGGACAAGGCTTCTACCTTGCTCTCCTTGGTGTGGCAGTGTCTGGCATGGGTGGGCGCAGAGCAGACTCTCCTCACGTTTGCTGATGGACTGAGTGTGCTGGGGTCGGGGCGCTGGCCAGGGCTTTAACACAACCTGAAACACCCTGGAGCTGTAGGAAAAGCACATCCTGAAGTGATAGTTACTCAGATCCGTGACCTGCTCCCGTCCCTTCTCTCAACACCCAGGGATGCCGGGAGCTTTTATGCAGAAGCAAGAACCTCAAAAGGCAGCAGGTGGCCAGGCGCAGTGGTGCACACCTGCAATCCTAGGGGCTCAGGAGGCTGAGACGGGAGGTTCACAAGTTCAAAACCAGCCTCAGCAATGGTGAAGCCCTAAGCAACTCAGTGAGACCCTGTCTCTAAATAAAATACAAAATAGGGCTGGGGATGGGGCTCAGTGGTTGAGGGCCCCTAAGTTCAATTCCCGGGGCCCCCCCAATAAAAAGGCAGCGGGTGTTTACCTGAAGTCTGTGGGGGAGTGCAGAGTGCTGTCTTCGGGCAACCAGCTCAGCAGGGGAGATCCTGGGGGGGTCCCCAACCACTCTGGACAGAAGGAGCAAAGAATAAGGGTTTGGCTCCTCCCTCCCCCCTGCCTCTTAGAGAATCAGATACTTTGGAGTCTGGCCCAAAGGACATCTGACCACAAAGCATGAGCTGGGTCAATCAGGGGCATTGACCTAGATGTCCCAGATTAGGATCCTGGGGATGATCCCTCTGATTCCGTGGAGGGGTCTTGTCTCCTCTGTAGGCCTCGGTTTCTCTGTGTGTAAAGGCTGGTGGTCTAGAAGTCCTCCACGGGCCCTGGGAACTCGAGTGAATGAGCTCTGCTTCTCTCCCACTCTGGGGTTGGAAATCTCCTCGACATCCCAGAGTTCCTTTCATGACTCTTGTCACTGACAGCACAAATTCGTCTGAGCATTTATTGATGCTGCTTCTAATTTCAGCTCTCCCGGAGCCGTTTGGCCTCCCAGCTGCTCATTAGATGCTTCTGAGGACGCGCTCCATCACAAATACATTAAGAACATACGAACATCCTGCGTCTCATGCCAGGATTGAGGGGAGAGCTCAGGACGTCTCCCGGGAGCCGGGGGAAGCAGAAGGAAATGAGCTTTGGGCGGACAGACTGGGTCCAAGTCCTAGCTCTGCCACTGTCCCTTGTGTGCGGGTCCCTTACCCTGTGCCCTCAGCTTTCCTGTCTACGAAGTGGAAGTCATGGTGTCCACTGCTCAGTGCTGCTGGGTTGCCCTCTCTGGACAGTTAATGAAGAGGTCTCCTGTGGCAGGTGGCCTCTGTTTACAAAATGAGAAACTGAGGTCAACGTGAGGCTTTGCCAAGTCACCTGGGGGTGTGAGTGTAGGGATGGAGGGAGGTGGCGACGAGGACAGGGTCGCACGTTGACTCAGACGCTCAGGTTGGCAGTAGTTTCTGAGGCCAAATTCCAGGAATGGCAAGTGCCGGCTGCACCTGCAGCTGAGCCCCCCAGGAGTTAGGGTTGTTTAGAGGAGGAAGGTCCATGAAAGGGCCTGTGGCTAAGCGGGGGAGGGGCTCCAAGACCCTTTTGAAATCTGGCTTTGCAGTTGGCCCATCGAGTGTCCAGAGACACCGAGGCTTAGAGTGGGTGGAACTGTCTTCATTCCAGAGGCCCCCATACCCAGAGACCCCCCTAGAACTCCTGCTGATGGCTTTGCCCCTGGGGACAGGGTTCCTGGGGACCCCCACCTTCTCCTCCTAACCCACCTAAAGAGGCAGTAAGGGGGAAGGGAAAGGAGGGGCTCTTGTGAAGCCACTGCTCCTCCCTGTCCTGCATCACCTCCTCCCTGTCCTGCATCACCTCCTCCCTGTCCTGCATCACTGCAGCCCGAGGGGCGGGGTCCCTTGGGCTGGGTGGGTCCTGGCGCCGACCAGTATCTTTTGAGTAATTGACTCAGGGAACTGACTCAGTCATTCGGATATAGACAGAACTTATGGTTTGTTTTTCTTTTTAAGCTTTAACCTTTAACCTTCATGACATTAGCCCCACTTTGTGCCCATAGGAACGAGCTCATGGTCGACTCGGTCACTGAAGCAGCATAATCAAGTCCTAGATCACATGGGCAACAGGAAGTTAGGAAGGGTAAGTCACAGTCAGGGGACTAAGGTCCTGGTTTGTCGCCCACTTAGAGCAGATGCGGGGGGAGGCAGGACTCTACCCCATATGTGTAGCTGCCTATTGACCCCCACTCACGCATCAATTTGCTCATTTATTGTTTCATTCATTTGTCCAATGCCAAGATTCCACCCTTTGCCAGGTGTTGTGCCAGGTGGAAAATAATCCCTCCCCTAATGGAGGTCCCTGGAGATAACATTGGCTCCCCCGCCCACTCCAGGTTCCTGAGCACCGCCTTAGAACACTCAAGCCATCCCACCGCTGTCCAGAAGGTGGCAGCACTCAGGCCAAGAGATGCCTGAAAAGAGACTTGGCAGAGGAGGGCACCAGGTGGGGGGTGGTTGGGGTCACCTGCAGAGGAAGCTCTGCCTGCTTTTCTGGAAAGCCTTCACGGTACATTCGATCAAGGAGGCAGGTACCTGAAGCTGGCCACAAGTTGGGATGTTTACTGACTGTTTGTGACTCAGTGAGGACATTTGGTTATGGGTGACAAGGCCCTGGCTTAAAATGAGGATGCAGGGGCGCCACGGCCAAGGCTCCTTGGACCTCAGGGATAGACCGGCCCCACGGTCTGCCACTGATCATGCTGGAAGCTCATGTGATGGCCTCGTTCTTGTCTCCTCTGCAGACTGGGCCTTCCGGTTCCTGAGTGCAAGCCGTGGCCATGGCAGGCAGGAAGGTGACGTTTCAGGCCCAGCCAGCCAGGAAGACTCGGAATCCCAGGGCCAGGGACTTGTTGGGTCAGCTCAGCTTAGGTCTGGTGCCCACCCTGCCACCAGTGAATGGTGACAAAGGCAGGCACAATGTTGGACATGGACAGTGTGACTCTGGGAGAGTTACTGGAGGTGGGAGGACCCTTTCCAACAGAGAGCAGGTGGAATGAGTGGGTGTGCACGGCCACGCAGAGGCTGTTCCGTGTCCTCCCTCGGGCCACAGTTGCCATGGCTGAGCTGCGGGTGGGGGCGGGGAGCAAAGCTTCGGCCTCACTGCGGCAGAGGCTGTCGGAGACCCCTACCCCGCCCTGGGACATGTGCCTTCCTCAGCAGCATGACAATCCAGACTGCCAGACCCCGCTGCTCTGCCCAGGTGGGGTGGGGGACAGGGAAGCCACACGCAGCACCCGTGACCAATCCCCCAGCTCCTGTCCCAGCAGAGCAAGGAATGGCAAGAGGGCCTGACACCGACTTCCCCAAGGATGGGGAGCCCCAGGTGCCCACCGAGGGACCTGTGTGATTGCACACCCGAGTGGCAGCCTCCCCTCCCCACCTCGTTCCTCCACTTCCCTGGGGTCACATGGAATCATGTGCTGTCTGTACCCAGGTCTCAGGTCTGCTCCCGTGACCCAACCCAAGACCCCTGTAGTGTTGAGAGGTGAGGAAAGATAGAGCACCCCCATTTCCATTCCATTATACGTTTTTCTCTATAAAAATACAGCTCTTTATTTAAACAGTTTGGGGTCATAGACCATTAGGGTATTATTTAAATACAATACAAAGAATAAAATTAGACATAAATATAAATATATCAAGATAATATATAATCTTCTCAGCACTCAAAAGAACAATATAACACTTTAACCTAAGGTGACACACATTTCCCCGGATGCCCTTCAAGGGGGGGGCCACCCACCCGCAGCTGCTGTGTAGGTGAGAGAACCTTGTAAACCGTCAGATGCTCACACGCGCGCGCACGCACACACACACACACACACACACTTTCCTGCGTAGTGTGCCCTTTCCTCATGTCAGAGGCGATCCCCCTGCACCTCCCGAGTTTTTTGTCGTTGTTGTTAATGACTGGAAAGGAGTTGGAATTTAGAGTCATGAAAAATCCCAGAAATTCAACATTGGGGGGGAAAAATACCCTTTTAAAAACATCAAGATTGAAGAATAGAAATCAAAAGGGTATTTTGTTCAAGCCTGAGATAACACTGTAGCCATGACAACCTGGAGTTTTCTGAAATTACCTTCATGAAGCATCTCAATGCAGGCCCAGATAGAACCTCAGTCTTGGGTCGGGGGTCTCCAGGACCTGACCCTTAGCCATGGCCTTCCCGGAGCCATGGTTACAATCATGTGGATAAGTCTCACTGAAGGTCAAATTCCCAGGGAGATGTGTGTGTGCCCGTGTGTGTGTGCGTGCGTGTGGACGCTGGTGAGGGCCTCCTGCCAGCTTACTGGCCTTTGGAAATTCTGGCAGAGACCTCTATATCTTGTTGAGATGGCCAAGGGGTCAAGGGTTGGCTTGGCTGGGCAGAGACCATGGATTTCACCATTGGGAGTACATGGTGTAAGTCACCAGAGAAATGCTACTGGGTGACCTTGGGCAAATGCCTTTGCCACTCGGGACCTCAGCTTCCCTGAAATGAGACAGGTGAACACCTGGCAGCAGACTGCGAGTCCTGAGCACCACTGTGTCCTCAGCTGCTCCAGCACAATGCCGCTCCCTGGGTACGCTGCCCGGGAGAGTCCTCCTTCCCAGTGAGGTCCTCGCAGGTTCAGTGGCAGGGCCTGGGCTGCCTAGTCACAGCTGTCCAGATCCTCAGCCTGGAAACACTCAAAAATGTCCATCCTGGGGGTGGCCACTCAGCTCTGCCTGGCCACATCCTGGTGGGGGTAGGGGAATTGACGACCCCCCTCCCTGGAAAGGACAGCCACCTGCTCCCAGTAGAGCAGGAACCTGGGACCCCTTTACAGCCACAGCAGGCAACAGTATCCCAAGTGCCGTCCAAAACAGGGATCACGGGTCCTGGAGTCCAGGTCCTGCTTGGGGCCCCTGCAAGGCGGGTCACGGGGGTTCCTGCCATGGGAAGCAGGGCTCCTACTGCTGGGAAGAGGAGCGGCCGGGGCTGCCCTTGGCGGGACTCTGGCTTCTGTGAGCTCAGTCCCCTGGCCTGGACGTGCAGGACCAGCAAGGGTGGAAGTGTGTGTGGGGGCGGAGCACAGAGGTGCCACAGGCTAAAAGGCAGGTATTCCTGGTCACTGGGATGAGGATGTCTGGGGTCTCCTTGGAACCTGTGTAGAAGGACGAGCCTGCCAGCCACTATGGAGGCAGCACCCGTGATGTGGCAGGCCCCATGCCACACACATCAGAGATCCCCCTGAGCCTCACCACCCCTAGTTGGTGGCTGCCCCTGGAGAATCTGAGGTAGATAATGAGGGGGACTTATGCAGCCACCCAACTGGTAAACAGCAGGGCAGGGATTCGAATCCAGATCTGTCTGATATTAAAAAGTCTGCAATGTGTGACTCTGAAAACCAGGCTCTGAAGGACAGCTTCCCTTTCCTTCCCTGCAGCTCCCTCAGCCAATTGGATCTTGATCAGGGGCCCACTCTAGGGGACTCCCCAATCAGCCAATCAGGAGGATGAGACTTGCAGGACGAGGGAGCTCCAGGCTGGGAAAGGCAGGAGACCCTGGCCCACCAGATGTCCCTCCAGTGTGACTATCCCTTTCCCTCCCAGATGATCCCTTGATGGTGTCAGCCCTTGACATCCACAGTGACCTGACCCTGCCTGTCACCCAGGGCAATGCTCTGACCTGACACCCAACAGACCTCTGATCACGGCCCACCCTGTCTCCATCCCTCCTGCAGCTGGGCCTAACGCTGGTGCCTCCTAGGAAAGGTGGCATCCTACCACTCAGCCCAGATGCCAGCCAGCCTCTGGAGGGGACCCCCGAAGTGCTGGGAGACCCTCTGCTGCTTCAGCCAGGGAGGGAGGCTAGGCTCTCAGGACTCTGGTGTCCGGGTTCCAGGGCAGCGGGGCAGCCAAGCTGCAGCGCGAGGTTGGCGGGGAAACCAGGGCCCGCTCACCTGGCCATGTAGTGCCCCAGCACCCCACTCCTGACCTCGGTCCTCTGGCAGCCCCCGGCCCCCGAGCTGTCGGTGCTCCAGTCCACTGGACTGAGCTGGCCCTCCACCTCCGCCTCCCTCTCACCCTCCTCTTCCTCCTGCTGTTCCTCTTCCTCCTCCTCGTCTGGGCTGCTGTCCCAGCAGAAGGTCAGTGTCCGAAGAGAAACCTGGGGCTCCCCGGGGAGCAGATTCCTCCCTGGGGAGGAGGAGCCCCAGGTGGTCCACCTGAAGAGGTCACCCTGCAGGGGCTCTTCCAGGGAGCCCAAGTCCTCAGGGAATTCTGGGTATGGAAGAAGCTCCGGATGCTGGTCCCCGCTAAGCCCTTGACCCGGCCGCTTCTTGGCCAAATAGCTGGAGGACCCAGCCTCGTCCCAGGGTGAGGAATATACGGTGCTGGGCCAGCTCCCGTCTGAAGAATCCCAAGCAGAGGAGCCTTCTCCAGGGACCACAAGTGTCCAGGGCCTTCCTGAGTCCACGCCGGACCCATCTGCCTCAGAGTGCCCCGAGACCCGGAGCTCTTGACCCAGGAAGGTGGGGTGTTCAATGTAGGGCTGGAAGCTGACATTGTCATCTTCGTCCTCAGTCAGTTTCTCTTCTGACCCTGCCTTCAGAGCGTCTGAGGCCCTGACCTGGGGGGCCGGCCTGACCTTTCTGATGAGTTCGTTTTGGGGACAGAGGAATAAGTCATCTAGGGACTCCGGTCCACTGGACTGGAAGGTTAGCACAGAGTGTCTGCATCCAGAAAAGTCCTGATACGGGGAGGGGGAGAGAGGAGAAGGTGATTAGGGCTTTCCACAGGATAAGGCCCCCCGGAAACAGATGGGGGCAGGGCTCGAGTTGTTACATTGTTGGCAGGAAACTGCATCTGGACCTTGATCCTGCCAGGAACCCAGGGAGCCAGGGCACGTGCACCCCAGAGCGGCCCCTCTGAGGGTGGAGGCACCTGGGTATTTCTCCATGGGACCCTCGGATGTCACTGAGGGACGTAAGGGCTGCTGGGGGTGCCTGTTCCCTGATGGGTGTGCTGGCAGAGAAAACCCGCAGCGGGGCAGGGGCTGGGGTCCAGGCAGGCCGAGCCGTGGGGCAAGGCATTTGGTGGTTAGCAGGACTTCCCACAGGTCTGAAGGTTGGGGCTTTGAAAAGACTCCCTTGCCACCCTGCTGATATGGGGACACTGAGAATCCATCCTTAAAGTCCCTAACCGCACCCGAGTTTCTCCTGGGCCTCGCCCACGGCCAGGCCCTGGTCTGAGCAGCGCACCCCATCTGGCCCCTGCAGCTCCTCCCTGTCCCCGCTGGCCGCCAGGTCCTTAGGGAGTGGTTAGTACCCCAAGGTCGGCCTGGGCAAGTCTTGACCTTGGTTAAATTGTGGACTACGCACCGAGAGCCTGCTGAGTCTCCCCCTTTGGGCGCTCCTGTCTCCCCCACCCCTTCTGGCCACGGTTCCAGAGTCTCAGGGCTGAGGGCTCAGCTCTCTGCACCCGAAAAAATCTTTAGTAAAGTGTCTTAACTAAAAGGATCTAAAGTCACTTCTCCCTCAGGGACAGATGGGTATTTTATTCAGTGCCAAAGGAATGCATCACTAATGGTGGAAACTTAGATACAGGATCTGACACGTTTCCGTCTGGGCCACCTCGACAGCCTCTCCCAGCTACTCAAACTCCAGCCCCACCTCCTGCCTCTCAGTCCCCCTCCCTCCCCACCTGCCGCACACCCCCAGATTTACCATACCAGGGCCTGTGGCATCTTGGACTGCCGAAACCAGGGGTTTCCCTGAAGACTCTTCCAGATCATACCCACCGAGGCCACCACCAGCAGCAGCGGCAGAAGTGACGGCAACACCAGGACTGTCCAGATGGGTCCTAGGCAGGAAAAATGACATCTACCCTCAGACGTGCAATGGCGCTCCCCTATCAGTGTGCTTCCCGTCCATCTTCCCACTCAGTCCTCATGAGAATAACCCCATCCTACAGATGTGGAAACCAAGGCTCAGAGAGATTATGTAAGTGGCCCGAGGACACACAGGGAGTGTGGCACAGCTGGGACTTTCACCTGGGCCAGTCTGTCTCTAGATTCTGACTTTTAACCACTACAACATGAAACTCTCAAGGCCCCAGAGGAAAGTCCCCTGGACAGCACCACGTTGTACCTACCTGGGGCCTCCAGGAAGAAGCAGATGGGCGTGGAGAAGTTGCTGTATTTAGGGGAAATGAAGGTGTAGATGGTTCTGGCGCTGAGACAGTAGCGTCCGCTGGTGGCTGGCGGTAGGGGCACCTGGACTGTCTGGCCATGTGGGGTGGCTGGATATACTGTCTGTTTGGAGAAAGAAACAGAGACGAGTGGACCTTCTGAGGGGACCCCGTTCCATACGGTCGGGCTGGGGAGCATTGGCAAGCGGGTTAGGATGCGGATCCCGAACCTTCTTTTCTTTTCCTACACTGAGGGCCAGGTCTGGGGGTGTACTTCCCAACACTGTTTCTTTTTGGCTGAGTGTCAAATTAGGGATGTCTGCAGTTCCAAAGCAGCCTGTCCTTTGGGGTCACTCCTGGGTGTACCCCACCAGGGCCAGTGGGTCCCACTTTGAGAAGCAGATTCCTCAGGCCTTCTTCGCTTGAGCCTCCCAACCTCTTGGGGGTGAGGCCAGTCAGCAGTTACAGGCTCAGAAAAGTCTCCAGCCGCTCTGTCCAGTAAAGTAGGTGGTGGCCACACGAGGTGACCAAGCCGTTGAAGCAACTGGCCCAAGTACAAAACACCCACTTCCAAAAAATTAGGGAATAAAAATGGTGAAACAGCTCCATGATTTTTATATATTAATTTCATGTTGAAATGACAATATTCTATCAGATGAAATAAGATCTGTCAGTAAAACTAAAGTCTTTTGGGGGTGGGGGGTGCAGCTCTGTGGTAGAGCACTGGCCTGGCACACATGAGGGCCTGGCTTCCGTCCCAGCACCACCCAAAGCAAACAAAAAAAGTCACTTGTTTCCTTTTATTTAATCCTGTTTATTTATTTTATTAATGTGGAATATTTAAAATGACATATGTGGGGGCTGGGGTTGTGGCTCAGAGCGCTCTCTTAGCATGCATGAGACACTGGGTTCAATCCTCAGCACCACATAAATGTAAAATAAAGATATTGTGTCCACCTAAAAAATAAATATTTTTTATAAAATGACATATGTGGCTCACATTATATTTCTTTTGAACAGCGCTGGTCTAGAATATTCACAAGGTACTTTTCAATTTTGAAATTGATTCATAAAAATCGTACAGGTGTGGGCGGTGTGTGATGTTTTGACATTCTTGGGAGCTTCTGGAAGACGGGAACCTCGCTGGACCCAGAGCTACATCCCTAGGATGGCGGGGCCGGGGGTGAGTTCTGGTTTTGTGGAAGAAAGAATGAACCAGAGCAGGGGTCAGCAAACCAGGCGCTGGGTGCCACCTTTCCTGCCACCTGATTTTGGAAACAGTTGCAGCAACCCATCGGGGCCTGTTCATTTCCACCTTGTCTGTGGCTGCGTTTGAGCTCTGGCTGCAGAGTTCAGTCACTGGGCCAGAGCCCACTGGACAGACCCCGACCCTGTGCAGAGGAAGTTTGCCAAACTTTGCCATAAATAAATAAACATATTCCCAGGCCTGCACTGAAGTCAGGTCTGAAGCTGGGCGTACACCCAGGGGTGATTTGTGGACATATGTTATCCAGGGTTATTTATCTCTGGGCTCTTTGGGATTGTTTCTTAGAGCTTATCTGTACTTTCTGCAATGACCTGACAAGTAAGCCTCCTGCAGCCCATCACACTTTCATCAGATTTTATTGGGAAAAAAAAAAAAAGGAAGCGTTTGTCAAAAAAAAAAAAAAGATGAGGCATGACTTGTGGACAGGCCGAGGGCACTTACACTGGTGAGGGGCCGGCTCCCCGGAGTCAGGGGTGTCAGCACACCGGGATCAGGGAGCAGCGGGAGCCTGAGGCACCCTGGGCTGTGGAGCGGTAGCGGGAACCTGGCCTGGGGGCGGGGGAGGGACTGCCCACCTTGTTTGTGGTGCCCTCCTTCCAGAATTCCACCTTGTACGTCAGGTCCACAAGGGGCATGCAGGGGGGCAGCTGGTAGGTGGCGTTGACCCTCAGGATCTTCTTGGTCTGGGTGAACACCAGGATGGGCGGGGCTGGTTCCACTGGAAGAAACAGCAGGACCTGTCAGAGCCCTCACCCAGCCCCGAGAGCCCCCTGGGAAGGGGGAACAGTGCTAGCTCCTGCCAAGCACCTCCATGCACCATGCACCTGACAGCCTCGCACTGACCCTGGAGGGAAGGTTCACGTTCCCTTTCTACAGAAGGGACACTGAGGCTTGGAGGGGTGAAATACCCTAGCTGAGCTCTCGGGAGACCTGCCCTTACTCATGGTCTCTTCCACCTGGGTGCCCTTTACATGCCACTGGGGTCTCAGAATCCTGCCCACACGTATTAGTTTCCTGTTGGCTGCTATAACAAATGACCACACCTTTGCCCTGGGTCTCACACATGGACCCTTTGGGACAAGTTCACTTGAGGGTCACTCAGCTTGTCCAGCTGAGGTCCCTGTTACCTCACTGCTTGTCAGCTGAGAGCCTCCCGGCTCCTAAAGGCACCTGCCTTTCCTCTCACCTTGCCCCCATCTCCAAACCAGGAATGGCACAACTGAACCCTCTTCACCCTTCAAATCCCTCTGACTTCCTCTGCTGCTCTGTGACTTCTGCCTTTAGCTGCAGAAAGTTCTCTGCTTTAAGGGCTTTGGGATGATAGTGGATCCATCTGGACAATCCAGAATAATCTCACTCGTTCAAGACCCATAACCTCAAAATTCCTTTTGCCGCAGAGTACACACATCCAACACATCTGCAGATCCCAGGTATGAGGCCAGAACGTCCTTGGAGGGCCAGTCAGCCTACCAAGGTCTTTCCTCCAGCCTCCCCAGATCATGTCCCTTTTAAATGCATAACACATTCACCCTGCCCCAAGGCTCTCATCTCATTACAACATCAGTTCAAATCCCCAAATTTCATCGACAGCATCGAAACCAGATGCACATGAGACTCAGTGTGATCCATCAGTGGGACACAAATCCTCTCTATGGGCTGCTGAAACTTGAGGACAGAATGATGGGAGAGGCCCAGGATGCAGTCCCAGGCCTTCCCGTTCAAACGGGGGACAGGAAAGATAGAATGTGTCATTGGTCCAAAGTGGCTTCGAATTCTAGCCACAAGAACTCCATGAGGTGCCCAGGCCTGGAGCCCTTCTGCTTGGCTCCTAGCCCTGTCCTGAGCTCCTGGCTCCGCCCTCTGAGTCACGCGTCCTTTTCATTAAGGGCAGCAGGTATCTGGCCCCCAAACAGTTTTTATCAGTTTGCATCTCCCAGGAGAAATGGCAAAGTCCATCGTGACTTCCGACTTTCTCTGTCCCTGTGAGTCTGAGCTGGCAGCTATGGATATAAAGTTTTCAGGAGCTCCGTGGATCTCCTGGGGACCACTTCACCATAAGTCTCCTAGTACACCTACAGCTGCCCTAGTGGTGGGGTCCTCTGGGGAACTTTGACTGACACCCGCCTTCATGCCCGCCTCCCCTTCTCTGCTGGCTTCTTTCTTAATCATTATCTGGCCTTCATCCGGCCTCCTTCCTCCCCTCCTCACTCCCTTCCTTCCTTCCCATTTCCCATCCCTCCTCCTCTACCCTGTGCATCCTTCCTTCTTACCCAAACCTGTTCCTCCTTTTATCCACCCACCACCCACCCAGCCTAGTACACCCCAATCCTCTCTTCTCCCTTCCCCACTGACCTTTCCTGCCATTCTCCATTCAAACCCCATCCTCCTGGCTTGGAACCCTATTCTGCTCTCATTTTGGAAAACCTGGATGGCAGGGGACAGAGCGAAGCTTCGTGGGCTCCTGTCCGAGTGTTCACCCTCCCTGGGCACCTCCCTCCTGTCACTCCACCTTATCCAGGGTCAAGATCCAGATTCCCATCCTACCCACCCATTACTAGCAGTGCATCCGGACAAGGCACCCAGCTTCTTTGAGTCTTGCTTTGAATATTAAAAAAACATGCAAATGAACTTCATAGATTTGCTATGAGAATGAGAAATAAAAATCTATTGGAAAAAAGTGCTCTCCTTACCCAGTGTGAACACTTGTGGTTGCTGGTGATAAGCATGGTAGGGGGATTCCCCACCACCACCACCTAATTATCTTCTTTGTCCCCCAAATTTCTAGTGTATAGAAAAAAAATCGATTTAAAAAAAAAAGATCTCTTAGAGAAGTTGAAGCCAACAACAAAAAAAAATGGGAGTAAGTACAGCACCAAGGGAGGGCCCGTGAAGCGTGCGCTGTAGGGGGTGCAGCGGCTGTTCTGGCGCCGCCTGCCGGTCCCCTAACTCCCTACATGAAGCCAGGCTGCCAGCTATGGCCCCAGCTGTGCTGGCCCCTGGTGGCCCTTTCTCACCAAGGCTTGCTTCAGAGCCAGGGCCACTGAGGGCTGCCCCAGTCAGGTGTCCCCTGCTTCAGGGAAGCGGCAGGCAGGTGATGTGACACTCATATAGAGTGTCACCTTGACTGGATGGGGGGGATGCCTATAGAACTGGTGAAGCATAATTATGGGCGTGTCTGTGTGGGTGTTTCAAAGAAGATTGGCAGGCAGGTCAGCCAACTGCGTCTGGAGGACCCACCCAGCAGGCTGGGACCAGAATGGAACTGGAAAGGGGAAGAGAAGGGGAAACTCCCTCTCTGGCTCTCGCTGTCCCTTCTCGAGCAGGTGCATTTCTGTGGCTGAAGGGGGACTTGTACCCGCTGGGGAAGGGAGGCTTTTGAGTCTTCAGCCTCAGATTGGTCTGTCTTTCTGAGACTTCTGGTTTCTTGGACTGAGTCACTGCAGGTGGCCACTGTGGGACTTGTCAGCCTCTGCCATGACAGGAGCCAGTTGGAGTCAATCTCTCCTATCACTGCATAGATTCTATTGGTTCCTTTCTCTGGAAAACTGTGGCTAACACAGACCATCAGGATGGCCGTGCCACTGAGTGAAGTCCCCACATCCCTCCCCTGCAGACCTACCTTCAGAAAGGTAATCCAGGGACTCAGACTCCACCCAAGGGGACCGGACACGGGCAGAAGCCGCCTGCACACGAGCCTTGAACTTGTTGTACAGGTCCTGTTTCTTCAGGCACATGAGGGGACACACCAGTGCCCGGGTTCCTGCACACTTTTTTACTTTTTGCCACTTCCTGGGGGTGGGAGAGCTGAGGGGGAGACAGGAGCAGGTGAGACGCGGACTCAGCCTCTGGTTAGGGAATTTAGAGAGCACGAGATTGCTCATCCATCCATCGCCAGATGACCCACCAGCCCTCTTCTAGCCAGGCAGCCCCTGGCTGAGACAGGGGAAGAGAGGTCAGCTTGGGAGCGCAGACGGGAGTGGCTGGAACCCTCGCCCTGCCTCTCACTAGCTCTGGGACCTTAGGCAGGTCACTGACCCTAAGCCTCAGTCGCCTCATCTGCCACGATTCTCTCACAGGGCTGTTGTAGCCGCAGCTACGGCCAGTACTGGTCAATGTTTTCCATATGTTTATTTATTTTGGCACTTATGAACCACCTGCTGTATGCCATGCTCAGTGCTACGTGGATTTCAGAGGGCCACGTGCAGGTCCATGACTCCAACCTCCTGAAAACACTGAGGTCTGGGAAGAGACCCGCACACTGGGCATTGTTCCCGGCACGGGTGAACTGGTAACGCATGACACATGAAGTTCTGTGCCTGGCGACTTACATCTGATGGGAGGGGTACAAAGGACAATAATCATACCAACAGAAGCTGGTAAGTGCAGTGATAAACCAGGGTAACACAGAGTGACTGCTCTAAAAGGTGGCTCAGAAAAGGCCAGAAAGATGGCGTTGAAGCAGGAGCCCCCCACAGGGAGAAGGAGGGCACGGCTGAAGGTCTGGGGAAGGAACAGCAGGGACTAAAGCCCTGCAATGGGAAGGGGGAGCCTGACCTGGTCAGAGAACCGCAAGAAGGCCAGTGGGGTCAAATCCCAGTGGTCAAGGGGGGACAGGCGTGACAGACCAGAGAGCAGGGTGGCAGGGGAGGTGGGCAGGCCAGGTGGCGCTCACAGTCTTGCTAAGGACTCTGGGTCTGCTCTGGGAGTGATGGAGAGCCCCTGGGAGGCTTGGACAGGGCCACTGCTAACGTTTGAATGTTGATGTCCCTTCCAAGTGCACAGGTTGGAACTTAACCCCAAGGTGACGGTGTTAAGAGGTGCGGTCCTGCTGGGCGTGATGATTCACACCTGAAACCCCAGCTCCTCGGGAGACTGGAGCAGGAGGATGCAGAGTTCAAGGCCAGATGGGCAGCAGAGCGAGACCCTGCCTCCAAATAAAAACCAGACCGTGCTGGGGATATAGCTCTGTGGTAGAGCCCTGCTGGGTTCAATCCCCAGCGCAGAAAGAGAGGGAGAGGGGAGGCAAATGTGTCTCTATGATGTATATCACTGTTCCTGAAAAGATTAGAAGTCATAGCTACCTAGAGATCACATAGCCAGCACACAGACTATGATCTTTTTTTAAAATTTTTTGAGAGAGAGAGAGAGAGAGAGAGAGAGAGAGAGAGAGAGAGAATTTTTTAATATTTATTTTTTAGTTTTCGGTGGACACAACATCTTTATTTTATTTGTATGTGGTGCTGAGGATCGAACCCAGCGCCCTGCGCATGCCAGGCGAGCACGCTACCGCTTGAGCCACATTTCCAGCCCAGACTATGATCTTTTTTAAAAACATTTTTATTAGTTGTTGATGGATTATTTATTTATTTATTTATTTATTTATTTATATGCAGCACTGAGAATTGAACCCAGTGCCTTACACATGCTAAGCAAGCGCTCCACCACTGAACCACAATCCCAGCCCCAAGCTATGATCTTTAAAATCTTTTCCTATTAAATGGAGAAGTGGCTCACTGCAGATCTTAGGTCAGGAACCTCACAAGATGAACTTGGGACACCTTGTCATAACAAACAGTGAGAAAGATATCAAAGATTATCAGAGTCAAGTTAAAATGACTCAGCTTTTTTTTAAGACAGAGTCTTGCTAAGTTACCGGGTTGGCCTTGAACCTGTCTGCCATCCTCCTGCCTCAGCCTCCAGAATAGTTGGGATTACAGGTATGTGCCACTGTACCTGGCTAAAGTTAAAAAGACTCAGAAATCACCTCGAAGAAATGCATTGGCCAAAGATGGGACAATTCAAGGTTCAAAGTAGAGAATAAATTACAATTGAATTGACATTATCAGCTGGGCATGGTGGTGCACACCTGTCATCCCAGCAACTTGGGCAGGAGGATCATGAGTTCAAAGCCAGCCCCAGCTGGCTTGCATAGTGAGGACCTATGCAACTTAATAAGACCCTGTTTCAACATAAAAAATAAAAGAGATGTGGTCTTGTGGCTCAGTGGTTCAATTCCCCCTGGGTTCAATCCCTGGTACCAAATAAATAAATACAATAAATGAAGTGACGTGGTTAGATATGCTTAACAACTAAACAACAACAATAATAAAAGAAGTTCATAAAAATTGTAAAAGAAGTTAATTAGTCACCTTTGGGGAAAGATAGGGAACCAATTATTCTGTCTTGCCTATTTGAAAACCTGTGTTTCAAATACTAAATGAGGGGAAAGAGCTTTTTATAAAATAATTCCAATTATCAAATGGGAAAAACAACAATTAGAGTATAAGCATTTTGCAATCCTCACAGGTATTTAGAAAAGCATTAAAAAAGGAGGAAAATATTGCAAAAGTCCAGAGGAGAGGCTTGCAAGTCCTTAATAAAGTTATTCTAGATGGAACCCACTAGAATACACTGCATCCCACTGCGTGATTTTGAGCGAGACACACCTGCAGCAGCACCCCAGTCTCCTCCTCTGTAAAGTGGGGAATGGGACCCGTCCTCCCAGGGCTACTGTGAAATTAAATACATTTAATGTACTGACACAGGGCTGGGGGTGCAGCTCAGAGGTAGATCATTTGCTTAGTATGCACAAGGCCCTGAGTTCCATCCCTGGTATCAGAAAAAAACAAAACAAGAAAAAAAAAATTAGGTGCTGACACGCTGCCTGCCGCGCAGCACAGGAAGGTAGAGCTTCCTGCCTCCTGCCTCCTGGGCGGGTTCTTGCTTTTGCCAGCTCTCCTGCAGTCTGTGCATGCCCAAGCCAGGGTCCTGTCTTTCATATCTGGATTCTCAGAGGCAGAGAATATGATGGAACAGGAAGAGCACATATTTTGTGGTCAGATGGGTTGGGTTCCTCCTCTGGCTCAATCACTAGCCAGGGAAAGCAATTCTCTGTGATGGATCTTATTACCTCTAAAGTGAGGGGACACAGTGCTGCCTGAGGGTCCTGGGAGAGAAAGATTCCCCCGAACACCTGTAGCACTGGCCTAGGTTGGGACCTGAGGATGTATAGCTCCTTCTCCTTCCTGCTTCACCCCATCACCACCAGTTCCAGATTAATCTTCCAACATATCCGCTTCTATCATCTCACTGTCCTACTAAAAACTCTATAGGCTGGACATGGTGAAGTGCGGTGGCGCATGCCTGTAATTCCAGTGGCTCAGGAGGCTGAGGCAGCAGGATCACAAGTTCAAAGCCAGCCTCAGCAACTTATTGAGGCCCTAAGCAACTTGGCGAGACCCTGTCTCTAACTAACACATAAAAAGAACTAGGGATATGGCTCAGTGGTTAAGCACCTCTGGGTTCAATCCTCAGTATTCAAAAAAAAAAAGAACTCTATAGGAGCAGGGCACAGTGGCACATGCCTGTAATTCCAGCGACTAGGGAGGCTGAGGCAGGAGGACTGCAAGTTCAAAGCCAGCCTGGGCAACTTAAAGAGACCCCTTTTCAGAATAAAAACTAAAAAGTGCTGGGGTCATAGCTCAGTGATAGATCTTTGCCTAGTAGCATGCATAAGGCCAGAGGTCAACCCCCAGCCCTTCAAACAACAAACAAAAAACTCCATATAATCTATATCTACGTTCAAAGGTGGCACATCTGCTCTTCTGGGTTGGTGGTGACTGCCTGGGCTTCCAAACTGAGAAGCACTCCAGGCCCTATCCAGCACCAGGGGAAACTGATTCCTAACAATGCAGCATTTTGCAGGCTACAGGAGGGAGTCTCGTCCCTGGGCCTTATGTTTGCCCTCACTAACCAGCTGGAACAACTCCAAGCACCTCATCCAGGGGTACAGGAGTGCCTTGTCCCATGCCCTCAAGCTCCACCCAAGGCTTGCTCCAACTTTTCTCAAGACCCACCACCATCCCATGCGCCTGTCACCTGCACGCAGTTTATTCAACTCATTTCTACCAGCGACCTTACCAAGAACCCCTCCCCAAACATCTGCCACGTGCTATCTCCCAGGGGACCCAGAGAACCACCGAATATCAGCCACACCCCAAGCAGATACCCCAGGGAAGTCCCTCTGGCCCCTACCCACCTCCTTGGTCTCCCACCCAGCAGCCCGGAGACTCACTTCACCTTTGATAGGCCACAAAATAGGTCACGTTCTGGGGGTTGCCAAGCCCAGGGAGCCACGTCAGGTACACGCTGAAGTTCTGGGAGAGCAGCGTCACGTTCCGAGGAGGGGCTAGACGGGAGCCCCCTGTGGAGACAAGAGGTCATGCGTCCTGGAGCTCTGGGCTGGTCGGACAGGGGCCATTTAGGGCTGAAGAGTGCCACCACAGGTGGTCAGCTGCTCACCAAGTTTGAGGAACCAAAAGCCACCGCCCACACCCCGCAGGCCTCAGCGTCCCATCTGTACCACGAAAGGAGGCTTCTGTCTACTCTGGCACCCAAGTGTCCCGGGGCTCCATGGAGCGGGAACTGGGCTCTCCAGGAGCAGGGGCTGCTGTTCTCAGCAGTCCCCGGGGCCTGCCTGGGGTGGTCCCGGCCCCCGGCAGGTGCCTGATGAGTACTCGCTGAGTGGATGGATCTTATGATGACTCGACTCATCCCATCCATGTAACTGGAATGAAACGGCAAAGGGTACTGCCCAGGCCTTAGAAGCAGAGCCACATACCCAAATGGCCTGTGCTGAGGGGGGCAGGGAAAGAACTTGGAGGACCTTTCCTCCAAGCAGACGGGGATCCCCACTTCCACTGGCCTGCGATTCCTTTAACTGCACCATTTGCCATGGACTCAACATGGTCCCCCCCTGGACACACCGCCAGTTGCCTCTCTCTGCCTGATTCTGCATTCCTGCCTCTCGTCCCCTGGGGACGGAGGACTGCCCTCCCGATTCACTGCACCAGGATATGAAAGTAATGAATCTTTGATCTTATTTCCTACTGTGGCAGTGGGTTGGCTTGTGCCTTCATCTGAAAAACCAGGTGAGGCTCCCAGTGCCAGGGAAAGATCAGGAAGGCATAAGATGAACTTGGCTCAGGCAAGACCCACAGGACATCTTCCAGTATAAACACATATGAGGGACCCCTGGTCATGGGCTGGACAAGCAGGCCTCAGATTGTGGACAGGCACAAGAAGTCTCCCATGAAAAGCATACACTAGCTTGTAATCCCAGCAGCTCAGGAGGCGGAGGCAGGAGGATGGTGAGTTCAAAGCCAGCCTCAGCGAGGCCCTAAGCAATTCAGTGAAACCCTGTCTTTAAATAAAATATAAAAAGGGCTGGGGGTATGGCTCAGTGGTTAAGTGCCCCTGAGTTTAATCTGGGTACCAAAAAAAAGCACATGAGCAGCATCCATGACCAGATGTCCTGCATTTCCTGAGGGGACAGGGCTGCTACTGCTCTCATGGTAGAACCCCAACTTATCTGGGGGCTCTCAAAACACCTTGTCCCTCTGTATAGCAGCAAGGGTTCAAATAAAAATCAAAGCCAGGGGCACTGCTTGTTCAAGCCCTGGGTTTGATTACCAGCACCATGGGGAGAAAAAAAGAATGAAATAAAGAAAAGAAAAGGTCCGGCCATGTCCCTCTTCTGTTTAAACCATCTCGAGACTTCCGTGCATTTCACTCCAAATAAACTCCCAAGTTTGCACTGTTACCTCTGGGGCACTACCCAACCTGACCCGCCCCTCCCCCCTTGCTCCCTCCTCTGGGATCCCCTTCTGGTTCCTTTCCATGTGCTGTTCCTTTTCCATGCGATGATCCTCCCCCAAACGTTTACCTGGCTTTTGTCACACTCTTTCATGTTCCTATCTCAGTCAGTGACAAGTTCAGTGACAAGTTCTCTGGCCACCTTTAACTGGCCTCTACTCCTCCTCCTCAGCCTCCTCCTCACTGCTGACCGTTCTCTTCTGAAATACACACCTGATGATACCACTCTCCAATTTCGTGAGTTTCTTTTGCCCTGGGAATAAAGTCCACGTTCCTTATCGAGGTATATGAGGCCCTGCCCAGCATGGCCTGGCTTGGCCATTCAGCAAATGTCTCCCTGACACCCCCCAACACAAGCTCACCAGGCTGCGGCAAATCTTCCTTCCTGCTGTCCCCAAACCACCACCTTCTTTTAAATATCTTTGGACCCAGGTGTCTAGAATTGCCTAATGCTCACCGTCTAACCTTTGAAAGACTTGATTCAAATTAACGCAGAGGCAGTGTGACCAGGATGCTAATTAAAGCTGACCTGTGTAGGAAATTTGTTATCATCATGTGATTAACATGTCTAGTTTCCTGCGTGGGGTACCCCTGGTTGTAAGCCCTCCCTGCTCAGGATGTACGAGTAACAAATCCGCGATCCTATTTCCTCCCCTGGGTTTACTGTCCCTGATTTTCCCTGACATCTCCAAGAGGCAGTGGTTTTGATGATGAGGATGATGAAGATAATAATAGCGGCTGACCCGTACTGTATTTTCATTTCAAGACAGGCTGTGCTAAACACTTCAACTAAATTTTCTTTTGCCACACCCTTGGGAGCAGGTACTAATCATGATCCTCACATCACAAGTGGGACAACCAAGGCCCTCTCAGGTAATGAGTTGTGGAATCAGGATTCAGATCCGGGCCTAGCCAACTCCGAGGTCTAAGCTCTTGACCTTACCTCCTCCTCTAGGTATTCATGGAGGGAAGGTCCAATTCTCCTGACGGTGCTCACTCAGCTTCCCAGCCCGGGCTTCCTCCCCCTGACATTTTGATCCAAGTGTGGATGCCTGCTTCCACCCCGTCCTGTGTCCTCTAGCTGGACCTTGATTATAGTTAGACTGGTGCTACCATTATGCAAAGCTCTAGCACTGCCTGGCAGGTGCCCAGCAGGAGGCCAGTCTGTCTGCAAGTCACTCATAAAGTCACTTGTGGACAGGTCAGGTCCAAAGGCTGAGCTCATCCACAGTGGAAAACTCATAGCTAAAGTAGCCACATGGGACTGAGACTTCAAGGGCTCCAGGCCCTGGTTTGGCACTTCATACACAACACCTCAGATGACAAACCACCCTAAAGGTAGGTGTCATTCATTCCCCTTCTGGAATGGGCACTAGGCTCAGAGACAAATATTAAATAATCTAAGATTACACAACCAGTTTGTGAGGGGAACGTAGACCTCCCCCATTTACTGTCCCTCCTTAGCTGGAAAAACACTGCTGCAGAGTTGGGAGGTGACCTAGTGGACGCACCACCCTGTGCCAGTTGCCCACGGGAGTCCCAGTTCAGCGTGCCTCCCCTCTGCTGGCCTTCTTGGGAGATTCCCTTCACTGGTCTAAGCCTCAATTTCCCCATATGATAAAGAAGAATATCCAGCTCATGGGTTGAAATGCTTTTTAAATAAGATAATGCAGTGTCCAGCACAAAGACATTGCTCGAAATAGGTTGGCTTTTGTAATTGATTGTGTTCAAGGACCCTTCCAGCTCTTTTAATTGTGAGTCTAAAACTAGAAAGACATGGGGGGGGGGGGGAGAAATTTCTGGCCCTTCTCCTCCCTAGATTGGTTGGAGTGGTGGCTGGGTCCCAGTCCTCGTATTTTGTACCCTGCCACCTTAATTACCAATGGGGGAGCTGGTGGTGACACACAGCAGGGCCCAGGCTCTGCCAGAGCTCCATCCTCCTAGCGGGGGAGGGGGGTGCGTGACACCCACAAAGGAGGGGCAGGGAAGGCTACCTCTGTCCCGCAGCCGCTCAAAAGTGGGTCAAAAGTGGCCTGAGCGCAGGGGAACAGAGCGTTAGGAAACTTGAAAAATGCAACAAATGCCTTTTCAGCTGCCACTGTGTCTCCTTCCCAGTTCACCTGGAGCTGGGCTGGAATTGGGAAACTCATTTCTTCCCGGAAGGGCATTTCCAAGATCCTGGGCTGCTTATTCCCGGGAAGCCGCGAACCCGCGGCGGGCGAGCGGGCGGGCAGGGCCGTTCCCCAGCCGGTTTGGCGGCGGCGACTGCAGCCCACTGGCCCTCCCTCGAGCCGCGGCCCGGCCGGGGACACCCGCCGCCCGCCCTCCCCGCAGCCCGCCCTCCCCGCCGCCCGCGCCCTTACCTGGAGCGGTCAGCAGCAGGCCCAGGAGCAGGGGCGCCCACCGGCCGGGCGCGGACATCTCGGCCGCCCGGCCCGGGCCCAGGTCCCCGCCGCCCGCCTTGGGCCCAGGGCCGCCAGGTGACGCGGGCGGCCAAGAGCGGAGGCGGAGCGGCGGGCGGGGATCCCCGGGGACGCCCCGCGGGGAGGGAGCGACCCGCCGCGCCCCCGCCCTCTCCTGGCAGTGGCGCACCGTCCGGGTGGAAAACCAGACGTTTTTCAGTAAATCGGGGGCGTGTCGCGGGGGGCGGTCAACTGTTTATATTAATAATCACACTTAGGGTTAGTCCAGCGTGGACTAGGGACAGAGTTCAGGGCCAGCGCAGCCCGGCGCACACACCGCTGGCGGGGGCCAAGCGCGCTCCGTGCGGGGAACTGAGCCGCGAGCTTCCGCGCGCGTTTTCTCCCGAAAGCCCGCAAGGGTCGTCGGTGCCTGGTTCTTCTCCGCACGCTCGGTTCCCGGGATGTGGGACTCCAGAACTTCCTGGACTGGAATGGGGCGGGGCAGGGTGCCCTGATGCCACCAAAGCCTGGGCCCTTCACCAGCATAGGAACAGCTTCCAAAAAACACAAGCCACACGCAGGTGATCTGCAGTCATTAAAAGCTGTGCAATGTCCCAAGACACTGTTAAACAAATTTAAAGACCCTGATTGGCTGATTATTATTATTATTATTATTATATTTTTATTTTTATTATAGAATAGTACCATAAAACAGAGTCAGTGTTCCAATGAGCCAAGCAGAGCAAGTGGGTTTTGTAGACAGGGAAAAACTGAAGAAAGCAGAATTTTAAAAAAAGAATTTTAAAAGCATATCTGTCATTTCAAAGTGACTTTTCCTGTCAGGTGGAGACAAGGAGACAGAAAAATAACTCAGGTTACTTTTTTGTGTGTAAGGAATAATTCAGAGGGAACTTTATTATCATGCCAACTAAAACTGGCCTGTTTGGCAATCTGGCTATTTTCTCTCGCTTTTCTTGATTTCCGAGAAGGTCAGATAAACAACTTAGTTTCAGTTTGGTGACTGAAACTTTGGCATGGGTGACTCTAATAGAGTTTTATTCTTGTCTGGTCTGATCAGGTCCAGTGCAACAATGGCCTCCTGTAATTTTTTTTTTTTTTTTTTTTTTTTTTTTTTTGGTACTGGGGATTAAACTCAGGGGCACTCAACCACTTCACTTCGAGACAGGGTCTCACTGAGTTGCTTAGTGCCTTGCTTTTGCTGAGGCTGGCTTTGAACTTGGGATCTTCCTGCTTCAGTCTCCCAAGCAGCTGGGATTACAGGGGTGTGCCACTGTTCACGGCTTCCTGTAATTTTTAACAGTAGTGAGATGTTTGCAGAAAAACAAGTTCTAAAATTGAGCCTGTTAAAGGTGTGTGTGTGTGTGTGTGTGTGTGTGTGTATGTGTGTGTGTCTACATGCATAGATACAAATATAAAATACCTTCTAATTTATTAATAATTAATGGTTGTTATCTCTACCTCTGGATGGTCTAGTTGATAAGATTTTTGTTTGTTTGTTTTTGTTTTTTTGTGATCCTAGGGATTTAACCCAGGGGTGCTGTATCACTGAGCAAAACTACCAGCCCTTTTTAAATTTTTTAAATTTTGAAACAGAATCTAGCTAAGTTGCTCTGGTTGGCATCAAACTCACAAGCCTCCTTCCTCAGCCTCCAGTCACAGGGATTACAGATGTGGGTCACCACTGGGCTGCAATTTCCTTTTTAAGATTTCTTTTTCTAATGAGAAATTATACCCCATCTTATTCAAATGTATGATATGTCAAGATCATGTACTGTCATGTGTAACTAATTAAAACAAATTAAAAAAATAAATAAAAAGTGCCAAAAAAAAATTTCTTTTTCTGATCATGTGTAGTTTTCAGGTTTTTCAATAATATGTATTGTTTTTCCAACAAGAAAATTCATTTTTATTCTAAAATTAATTATGGCAGTGTTAATTAAAAAACTGTTAAGATTGAGGGGTATCTGAAATAAAAGGAGTTATATAGATGCTAGTTAGGGAAGGCCCAGGTCCTGAGAAGTTTCCAGAAATCACTAGCGGTAAGGTCAGAAAGCAGGTGGAAAAACATTTTTATAATGAATATTTGGGGGAGAAATCATAAACTGTTTCATTGAACCCGCATGGGCTGTAGATGGGAGGGAAGTCCATTAGAAGATGTGGTGCATGTGGATTATTTGGAGTTAACAGTCCAGCTGGGCATGGTGGTACATGCCTATAATCCCAGTGTCTTGGGAGGCTGAGGCAGGAGGATCACAGTTTCAAAGCCAGCCTCAGCAACTTAGTGAGGCCCTAGTGAAGTGGCACCCCCTTTCTCCACAGAAAAGCCTTCTACACCATGGCTGATTTTAGGACTGTCAGCAAAAGAGTCCATTGTAGATAAACTTCCTATTTTTGTGTCACCCTGTTTACTTGGCCACTGGCCGAGAAGATACCAGCACTCCAGGTGCTGGACACCCCCCTACTAGTTTTTCACAAACATAACCAGTATAGTACTTTGAAGAAATGTGCAAACAAGGCCTCTGGCCTTGAGTTGAACTTCACAGAGATGTCTACATTTTTAAGATAAGTTACAAATGGGCTCCATGGTAACAGCTGGCAGGGGGAGGAAAGAAAGGGGAGAAGAAGCTCTCCCCTTCTCAGGTGTTGTCCTTGAAGAGTTAACTTGCCCAGAACAGTGAAAGAAAAGCTGCTTTTATGTGAACTTCTGCAGACTGTGAACTTCTGAGCCCCTCCCCTTACACGCTGGGTATAAAACTCTGAAATTTCCTGAACTCGGGGTTCAGGGGATTGATTGATTACAGCAAAGGCTGTACCCTCTGAACCTGGCTGCAGCCAAGTAGAACTGCTTCCTGCGATCTTCGGTGCCTTGCCTCGTTTGTCCCTACAACACTAGCAACTTAGCAAGACCCTGTCTCTAAATAAAGTATAAAGAAGGGCTGAGAATGTGGCTCAGTGGTTAAGCATCCCTGGGTTCTATTCCTGGTACCAAAATCAAACCCACAAACATACAACAAAAACCAGTCCAGAAGGTTCATATGTAAACAGGACCCAGCCATCCTCAGACATTCTGGAAGGTGAGACAGTCTTTGGTTAGTTTGCCCAAAGGTGCTGTCTGATAAACTTCCTCACCTCTTTCACCTCCATCTTGTGAACCTTGGTGATTAGATTTAGAACATCTTAGACTTTTTCTTTTTGGCAGTGCTGGGGATGGAACCTAGGGCTCACACATGCTAGGTAAGCCCTCTACCACTGAGCCACAACCCCAGCTAGATTTTTTCTTTTGTCAGCCGTTAGTTTTGAAATATGATATATTCTGTCCTTTCACAATTTTTTTTTTGGGGGGGGGGTGCTGGGGATTGAACCCAGGGGCTCTAACCACTGAGCCACATCCCCAGCCCTTTTTATTTTTTTATTTTGAGACAGGGTCTTGCTAAGTTGCTTAGGGCTTTGCTAAGTGGCTGAGGCTGGCTTTGAACTTGTGATCCTCCTGCTTCAGCTTCCTGAGTCACTGGGATTCCGGGCATGCGCTACTGCACCTGGCTCTTACACAATTCTTGAAAGATATATTGCCTCCTTTTCACAGGTTTGGGAAGTGTCGTCTGAGAGCCCCGAGAGCTTGAGCCCTGGGTAGGTGCTGGAGTTTGGTTGGGTCCACTTTCAGGCTTGTGGGACTCTATGGCACCCTGCCTCTGGGTAATTGCTCTGTTTTCTCTCTGGGTATCAGCAACCGTCGGTCAGGTGTAACCAAACAAAGTTGTGCTGATATTTAAGCCAAATGCCGGCTCCCAGTTTGGCTCCCCCAAGTCTGTAGGGAGAAGACGGATCGTCCCAGAGCTTGGTAAGTCCAGAAGCTGCTCTGAGGTTGGCCACGGTGGCAGATATTTGGAAGTTTAAGGAAGGTTCTGGAATTTGCATCATGCTTTTGGCTCAGTCAGTCTGTCACAGGGAACCACAGAGGTGTGTTCAGATGTGTTCCCTGTCTTTGAGGCCTGGAGAGACAAGAGACCTCAAGTGGAAGAAGGCTTTGATGTCTCGGGATCTCTTTGGAAATTTTGGCTTCATTTTCCAACTAGAAAGTGCACTCTTCCCTCAGAGCCAGACTCTGAGCCCAGAGCAGCAGGGCAGTGGGGACACAGGTGTCCTCTTTGGCCACCTCATGTGCTGTGCCTCTGGATCTGACTCTTTGGGACAAAATATGCCACGTGCTCTACCTTTCCCCACCTTGGAATTTCAAGTTAGCAAACTGTGTCTGGTTGCCTGGGTCCTTGAAAGGACATTTTGTGACCACAGGCTTGGGCAAGTTGGCTCTGACAAAACCTTTAAAAAATGTCATATGGATACAAGTGGGGGATTGCAGCCAGTTACCACAGCCTCAGCTCTACCGTGGTCCTCAGTGGGCTGCTTCAGCTTTTTTCCAGGTATGCCAGGTGCTGATAATAAATTCATTGGTGGGTATATCTCTATTGATATCTTTTTATTGGAAACTACCAGTAGCACTTTGTTCCTATTTTTTATTGGTGCATTAGAGTTGAACATAATGATAGGATTGGTTACATATTTGTGTAAGACAATATAATTGGGCTAATATCACTTCTTTGCAAGGCCAGGGACACTTTTATTGAGTCCTTGATGTACAGTGGCACTCAGTATACTGAAGCACTTATAGGATTTGTGGCGGGAGGGGGGGGATGATGGAACCCAGGGGCATTTTATCACTGAGCTGCATCCCTGCCCTTTTTATTTTTTGAGGCAGAGGTCTTGCTAAGTTGCTTAGGGCCTTGCTAAATTGCTGAGGCTGGCCTTAAACTTGCGATTCTCCTGCCTCAACCTCCCGAGTTGCTGGGATTACAGGCGTGCTCTTCTGTGCCAGGCTAATATTGTGTATTTTTTGCTGTTTCGTTTTTGTGGTGCTGGGGATTGAACCCAGGGCCTTGTGCGTGGGAGGCAAGCACTCTACCCACTGAGCTCTATCTCCAGCCCTCATATTGTCTTTTATTA